AAGGAAGAACTTAGGCTTCTCGTTGCTAAGATGCTTTAGATTTAGGAAGCGCGCATCTTCTTAGAAACAATAATTAAGTAGCTCTCTATCCTTATTAGTATTCTAGTAAGTCTTTAGTAGGCTATAGAGGATATTTATAAAGGTATAGAACTATACTAGCAAGGCAAGGATGAATCTGCGAGTATCGTACGCGTTCTTGCTCTTAACACTCTCGAATTAAGTACTTCGATTACGCACATTAGTTATATTATCCCTAACGGAGATAACTAGCCGCTCCTTAAAGAAGTCGCTATCGCGATTAAGGCTTATAAAATTAAGGAAGAGGTCGTCTATAATACCGTATATACCCTTAATCGTCGCCTTATTGTATATAGATAGTAGCATCGAGTATACCTTCGGAGGATCTATCTTTAGAGGCTTAATCTTTAGAAATGTTAGACGAATAAATTTAGTAGACGAAGACTAGTTCTTTATATACTAATCGATCTCTATACCGAGGAGCTTACCGAGCGCCTAGTCTATAAAATAGGTAGCGATCTGTCGACTATATTAGTCGTTTACGATGTTGTTAATAATATCGCTTAGGTCGAGAGGGATATCGTACCGCAATATACTCTGCTTTAGGCTACCTTTCGGGATATATAGATTGCGGGCGATGTAAGAGGTAGTAAAGCTGTTAAAGGTTCTAGTATCGCTAGTAGTCTGCTCGTGTATTCTACGTTAGCGATTGAAGTTGTCCTAGTATATATACTATTAACTATTATCTAGATCCTATATAAGCGTCTAGATTGCCTCTATCTGCGCTTTAGCATTCTCTACTATAATACGCTAAATAGTTTTATACGAAGATACGATGCCTATATTGTTAAGGACCTCGAGTATATAGCGAGGGCAACTACTAGCTACTAGATATATACTAAGGGCCTTATAAAGGCGAGAGGCATTAGTCGACGCGATCGAACGAACTACGATACCTATTAGTATAGTAATACGCTTTCGCATTATCTTACGCGAGTCTTCGAAAACGTATATACCCTTATTAGCCTTCTTATTAGGTAGCAGCTCGTTCCGCAGCATGTCGTACTATAATAGCGCCGTAGTTTTAATCTAGGCGTCGATCGTAGCTAAATCGAACTCGGTTATACTATCCTTAGAATCGTACTAGTCGAAGAACGGCGTACCGACTAGTTGCTTTAGCTGCCTACGCATAAGTCGCCTATTAGTAAGCTTCTCGTCCGAGAACGTATCTATAATATACTTAAGTCGGCGGCGATAGGTTTATATACCCGGTTGTCCTGCCTATCGCTAGATAAGCTTAATTAGACCGATCTAAAGACGCTCGAGTTCTTCTATCGCCTTATTAAACTCTTCTATAGGCATACGCTTCTCGCGGTCGAGGCGCTTTGCCCTAGTCTTCTCGTCTTCGATTATATCTTTATCTTCTTTATCTGCATTATCTGCATTATCTGCATTATCTGTATTATCTACCCTTGCTTAGTACCGGCGCTCGTAGGCGGGATTAGCGTTCGTATCCTCCTCGTCGGTTTCCTCTTCTTTATTACTTAATTTAGTATCGATATCGTCTTTATCGATATTATTAATCTCTTCCTCTTACTACTCCTCGACTACTAGTTTAGCTAGATTACTAACTAGGCTAGCGCGAGCGGCCTCTACTATAATAGCTATAAGGCGTTCGCGTCTTATAATTTCTATATCGTTCTATAAAGCTTCTCGACCTTTAGCATCGTTAAAGGCATCGTCTACTATCGATATAAGCTATATGCCTTCCGATATAATATTAATCTATTACTCGAGGTCGTCGCTATCTCCTATCTCTTTATCTTTAGGACGCTCGGGCAAGGCGGCTTCGCCTATTTCTTCGTCGCCGGAGGATATAGCAGCGGCGGCGGCAATTAAGGTATAGTTATATAGATCGCTCGAATTCGGAGAGGAAGGGCGGCGGAAGAGGAAGTCTTTTAAAAAGAGCTAGAGAGCGCGCTGCTTGCCGGAGGCGGCGTTAGTGTTTTGTATTATATAGAAATAGACCTACTTAACTAAGATAGGCTTAGACATTTGCCTACTACGGCGACAACAAAAGAGCTCGACTTAAACGCCTATAATACGCTCTAAGAGATAGACGTATATACGATACGGCGCCCTATATTAGAGCGCTGTTTATATAATAGTCGACTAGATAAAGACTTCCTCTATAGGTTAAGTATATCTTTAGAATACGACACGGCATATACAAACACTTTATATATTCCCTAGTCGCCTTTATAACAGCTATAAGCTTATATATATATCGGGAATATTAGTAGTAGTTAGGGATTTGATGTTTTAGTGCTAGTTTTAGTACTAAAGCCGGCTTTAAAAGTAACCTCTACTAATTAGCGATTATCCTTTAGTACTACACTTTATACGCTGCTACCTTATACATTTCCTACTTGAAATTGGACGCGCTACAAGCTTATACTAATGCTATATTTTTACGGTATTGTTAGTTGTTAATAGATCCTAGGTGTATACGGTTTTCCTAGCTAGAAGCTAGAGTCGGCTTTAGGCATCGACTATATCTTTATAATACAACGTCGCATAAATATTCTAAATAGACAGAATAATTCTAAAATAGCTATTCTACGCCGCCTAAGCATAGTATTAATATATATTAGCGTGCGCAATATACTCGTAGTAGGAAGTAGTCGTTTTGCCTAGCTTGTCGTTAGGCCCTCGCAAGCGAGGATTAGTGCCTTAGGCACCGAGCTTCGAGGGACTATATAGAGGTAGTTAGGACGAGGCTGCTTCTTGCTATTATTAATTAGGTATAGCAAGAAGACTAAGGCTATACTCCGCTTGCCCTACTATAGAAGGGCACGACTAATACGACTAAGTCGCTATATTAAATCTTTAATGTCTCGAGTTATCGGATACTTAATCTAGGCGACAATCTCGATATCTAGGATGTTTAGACCGATACTAAACGCAGTCGTAGCGATTATAATACGAATATTCGATAGGCTATCGGGGCCCTCTATAGTACGACTATATTGCTTATATCGACGAGTCTAGTCGCGCTTAGCTACGCTACTAGTATAGAACGAGACGGTAGTATAAACATTTATACTAGCATTGCTCTATATATATCGCTTTTTTAGATCGCTATAGGTGGATATTGTAGCAACTAGCTATGTTCGAATAACACTAGCTAGCTCTTATACGGACTTCCGACTATTAATAAATAGTAGAGCCTTCTTAATGCCTTAAGGTATAGCTTCCTTACTTTCTAGATCGAAGGCTCTATCGATTGCGAAGTATAGGTAGTTATACCCTCTAAGCTAGTCTTTATCGATAGTCCGCAAGATGTATATAGTATCTAGTCGATTAATACTACTACGGAGAACCTTAGTCTTATACGGTTTATTTCTAAGAGGTCGGAAGCTACCGTTCTTAGCTACAAAGTCCTCTATTTCCTTAGACACTAGCGATAGTTAGCTCGGTTTAGTTTAGCTTAGCTCGATCTACTTACTAGTAGCAGAATAGCCTAACTATACCGTATCGGTACGTAGCAGCTTCCGTAGCGAGAAGATCTAGGCATATTCCTTACGAAACTCCTTCTACTTCGCTACTAGGTATATCTCGTCGATTACAACTAAACCAATCCGAGCCCGGGCCTTTAGGTCTCGAATAATAGCTCGGAAATCCTCGCTAGCTACAGTTTCTAGACTAAGGATGATATCGTAGACCTTGCTATCTATAATCTTCTAAAATAGGTTACGATCTATACTCTTATTCTCTACGGTAATATTAACTATATTAATTAGATAGTTGGCTTGTCGGGCAGTCTTGCGTATATCCTCTATATACTCCTTACTAAGACGATTTAATAGAGTAATTTCAATAACTACTATGCCTGTTAATAGGCTAAAGGCCTAAAAAGGCAAACTCTTGCCTTCGCTAGTCTTAGCTACTATTATTATATTAGAGCAGGCAAATACGAGAGCCTAGACACTATAGATCTAGGATTCCTTTAGTATAAAGCCCTTGCCTAGATGTATCTTATCGAGAATCTTTCGCAGTCCTTAGGTAATAATATCGCGATATACGTTAATAGCTTCTAGGGTATATATCGTATCGTAGACTAACTGCTATACTTACTCGAGTAATATATTAGTATTAAAGATCTTGTCGCAGCGCTGCTAGAACTAGGCTTTATAGTTACTCTTTCTAGCTAGCTACTCGACTAGTAGTAGATAGCTAAAGTCTAGCGACTCTCGACTAATAGTAGTACGACCTAGTAGTTTAGGTCCGATAGGCTAGTCGCCTTTCTTCTTCTTCTAAGATCCGGTCTTAGCTGCCTTATCTTTCTTTGCCTAGGCGCGGCGCTGCTTCTCGCTGCTACCTAATTTTAGTAGTATTGTTATTAGTAGTAGATATAGCGGCGGCGGCGGCGGTAGCGGCGGCGATAGTAGGATCGACCTTTAAATATACGCAAGGCGGCTAGATATATATACGTATGCGCGTAAGTACTAGAGAGGTCGATATAATAGCGCGTTAGTGTTAAAGGTAGATAGTGCCTTATTAGCCCTAGATAGTAATATTAAAACAAGGGCGGTAGTTTTAAGGCATTCTAAAGCGCGGAGATTAGAGAGGTAGTTAATACGACGGGCTGTACGTGCTTCGCTTAGCGTTATATGTGCTGTTTGTAGGTAAGTAACACATAGTAGGTAGATATAAACGGAGTGTTTAGGCAAGTCGTCTTAGAAGACTAAAAATTAATCTCTTAATTAACGTTTTCGCGACTACTTTGTATAGACAATCTAAGAGATTATTTTATAACGCACAACTATACTACTAACAACTTTTTACTATTTTGCGTAGTTGTTAGGCTATATAGATTTGTAACTACTTTCGTGTTCGGGGACTTATATAGAGGAGGAACGGTTTGACTTCAGGCGCTCCGCTGTAGCTTTCTCTATACCTAATGTAGTTAGTGTCGATGCCTAAGGATACAGAATCACGTGGAAGAATCTACAACACTCGGAGCGCCTGAGAGGAGGTAGATGCCAACCTGATGGACAAGCATGACTAGGCGAGTAAAAGTATCCATGTTCAGCTGGCACATTGTTCGCCGGAAGCTGAGTAGCGACCTTTGTTGCCTCGTGAGAAGGGTAACAAATGCTCCTTGGAGTGTCGCTGGCCTCTATACGATTATAGTCGAATCCCTGATCAGTAGCGATCTGAGCCACGAGATTGGTCGGCAAAGGAGTGGCGCAACCAGTTCCCGGCGTGAACGTGCTGGTCAGTGGTCCTAAGTTCGTCCAAGTCACGGTATAAGTCGTCACTATATTTTCTGCCCGAGACCTGGTGACAACAGCGTATTGATCTATGACAGTGTCCATGGTGCTGGAGCATTCAGCAGGTTGAATCAGACGTCAAAGGAAGAGCAATGCTAGGTACGAAGTGGGTAGAGGAGTTTCACTGCCTGGGCGTCTTGAGCGTGCGAGGTGTGCCGCGATCTACATGCTCTACATCGTCTTTGAGCCCTCTGATTGTTTGAGGCCGCCATGCCAAGTCTGTGCCGCCCATGAAGCGCCATGGCATTCACGATGTGGCTGTCCAAGGGCGCTAGTCCTCGTCGTTGAGATTGGTGAGAGTGCTCAGCCCATTTTCATGAATGAGCGCGATGTTATTCTTTCGCTGCGAGGTACACATACATGTATGTACTGGTCGGGAAAAAATTCCACAGCAAAGATGTTCGCCGAGGCTGGTCAAGCGCGTTTCGAGCACGTCTTGATCCAAGCTGTGCATGAGAGAGCGCATTAAGCCATAGCTACACTTGCAATGTTCGCAGCCTGGATCGTGAGTATGCTCAACGTCGCCTTGGGCGCTATGTATAGTATGATAGAGGAGGCAGAGGTAGCGTGGAAGAGGAGCTTCGGGAGCCAAGGTTTGAGGCTCGATAGTGCCATTTAGCTCGTGCTCATGAATCGTTACATAGCAGTCTTTCACGTGCAGTGTGCTATATTGACCATCAGAAGACGTGCTCACATGATTGCTATAGGGATGTCACTTGGTTAATAACAGTGACTGTTGCTAACGTTAATAACACGGTTAGTAACGTTGTTAATAGTTAGTAGATAGTTAGCAACTATAGGGGTATAAGACACTAACTAAATAAGGAAGGCTACTACTATTAGGTAGATAGATTGGCACTATACTAGCATATAGACTATTATTAAATACGTAGAAGTAGACGTAGATTGAATAATATATAAACCTCAATTTTATAGTAGATTTAAATACGCTATCGCTTCTAAGGGTATTCTTACTCTTACTATAGCGCCTATCGAAGCGCTTCTACGCTAGTATAGTTACTATAGGTCTCTAGAGGTTGCTAGCTAGCTTGTAATAGTAGTTGTATATAAAGGACTAGAGGGTCGTAGAAGCTAGAGGCCTAACTATCTATAGGCTTAAAGAACGGCGAATATAGCTGCTAAGTTGTTAGTATTAGAAGCGCCGTAAAGATATCCTTATAGTCGATAGTATCTACCTCTTCCTCGTATTTATCGTCTTCTTTAGGTACGCTTGTTTAATATAGACTAAACATCTATATAAGGTCGTCTTCGTAGAGATAGCGAGGGTCGTTTAGCGGTACGTAGTAGTCGTTTATTATAGCTTCTTTAAGACCTAGAAGCGCGTCTAGTTTAGCCTTCCGCACCTCCTTCTTAGTTGCTAGCTATTAGCGATATATCTCTCGTAGCTTAGTATAGCGCTATCTTTAAGAGACCTCTTCGTATAGTCGTCTTCGTAGTGCGCGGCTATTTATATAAATATAGGTGCAGTCGTTAGTATAAGAGGCGGATAGCTTCGAGCGATAGTCGTTCTATATAAAGTTTATAGCGCTAAACGCACGCTCTAAGGGCACCGAGTTAGTAGGTATACGAAATAGGCGTAGAGCGACTTCTACTATTAAAGGCGCCTTACGAGAGATAAGGTCCTAGAAGCTACGAATATTAGAGCGCTCTCGCTAGCGGCTAAGGTTATTATTAACTGTATAGAAGCGCTTAGTTAAGTCTCGAAATTCGATAAATTCGTCGTTAAACTATAGATACTACGCCTAGCTTAAGAAGTCGTATTCTTCGTATCTAAAATAGCGCTTAAAGAAGGTAATCCGCGCTACTTCCTTACTATCGCTATATTCTCGTAAGATAGTCGGTTGTTCTATATCTAGTAAACAAGCAGCCTAGTAGATAGGTTATATCTGTTTCTAAAGCCGGAGATTAAAGAGAGATAGTAACTAAGTAGTATAAGGCAGGCGCGCCTACTTAATAGATCTGCGTAGCTAGCGCTAGCGAGGTACGATATTACCGACTCGAGACGTATCGCTTTTACTAATTAGGCGCGCTTCGTTAATAAGCTAAAGTAGTATATAAAGGTTATAGAGCCTACGCTAGAATATCGCGGAGTTAATAGTTAAGAGCGCTACTATCGCGCCCTTTGCGAGTTAGCTATTGCTGCCTCGAAACAGCCGTTTCGATAGTATTCTCGTATACTATTAGAGGGCATTCGTTACTACGAATAGGCTATAGACTATAGCATAGTAGGTACCCTATCGAGTAAGATAGGCTACTATAAAGGCTCGGATTACCTCGTTATTCTTATTAGCGAATACCTTTAGTATATTCTACGCTTTCTTCGACCTCTTAAATATACTAATTACGTACGAGGCGGCGCGCAAAGTGTCGTAGTAGTAAGGTAAGTGCGACTTCTTCGTAGAGTTACCCTAATTACTAATATATAGCTATAGGCCGTAGCTATCGCAGAAGACGCAAATTACATACTTAGTAAGTAGATTCTCGGCGAGTCGGTCGTAAAGGGCTCTTATTATCGCGCAGGTATCGGTTTAGAGCGAATTCTACCTCTTAAGATTGCTATTAACGAAGGGCATTACCTGTTTAGTTACCTACCTCGCGAGGGTAGCGGTATTAGCGTCTATATCCTTTATATCGAGTAGGTCGTAGAAGAACGAGCCGGATTAAGTATTTACTAATAGATTATAGAAGCGACTGCTACTATAGCTCTTACTCTCGTCCGTACTAAAATTAAGGTCTCGCTAGCTATTAAATACCGCCTATACGTCCTTCTTAATCTCTCGCTTTACTAACGGTATACACTCTACTACTTTCTCGCGATCCGGAGGGTTATAGTGCTAGTTAAAGGTATAAAACGCCTTACTCTACTTAGGATGATGTCGCCGGTCTACTATCGAAAACGCGCCGCCGCTCTTTAAGACTACTATTACAATAGTAAGGTCTCGTACTTCCTTATATTACTATCGATTAAACGGTAGTTTACCTTGCTTTATAAGCAGGTAAGAAGGAGTCTCCGGATTAGGCTCTAGATAGACAGCTAGGTACGCCTAATACTATAGACACTTTGCTAGGTGCCTCTATTTACGCTTAAGACTACCCTTTGCAATAATGCCTTTATCGTTATTATACTAGATATAGCGTACGAATTAGCTATTATATTCGGTCTTAACTAGGTAGAAGTTAAGGGCATCTAAATGGGTTAGTCGAGGCATTTTATTAAACCCTAAATTCTCGGATTCGTAGAATTACTAGAAATGCGGAAAATAGAGGATCTAATAGACTAAATTAGTAGCAAAAACGCAAACAATACTCTCTTAATAGTCTCTATCGAATTCTCGAGTTTTAGTCTAATCGGATAACTTTAGTACGAACACCTTCTACCTAACCCTATAGTTGCTAGATAACCCTAAGCGTAGTAGTATCCCTAGTAACGACCTCTCGGTAGACCTACGGAAGCGCTTCTATACTTAATTAGCACTAATTTAAGCTCGTTTAGATCGTAAGAGGTAGATCTATAAAGGACACTAGCACCGAGTGTGTCTCGAAGGCACTATAGCTATATTCTAACTATCTACTTACTTCTAGCTATTATAAGCTAAGGTCTACCTAGAGCCTAAGGCAATAATAATAACTAACAACGGTTATTAACTGGTTGTTAGTTACTAACGTTGCTCAAGACATTAATAACGTTGCTAACGACACCCCTAGATTGCTAAGTGAAACACTTTGGTATAGAATGAAGTCGGGAGACGCGGCAGTCGCAGCCGGAGCTCAGGCGGCGTGAGACTGCCGATGACCACCTTGTGCTCCACCACGGCGGAGCCCATGCAAGATTAAAGCAAGCAAGCATAATTATGCTTCAGTTATACTTCAGGCACCGGACAGCGAAAGAAGAGTGAAACTTAAGATCAACAAGTTGAGACTTGAGATTGATGTTCTTCTTTGATTTCTAGCTTCCTACTATATCTCATCCAGAAGCGATCCGTCCAACCAGCAGACGTAACATAGCACACTTTTTTGTCGTTTCCTTGGCCGTTCACCTTGCCGCCAAGCGTCAGAAGCCGTCAAGTCTAGTAATACACCACACAGTCGCGTCTCATCCCCATCCCGACGAAACGCTCAAGTAAACTCCAGATCCCAGAAAGGAGGCCTGAGCTTGCGCTCGCTCCTGTCCACTCTACTTTCACATCCCTGTCGACAGATCTGCTTTCTGGTGGAGGGCAAAAACAAATATAACACTAATCAGGCAAAAGCATGGCTGTGGCAATGCGGTCTCTAATATGCGTCGAACATGTCTTCTAATTCGGACAGGTCAACAGTCTCTGGGCTTTGTAAACTGTCCCATGCAAGGGCGGCTTCGGGCAGTGAGATTGGTTGGTCTTTGCCGCCCAACAATGACAGGCTCAACTTCTCATCATGACGGTCGTGTTGGGGATGGATGACCGGACTGCTGAATTCCATCTGCTGTGTGGAGGTGACAGAGGTGCCAAACAGGCCAAGTGCGGCTTCACTGTTCTTCCGGGCCAGACTTTCTTCTGATTCTTCGACTTCCATAGACATTGCGACATTCTCCGAGTCTTCAGCGCCAGGTGATGCATCTTTCGAATCCATGTCGACATCCTTCTGACTTTGTTGGCTGTTTCGTCGCTTGAGAGCTTCCTCATACAGTGCGCTTGCCGTCTGCTTGAAGTCGCGCTCTTCGGTTTCCAAGGGAGGGCTTGCAGCTCGGCGGGAGGTGAGATACGAGGAGCGCTCACGCGAAGCGCGTGCCGAGAATGATCCGCCCGGAGTCACCGGATCAGCGCCAGTATCTTCGTCAAGCTCTGGAGAAGAAAGGTCGACCTCTGGTGAAAGTGATTGTCGTTCTCGAGAGTAGCGCTCGTCGTCGTTCACTTCCGATGCGGAAGATAATGAAGGCGAAATGATGCGATTTGCGTGAGGGATAGGTTCTGCTATTTCCGGTATAGGTTGGTGTGGTGTTGTTGTGAGGTAAAAATACAATCGACGAGGATGGACGGGAGACAGGTCCTTCGCCAATGGGCATGGGCTGACTGTTGGCCATGGTCGATGCAGGTAAGAAGTCAGGCGCGATGAGATCAGCGCAGACGGATTAGCAGATCTGCTCAGCAGGTTAGCGACGCTGTTGCGACACGAGACAGCTTCAGTTGTGCCGTACTTCTCTACGCAATGAAGGCGAGTTGCGAGGACTGCAGCAAGCTCCTTGACTAGGTGCGGCCTGTTTCCAGTCTTCTCAATTTGTTGTATGGTCGCGACGACAATATCATCGCTGATTCCTTCGGTATCGACTTTATTTCTGGTCGCGCCTTCTGCGACAGGTGATGGTGGTGGGGAGAGATGGGCGGATGGCTTCGGAGGCTTGTCGTCTTTGATGCGAATGACTGTGGTTCGCGGCGGGCTCATCAGACCCGGAGGCGGTGATGCTGAGGCATGCGATCGCTTTGACTTCTTGATCGGAGGTTCCTCGCCTTCGACGACGGTTTCCGGCGGTGAGGGATGCGACTGCGTTCGCGAGCGTTTCGGAGCAACAACGCCGAGATCTCCCAGATTTAGGCTCTTGCGTCTGGTCTGCATTGTGTTTATGGCGAGACCAACAATAGGCAGCAGTCGGCAGAGCGTGTGGGCAGGGCGAGGGCGATTTGCTGTTTGTGTAGGAAGACAGCAATTTCGCGCCAGTCAACTTCTCGCGTTGGAGAAAGTTGGAATGCGCTGTTTAGCTCTCCGGAGCTCTTTGCGACCATACAATTGGTCGGGGTCGAGGCAAGGCAAGGCCAGGCAAGGCGTGATGCATGCAACGTGCAGCGTGCAGCGTTACCGCAAGGACAACTAGGATATGGCGAGGGTGGAGTGAGAGCGCGTGTGTTGTAGAGATGTTGGTGGTCGGCGGTGTCGTAGGCAGTGGGTAGGATGGTGAGTTTCCCGCCTCGCCGGCCTCCTGAAGAGTCAAGACGATGCTCACGAGTGCCGCTGACGGGTGGAACTTTCAGCGCGAGAGACACATGTGGTATACAGTGTACAAGCAGAAAACAGACGGAGGAGTGGTGAAGGGGGGGCTGCTGGGCAGTAGTAGGCACCACCGACGGCGCACCGTTTGGTGAGAGGCGTATACGGTGCCGGACAGGCGCTGCGACGAACAGGCAGAGGCAGACTTCAGGCGGCTTTCCAAAAAAGCTTCCTCACATGGTCTGAATCTAATAATGCGCTATAGGGCCTAGTCTGGGCTGCATCGTCAAGGCCTGCTGTGGCCTGTTGCCTGTCTCCCGACCGTTCTCGGCAGAAAGTTGCCTCTGCGACAGGCTGCCCCTTGGAGCATCATCCATACAGGGTGACCCCCTTGTCTCGGGCCAAGTGAAGGTTAGAGTTATCGACAAGGGCGTATCCAGGCGCATATAAAAGCAGCTTAGCGCTGCTAAGAGTAAATAACCTTAGCTGCTAACTGCTATAGGCAACAGGCAGGCAGCTAGCAGCCTAATAGTAAAGATTGTAGTATATAAGAAGCGCTAAGTAGACTAATTAAAGTAGATTAAATACTACGTATAGAAGTAGCTAATTACAAGAGCTAGCTATTTATTCAAACCTCCGGAGAAAGAGACAATAGAAAGAGACTAATCTAAGTATAAAGTTAGTAAGGAATAGAGCTACTATTAGCAGTAATTACTGCCTTAACCCTCGCTAGTATACTACTAATAAGCTCTCTAATATAGTTAATAGTAACAATATTAGTCTAGAGCTATATAACTCTAGCTTCTATATCAGCTCGTTTAGTTAGCACTCTACTAGTATAGAGTGCCTTCTTAATAGCTGCCTATATATTCTTAATAGGATTAAGGTCCGGACTATTTAGTAGCTAGTCTATAAAGGGTATACCGTATACAGTAAGCTACTCTTTAGTCTTCTTAGTATTGTAGGTAGGAGCATTATCTTATTAGAAGAGTACGTATTAAAGGAACTCGTAACGGTCGAATAGAAGGTTCTTATCGTTACCTAAGTTAAGGAATAGTATATCTCGCTTAAGGGCTTCGTTAGAGAGGGTGTCGTTAATTAGTCGTAGGTATTCTTAGATAGTAGGCAGTATATGTTCAATATAGGAAGTAGTATTAATAGTACCCTATTCCTTCCGCTGCTATAGAATAATATTAGACCGTCTAGTGCGGCTAGAAATAGCGCCCTAAAATAGTATATAAGGGATCTCTTTGAACTTAGGTGCTAGGCAATCGTCGTTAAATAGTTTAGTTAGTTTGCGAGTAATATAGAGCCGTTAGTGTCTACCTCTATAGTAGGCAAACTCGTCCGAGAAGGATACGTTGTTCTAGTTACCTGCTTTCTAGAAGCGATAGTTTAGTGCCTATTAAAGCCTTAGTGTCTTAGTCCGCTTACTAAGCTATAGTCTAGCAATTGCAACGCAGCGACGATAACCTACGGCTCTACAGATACGTCGCATTGTCCTTACTAAGTAAGGCAGGTTTAAATAGTCCCTTAATTAACTATAAGATATGCGCCTACAGTTAGCATTGCCTATATTTATTAGCAACAATCGACTTAAAGTAAGCTAAATACTAACCTTTAAGAGCCGCTTCTATACGGTCTATTAGAGCCGGCTATAACTGATTAATACTGTTTAGTAAGAAGCGCACTTTACGCTTAGGAGGTAAGTGCTTTAGCCTTGCTTTAACTAGAGTAATAACCTTACTAATAATGCGAGAGATATCCTTATAGTTACGGTCTAGGAAGCTAGCAATATCGTTAATAGTCTAGTTGCGTTTATACAGCTCCTTAGTATAGGACCTAAGCCGATAGCGCTTAAGAAGATCCTATCTCTTCCTACGCTAAGTATACTAATAAGCTGTCTTATTAACGAGGCTCTTATCTAAGGTCTCCTAGTAACAGTCTAGTAGTTAGAGTATATCCTATAGCTAAGAGTCGCTAGTTGTAGTCTATTGCTTAGCAGTATCGATAAGCTTCTAGAAGAACGACCTACTAAGCGGTATACATCTAGTTAATAGCTTAACTAGGTTACTAGAGTGTTCAAATAGTAATAGTGTTACGGGCTCCGCGATAGTGCTAAAGGACTCTTTAAATAAGTACTAAAGAGGTAATAGATTAAAGGGATTGTCTAGTAGTTGCGTCGGGATACTAGCTTAAAGAATAGGCGAGAAGGGAGGGGATATTAGGGAAGGGGAGGACTCGGAGGAGGAGGTGTCCTTATAGGTAGGTATTAGAAGAATCTATAGAAGCTTCCGAGCTATAATTATAGTATAGAAATAAGTGTAGAAGGCTTAAACTGAGCTCTTATATATTCTAAATAAGCGCTCTAAGGAGTATATATCTCTCTCTCTGCCTAATAGTCTCTCTAGCTAGCTCTTTATACAACCCTTCTACCCCTATAATACCTATTATTTATATAGCTCTTACGCGCCTACCCTATACTAAAACACTTCCTCTTTTGCTCTATTCGGAGGCAGGACATTGCCTATATATCGTTAGCGCAGCAGCGATGCTAGTATAGTACTAGAAAGGGCAATTGTTAGTATAGGAGGCTTCTAGTAGTATAGGGGTTAGAAATAAGGCCTCTCTAAGCAGGCTCTTAGTATAATAGTATACGACCCTACTAATCGGATGATATTGCGACGATTGAGTTGTTATAGACGTAGATAACCTAGCAATATTATAAAGGCTGTTATCGGAAAGTATGAATTGTCATCGGACTTGGCCACACCCTGTAGCTGCCGGGGAAGGTCGTAGGCTGTGCGCGCCGCCTTCTCGAGTCATCTGACAGCCAATCGGATATCCGATGGACGAGTCGCCGGCGCCGGCGCCATGCAAGGGTTTGCCTGTGGCTACCATCGTTGTGGCTACGCGAGACCGAACGTCATCCACACGGCCGGCGGACAGTCCGATCAATCTCACGCGGCCGGCAAGCATTGGGTGAGCCTTGCTGCTATCCATGCCAACAACCACATGCACCCGACTTCCACATCTTCACCTTCTCCTCTCATGCACTTTCCCCGGAGCCACGGTCGACACGGTCTTCTGCTTCGAAGCGAATCCGCGCATCGCTTGTATGCAGCTGCGGGGCGCGGCACGGCGCGGCGCGCTAGCTCTACCGCATCTGCAGCTGGTCGAAAAGCGCCACGACAGCATGATCGACTTCCTCAGGCACAGCTTGGCAAGGTTGAAGTCCGCTACAATTCCGGCGTCGTCGTCTTGCTAACTTCTGCTCAACCCCGGTCGATGATCATGAATAGCGAATGTCGCTTGCCAGCACTCCTGCGTCTGTCGGAAGATAAGATAACCTTGGAGTACGTCACACGCGACAAGAACTGCGACACAGCTCCCCTGACTCTCCATCTCCCCGCTCTGGGAACTTCTGAAACACTTCTTGCACTTCTCACACCACATCCACGACTCGCAGTCACATTCCGCATCCGGATGCTTGGTGCAAAGGAATGTGAGTCGCCTTTCTCAGCAACTCAACTCTATCCAGCAGAAAGAATCCTGCTTGGCGTTTGCTCATGTTCTTGATAATGTCAACATGACAGTCCCGCCTCCCCGCTTCAGCCAGTTGCACTCCCCGCTAGCATCCTGTGCTTGAATTGTTCTGCAACGGGAGAGGGACCTCTATCTGGTGCCGCCATGATCTCACAGTCATTCTGCTCACAATAAGTTGCATCCCGTGTACGGCAAGTTAACGCGGTCCATGACCTCCTTTGTCGACCCATCAAGACCATTCTGGAGCTTCAATACTACTGACCTCAAAGAACAGCATCGCAAGCGGACAGTGCATCGAGATGGAGCATCGCTGCCATCGTATTGTCAACGATACTGGCCGTTGCTTAAGCAAGCTGAAGCATAATGGAATTAAGCCACAATCTTCTACGCATTTAGTACCGTGGTGTCCCTAGATGCATGCTGTAGCTGTAGCTGCATCTGCAAATCTGTCTTGAAATGTTCTTCCTCACGCTTCTCGCCTTGACTGCAGCGGCATCAGCTGGTGTTACTGGCGGACGTCATCCAGGTCACCATGAGGGCAAGTGGCCGACTTCTCTTCGTGCTGGACATAAAGCACCGGCATCAACGGGAGTTCGAAGCTACTCACATCCAACAGTCGCTGGAGGTGCTCGCAATCGTTTCGGCACCAACACGCCCTTTAAAGCTGGCCACCCTTCAAAAAAGAAGCTCAAGCCCACAGAGACGGCTGCCTGGCCGAGAATGACGGCTAGAGCTGTCAACTACTGGGACAGTCTTATGGCAGGTACTAATAAAAGAGCCGGCAAGGCTGCCGCAAATGGTAAAGCACACCACACTGGCGGCCTGGGCCATAAAGGTGAAGCTTTTACAAGAATGCACCAAAGCCCAAAGAAGTCTCCGCGAGACGTACATGACAGCGAAGAGGAATACGAAGAGTCCTTCGATGGTGACGATGATGAATACGTCGCCGCCATGCAGAGGCAAGACCTCGAAGATGGCGTTCCCGACGACGTTGACACTGAGCTGGAAAACGATGATGCCACTGCCGGTGACCAACTTGACGATCTCACCAAGAGGTATGCCGATGATGAGGATTCTGGAGATGACCAGTTCTACGACGATCGATACGACTCCTTGGACGAAGACGCTATGGATGCTTATGCAGATGCTGACGATGGAGATGACGAGGTACTTCAAAAGAGAGATCCTAGCTTCTACCTCAAGCAAAAATCTGCCCACCGTGGTGGTGGCAGAGGTTCAGCTGCTCATATGCATCACGCCCGCGATGTGGACGACGAAGAAGAAGAAGCAGATGATGATGATGATGAATCTCCTATCGAAGAAGACCTGGAGTATGTCGCGGATATCAAGGCACGGAACGCTCGCAAAGAACATCAGATTGTTGGAACGTCCCCACCATGGCCTACTGAGGCGCCAACCGTCACTACTGCTAAACCAAAGACTGCACCTGCGGCTTCTGTTACTGGTATCAAGGGCTATCATAAGCATGGTCAGGGTAGACATGCAAAGCATGGAGGAAGTGCGAAAAAGTCTCGTCCGACTGGGAAGGCGGCTCGTCCAACTGGGAACGCTACTCGTCCGACTGGAAAGACGACTCGTCCGACTGGGAAGGCTACTCGTCCGAGTGGAAAGGCGACTCATCCGACTGGGAAGCCGAAAGCGTATAGTTAGAGAAATTATGTAGAGAGCATATAGATGAATGGAATTAATGTTGTACAGACTTGTATAGAGGTTGCAGTCACGCTATTGAATCGCTTTGTCTTAAGTGTGACTCGCACTTGTGAACGTGAACTCGGCATGTGAATGCGCACAGGCACTTGCTGCTCTGGCCTGCCTTTTTTTATATTCAACCACAACTTATTCCTAACCTTAACACCACACGAAAACACACCACCTCCTCCGTCACCACATCGGCACCTCAACTGATACTTTCCGCCAACCCAGACCAGCAACACAAGACATCAGACTCGCCGACCACCGCAATGGACCCAAACGCCTGGCATCTCCCAGCAGTCTTACGCGGCGCCGCTCTCCGCGCCGCATTCACACTCGGTGTTCTCTCACTCCTCAAGAATATCGACTAGTCGGCAGAGCGTGTGGATATGACGCCCGAAGAATTTTTAAACACGCCAGATTGGAAGACACCTAAGCACGTACGGCTCATTCCAGAGAAATAGCTCATCGTTGCTGTATTGATCGAGAATCTCATGAGCATCCGGGTTCCCTACTCTGTCGAGAGGTCCAAGATAAAAACTTCAGGATGTAGTAGAAGGCTCGTCGGGTCTATATATATTCGAAAGGCTCAAAAAGAAAACAGCAGATGTAGATGGTCTCCTTGCAAGACCGAAGCCACCCTGGAAATTCTACGCATGCTATACAATTTTTTTTTTTTTTTTTTTTTTGCAATCATGACGCTTTGCTTTCACCGAAGAAGAATCGACCGGTCAATGGGACTCTCATCTCACCACCAAACGGTTCCTTTCATCATCTTCACGCTCGAGCGTCGTTCCACTTCAATGTCGACCCAAGGTTTTCAACAAACCGCAAGGCCCCAGATGCATTGACCGTTGCAGTCGCAAGCGAGGATCGGGCGGACTTGTGGAAGGCTTTCTTTCGCGCAGAGAGTTATTCGGGCAAGATGAATCTAATTGATGGACTTTAAGGTCAGCAAATGGGCGAGGAGCGTTGGGCAGAGCGAATTTGGGATTGGAGGTTCCGTCAAAAGCAAGGCGTTGATCACGGAGTATTCCAGCCTTGCGACTTACCATTCAACATTATCAGATCAGAGTATATCCGCGAATGGAGGCAAAACTTCGAAAGTGGAGAGTTGATCTGTGACTTCCTTGCTTATAGAAATAACCTACATCCTTCTCAGCCTCTTCACAGTGACTTCCCTGGTATGTATGCACCTTCTACTACTGAAAGCTGCCATCACTTCCTTCTGCATATGGTTTAGCATCAGTTAAAGGTCCGATGGTGGAAGGTGCGTGTTGTGCCTGCCTCTGCTACTTGCGGGCTGAAACGGAGATAGGAAATAGCATGTGAAAGCTCGGTCCACTGCCAAGCACCATCACTTCCCATACCTTGTCAACCGTGTTCGTCGTACCTATGACCTCATTCGTTGGTGACCAACCTCACAAAGGTCCACACCACACCGCTGTCTTCTCCCAACTCCACTGCGTCCGTGTCGAAAATGGCAGCTCAAAAGGTCTTCGGCATCTGTGAGCTGGCAGAGCAGATATTCCTCGAACTCCCCACGAACGACCTCCTGCTTGTCCAACGTGTCTGCAAACCATGGAAAACGACAGTCCAATCATCCTCGGTCTGTCGGAAAGCGTTGTTTCTTGAGCCAGGTCAAGCATGCGACGTCAACCTTGAGGGAGGCACGCGATGTGGAGATGTGAGGTGCTGGAGTTGCGGTGCGCTATTCGGAGCATTGGACAAACGTGATCGCGACATTGCACTCAATCCAATGCTCGTGCACCAAATCTATCTCCAACCTCCTTTCAACTGCTCTCCATTCGACGACCGTGTCCTCAACGCGAAGCTCCTTGATGTTCCGATGGACGCATCTTGCCGACAGATGTTCATCACCCAGCCTCCATTACCATTCGCAACAAGCGCTATCGCGACCTTGGACAAATGCGCACGAGAGGATAAGGATAGACCGCTGAACTGCGCAGCGAAGAAAACCCATCTTCGCATCGTGTCGGGTTCAGAAGCATCGCCGGGCGACTGCAGGGTGTTTGGAGGAGGTCATAAGCTTGGAGAGATTATGGACAGTCTTCAAGAGAGCATCAGGCCGACCGAGGAAATCTGTCCACGCTCCTCGTATTGGACAATCGCCTGGACGGAAGAGGAGCCAGCGAACAAGACTTTGGGCATCGAGGACGGCACGGGAATGGCTTCGAATTAGATGGTCTCACAATGCGAGTTCAGAAAACCACCAGTGTTGACTGAGGACTGGAGGTGGCACACCTAACACGTTGATGCCTTCAGCACGATGTGAAGTGGGCCAGATTTTGTTTGGTCCGAGCCGGTGTAATGCTGGGTCTGGTCTCACTAGGGATCGTAAGCAAGAGTGCGCTGGTGTCTTCCTGATAATCGTGCCATGTGAGAGCTCGGGTTCACTCAAGACTCTAGCAAACAACTGGGCGCTTGACGTCTCTAATAGCTTCCACTTCCTGTCGTCCTTTCTTTTCAAACGGCGCGACGAGTCGAATTCTGCAACCTCCCCCCTTTCGCAGCCGACTGTCGTTCATGGCAGATAAAGAGAGCGCCGACGACTCTAATAGCAGTGCCGTCCCACTCCAATTCGTCTCGATGACGGCCAGGAAGGTGTTCGGCATCGTCGAGCTTGCCGAAAAGATCCTACTTGAGCTGGAGATCAAAGAGCTCCTTCAAGCTCAGCGCGTCTGTCGCCATTGGAAAGGCGTCATTCAGTCGTCTCCGGCCTGTCGCAAAGCAAGGGCACAGGATAACATGCGTATAATGTCTGCGAAACTCGTGCTAACACCCCGACCTTTTCTTCCTTTCAGGCGCTTTTCCTCGAGCCAGGAACCGCGGACGACGTCAACATCACCAAAGTCCACCGCTTCGTGATGAAATGGTGGCAGCGCGACTTCCTAAACGCGAGAATTGAGGAATTGGCAAGACATCAAGGCGGCATCGTCTTCAACCCTCTCCTTGTCAAGAAGCTAGCAGAGACACCTGGAGAAGTCTACAGCAAAGACGCCTTGTACAACCCGAAATTCACCAGCAGCTTCCACAGGAACCTCTTGGGCGGCGCGAGCGAAGACGCATCCTGCACGCGCATGCTCATCAGCCAGCCACCTCTCACATTCATGACGAGCAGCATTGAGGTGGCCGACGAGCCGTTGCCATTGTCAGACCAGAATGGTTCCATGTTTGCGATTGCTCGGGCGCTATGGGTACCCCGGCGCACCATTGTCGCGGACGACTACCCCTTTCCTAAGCCATACGGGCTAGGCCATGGGAGGACGCTTGCAGAGCTCAGAGATAGCCTTCGTGACAGCCTTCAAGACCATCAAGTGATCCTTCCAGGTGCGCTGTGGACTTCCGCGTGGGCAGGATCGAGAAACGTGGATACGCTGTGACTGGTCTCCCGGAGGTACAAGCTGGCCAGAGCCCTTGGCAGATGCAACGTGACGCCGAACAAAATGACATTTGGCGTGCTTTGGCTTCTCTGCTGAGCGGAGGGCACGAATACGGACAGGCGCATAATTGCAGCAAAATGAAAACGTCGCTAGCTTCTCTTTCCCATCTCTATTGATCCATCATCATCCCAATCATCATCATTGCCGCCAACTTTGCGGCCGACCAGAATACCAGTCGCAGTGAGCCCGACAGCCACGAGAAACCAGCTCTCAAACCAGCCTTCCACAAAACGTCCTTCGAGCGGCGCGCCCAAAGCTTCCGAAATAACGCTGCTGACCTCAGCCGGTAGGTTGCTTCTCAGAAGCAGCGCAGAGCTGATCACATACGTGCCGGCAATCTGCGAAATGATCAGGGGCAGACTGGTCTGGACATGTTGAAGCAGTCCAGGCGCAAATCGTGTGAAGAGACGAAAGGTCTGCAGCACGGCATTGAAAGATGCTAGGAGCATGATGCCAGATAGGAAGAAACTGATTTGGCGTGCCCATGCGTCGCGATCTAGGTCGCTGTCCCAATGGGTTGTGAGAATTGCCAGTAGCCTATTAATGGGATCACTGCTAGCAAAAGAATGGTCCGGTTGCGACCATCTTCGCAAAGACGAAAGAGAGGTCGCACAGATTCTGTATGCGCAATAGATTGCGAAGGCCATGTTGGCAAAATTCAAAAGCCTGCCAAGCTTCGTTCGCGATCGTTCTTGCTCCTCGTGTCTCGAGCGCAGATTGCTGAGAGAGCCTGCTAAGGTGAAGCGCATGGTCTCGAGGCCGGAGATCTCCATGCGAAGAGCCTTTAGTTCTTGTGCCTCGTTGGAGCCACGAAAAGAGCCAACCATGCGACCGAAGAACCCAGTCTGTTCGACAGGTGCAGCGTCTTGGCTCATCTTCCGCTCCAAAGCTCGCGCTCTGCTCTGCTTCGTGGCGAGCATCTCTTCAGTTGCAGAAAGTCCAGCAGCTTTGCGGTTGATGTCGGTATCGCGCACGGTCCTGTGCCGAACGCCGAACGTCTGCCACAAAGACGATACGGCTGCGAAGCCGGAAAGTGACGCCATAAGTGATACGCCAATGATTCCCACTCGCTCAAGACATGCTTCTGTGAAAGAATGATCTTCTGAATGCCCTGAGTCGGGATGATGCAGTGTGTCTCGCAGAATTGATGCTTGTGGGATATACCAGAACACGGTGAACCATGACGCGAAGAGTGCAACCTGGAGGAAGATACGAAGATTCGGTCTAGTTTTGCGCGTCGATGTCGATTCTGAAGGAGCTCCTAGCACACCCTTGACCATGCCGTGAATCTCTAGAGCTGGCGTCACAACAAGGCTGAGAACCAGCAGAGAGCTCATCGTTATTCTCAGCGCAAGCCCTCTTGCAGCTGGATTCAACGTATCCGAGATCTCGAATAGCAAGAGCTCAATTAGGACAGCCGAGAGTCCTATGCTGGCCGAGAAGACCCAAGATGCTAGCTTCGCTCTCGAAGCAGATGTGATGCGGTCGCTCCACTTTGCGCCTTTGAAAACATCTTGCTTAAACGTTGGTAGTTCATGTTCCCCGCTCTTTCGCTCTGGTTGCTCGCCCGTCAATAGCGGATAAAGCTTGCGTTGAGCAATGTATACCGCTGCGATCCATGTCAAGAGAAATGGTATACTAGATATCACAACTGTCGATGTTGGGGCTGAATCCAGGCTGCGTCGCATATATGCCGGCTTGCACTCATCGCAGTCGTCGAGCGTGGGTAGCATTGGAAATTCAGGGAGCTCAGCTCACAGGAATCAATGTATGAGAGGAGGGATGAGTCCTCGTTCGCTGAGAAGGTATGTTTTCTGTCGATGGGTGTTCTAGAAAGGCGCGATCCTGTTCGTACTACGGCGGGTGGTCTCGATCTATTGGTGATGTCTGCAAAGACGTTCTCTTTGCGATTTGACCTGGTAAGGGCATTGAGGCGAACTTGTGTCGCACGATTGTATGAAAGAGGACGACGACTGCTGTCGCGTACCTTGCGTGTGTGATGTGATGTGGCTGGTCTGGCCGAAAGCCAGCCGGTGACGTAAACTACCGAAGCCGCCAAGGATTGACCTGCATGAACCGTGACATGGACCTATCTCCACTCAGACCAGTAACAAAGGGTGTTATATGGTTCAGCCACTATAGAAATAAACTCCCGCACAGACCACCCAACACCCTTTGTTACTGGTCTGATCCGCTTCTGTCGGGATTTTGGTACGCGTGCATAGATAAAGCGACCCGAATTTTTTTTCGAAGAAAGAATACGCAATACCTAGACCGAAACTCGAAAATCCGCCACGGTAGCGACCTAGATAAATACCTTATATATACTAATTACTATTTTTTATTCCTTAGACGATAGCCCCGGTTTAGGAAAATCGAATGTAATCTAAAAACCGAACACGCTCGGCTGCATAGAAGGCTACTCTATACCGCGACGATAAGAATGCGCACTATTTAGACCGTAATTCGAAAAAGTACTGCCGGGCGGGCCTAGATAATTATATTATCTAGGCCCGCTACTATATATTATATATTAATTTGTGTTCCTCGACGAGTGCTTCCTTAGGAGGGGAAAATCTATACAAACAGCTAAATTGCGACAGAAACGGCCCAGACTAGAGATAGGATCTCTGTTATCTAAACGCTGATTGGCTATACGCCACACCTTAGCCACATACTATGCCACTATGCCACACACACACACACATACCAAAATACTACACCCTCAAATAATCCTATCTCTAGTCTGGTCTCGAGATAGGACATGGACCCGGCCAAAGCGACTTTGTAAGTTAGTACAGCTAAGTTAGGTTTCGGAATGTGCCTACGAAAGCTATAGTCTACGGCCAGTGGTCAGTCCATCAGCACTTCATGCCTTTGCGCTTTTGTTTGTGCTGCTGTCATGCTCCAACAGCTCATCCTGCGTGTCTTGCCAAACAGCTTCGCTTCATACTCGTGGTTGCTGCTTCGACAGGGTTCGCTGATATGCTCTGTACGTTTCTGGACGGGTACAAATTTTCGTGACACGTAGAAAGACTGGTAGATATCCCAAAGATTCTCTTCTGCCACCACTGGTTCGCCATGCACTCTAAGAATGTCCATCACTGCTCGTCTTATTCTTTATACACATGCCGAGTCACGGCCATATCCAGGAGTGTTCCGGTTTGCTCTAATTCGGAGCGATTGAGGTCTACTTCAATCTTGCAAGGCGAACTGCATTCGCCATCTGGGATGATCATGTCTCGGCTGGCACCGACGATGAATGGTGACCTCTTGGTGGCTGACGTGTCTGACAGGAACATTTTGCAATGTTGCTTCAGCCAGAGTTGCCGACACCCACGGGCGACAGCTAGATTCTGTGACCTCTCTGGCTTTTTTTCCACATCATTCCACAGAGTCTCGTTCTTCTGGTCTGGTCCAGAGAAGTAGTGCTCACCCTCAGCTCCGCCGGCAACGAAAGGAGACCGCTCGAAGAGGCAGTGCTTGTCTCCAGCGCGGTTTCTTCAGCGCAAATGAGATGAAGGCTCCGGCAAGGGTCGGAGTCCGAATCAAGTGGTCCCTAACGACAGGGGGCCTTCTCAAATCGTCCGAATGAGCATGACTACCTGCTACTTTGAACTCTGTTGCGTGCGATGATCTATCTTCATGGATGCGGAGTTCCAGCATGATGAAATGTCGAGAAGTCAAGTGCTACTGTTAGAGTTCAATCATGATCGTGGAAGTTCGCGCAAGCACGCGGGACCCTGGCACCTAAATTTAAATCGGCCCGAGAGCTCCTCCGACTCTGCGAAAACCATCAGCATTGGTTGAGCTCTCACCATAAACGTCCGCCCAACACTGACCTTGTTTCCTCCTGCCATTGTCCATCTTGGGATTCGTCTTCAGCTAGCTACCCATTGACAACTGGCATTGAGAATGGTTGCCGCACGACTTCTCCGCCCAGCGGCGCAGCTCCTCCGCTCCGGTCCTACAGCTGCTACAATCCCGAGATCGAGCTTTCAGAGAGTCGCTGCGCCAGCGGTATCAAGATGGAGAACATATGCGACTGGCTCCAAGGAGATGACTGTGAGAGAAGCTCTCAATGAGGCAATGGTGGAGGAGATGGAGAAGAACCCAAAGGTCTTCGTGCTGGGTGAGGAGGTTGCACAATACAACGGCGCGTAAGTCTTTCGCGAGATGAACAAATGTGCACAAGGAGGTGTGCAGGATCAACTGAAAAAGAGAAGGCGTAGCATCCGCGCGAGGAACGCACTTGGCGGGGGAACATAGGTCAGGGAGGAAATGATATCTGGACCAGTGCTGACCATTTCTGGCTTACAGATACAAAGTCACAAAGGGCCTCCTAGATCGCTTCGGCGACAAGCGAGTTATTGATTCGCCAATCACCGAGTCTGGATTCTGTGGTCTTACTGTGGGTGCTGCGCTTGCCGGACTGGTGCCCATCTGCGAATTCATGACTTTCAACTTCGCCATGCAAGCCATTGATCAGATCATCAACTCCGCTGCGAAAACCCACTACATGTCTGGTGGTATCCAGCCATGTAACATTACTTTCCGAGGGCCCAACGGATTCGCCGCAGGTGTTGCTGCCCAACATTCGCAGGACTATACTGCATGGTATGGATCCATTCCAGGTCTCAAGGTCGTTTCTCCTTACTCCGCCGAGGATGCGAAGGGTCTATTGAAGGCCGCCATTCGGGATCCTAACCCAGTTTGTGTGCTTGAGAACGAGCTGTTGTACGGTCTGCCATTCCAGATGAGCGAGGAGGCGCAGAGTGACGAGTTCGTGATTCCTGTAAGCCTACTCACATACCACCCCAGGCGTTTGGGCAGCAAGAGGCTAACGATATGCAGTTCGGCAAAGCGAAGATCGAGCGCCCCGGCAAAGACCTTACCATCGTCACCCTTTCGCGATGCGTCGGTCAGTCCCTTGTGGCAGCCGAGCAATTGAAGAGCAAGTACGGCGTCGAGGCTGAGGTCATTAACCTCCGAAGTATCAAGCCCATGGATGTGGAGGCAATCATCAAATCAGTGAAGAAAACTGGACGCCTCATGGCTGTTGAGTCTGGCTTCCCAAGCTTTGGTGTTGGAGCAGAGATCATGGCTTTGACGGCCGAATACGCCTTTGACTACCTAGAGGCTCCTCCAGTCCGTGTCACTGGTGCTGAGGTTCCAACGCCATACGCCGAGAAGCTGGAGAAGATGAGCTTCCCAACCGAACAGCTTATTGCAGACTACGCAGCCAAGCTTCTCCGAGTATGAGGATACTCATGCAGATGGCGTTGAGACGGCATGAGGTTACAATAGCACCAAGCCATGATGGCCGCCAGCCCGCGTGCTAGACACGTGGCAGCTGCAAAGATAGAGATTGGAGCGCCTTCAGTGTGGCTCCTGCAGCGAGCCTTCGACCCCAGCAGTGGCGAGACAGGGTACTGTAACTGTACTTTTTTACCACGGCTTCTCATGTGTCCTGTGTTAGAGGGCAGAATTGCGTTTTTGTGTGATAGTGCATCAAGCGTGGGTGCGGGAATGGATCGGAATTCAATTGCTATATTCAAAGCATGATATGCAGCACAAAGCTGCATTTCCAAGCTTACCACATCCGTCTGTTCTTCGCTTCTACTTATCACGCCCACTTATGCCAGACAAATTGCACCAAAGCCACTAGCAGTGGCAATCGGAGGTGGCTGCCATGCTGCTCCGCGTGTCTATGCGAGTTTTTGCTGAAGGCTGCCGGAAATGGCAGATCTTCGAGTGGCGTGCCCAATCTTGAGAGGCCGACGGTCGTACGAGAAGCGCCAAATTGCGTGCACCGCCTCTGATGCCACCCTCAGAACCCAACGAGAACTTCGCATGGCCCATATATCGCCGGAAACATCATCGACAGCGCGCAAAGAGCTCGTGAGACAGTGCCGTTGCGGCCGTGCTGCTGCTGTGGCACAGTCACAGTCGTTCGCGAAACCTTGTTCGAGTGACAGATGTCGGCACACAGTGACCTTGATGGCCTGGCCTGGCTCAACTTCACCTCTCATTCCTTCTTCTCTGGGCTACATTCGTCCTGCTATGCATTTACGCCTACATCTTCTTTCCTGTCCTTGATGGCGCTTGCCTTCCCGGCGGGCGAGAGACGTCCAAATTTTTTCGTCGCTTGCGGCGTGGCCCGGCCCAATCTACCCACCGAATTCTGGCTGCACGAGGCTTCTGCGGTTTCGTTGTCCTCATGTCTTGGGCGGGAAAGAGTCGATGGTGTTGCAAAGAGGCTGGAGTGAAGTCTGGAGCGATCTGGAGTACAAAGTGGTGACGTCCACGCCAGGATCGCGATCACCAGGAGAGGCGTTTCCGTACCCAATGAGTGCTACTTGCTCGCGTAGCTTATTGGTTTCCTCGTGGCCGCCTCCTTGAAGGCGGTTCGCAGGTTCGTTCGCTCTCCTGTCGGAAGATGCCATTCTTCACCATATCCCTTGACCGTACGCGGAGTCCAGCCGCTTCCATCGCCATGGGTATCTCGACGCCCAAAGAGACATGGGGCTTGCAATGCATCTTTGGTGTTCTACGTCCGGACGCATAGATGACCGGGGTGTACCGAATCAAGATTGTGTCGCTTTGATTTACGCATTCTCTCGTGGTAAGCAGGGTTGACATGTGAATTGCTGTCACCTCGTCGCTGATGACGTTGACGGTGGATGGTTGTGCCTGCTCTGAAACTGAACGGACAACGATCCTCGGACAGATATATGAGTAAGGGCGTGCCTGATCAACTGCAGGACCATCGGGCTTTGCACAATCTTCTCGACAGAGACGCAGTGAAGTCTTACTTTTTCACACTGGAGTCAATTGTCCCAAGCAGACGCGAAGGCCTCTCAACGTCTACTGCAAGTCCTACACGGTTGAGTCTCGGCAAGAAACATACCAGTCTTAGTGTGCCAGTCTGGTCCCACAGCCCGACGAGAGCACTCACTGGCCATAATTCCTCGGCTCTGAGCGAGGACGGCTCATCACCAGTCCTCAGCCTGTGGAGGCCATCGGGCTCGTCCCATAAGGCGGACGGGTCTCTTGGCGAGGCTCTGCGAGCGAGGTCACAAGCGATACCATCCGCAGGATCTTATCGCCTGCTCAGCCGTCGCGTGTAGCGTTCAGAGCAGCACTGGCCTCTCGGTTCCTCTAGCAAGAATCTCATGGAGACACCAGTGACACGCTCCCACCGCCCGGTGAACTTCCTTTCACAAAAGAAGCTTTTCACATGGATCGAACAAAGTCAGCAGCAAGACCTTGCTCGAGTGAGGACGCTCTCCTTAAGATTGACCGATATCGATCTCTCTTCACTGCTTGATCCGATCTTGAGTGGCGGAAGGCGCGAGACACAGAGCGTGTGGAGTCTATACAACACCGAACTCGAACGACTGGACGGCGCACTTCGTTGTCTGCCCGGGCTGGAACATCTTACTATCGTTCCACCGAGCAACAACAAGTCGTCACTACTGAGCGGTATCTATCGGTCGTTCCTCTCACAGATACCAAAGCGCTGTCCCAAGGTACAGCATCTCATAGTACACGACCACGAAAGTCTTCTCGAGACTGTCCCTGGACTCAAGAACATCCACAAAGTCGATTTCGAGGACGCTGCTTCATCACCAAGCCCAATTCGATCACCAAATTCGTTGCACCGCCGGATGATGGCGGACCAAGGAAAGGCAAAACATGTCATCGTCAAGATGGAAGCAGACACGGACGACGGCTAATACGGCCACAGCAGATCTCCTAGAGCGACAGAAGAGTGAAGCACAGTACCAACCTCGGGGCTTTTGCGAATTAGAGAATTGGTCGGGGGACGTTCACGAGCAATGTAACTTTTGCAAGGAGCTGCCTTGTGTGAAGGTGGGCGTGGAGTGTGTCACCAGCGCGTTGCACGGACTTCTTACGGGATGGAAATATGCATAGTACACTTGAGACCTCCAGAAACATGTATATTTTGATGTTTCTCGCCGTCTACGAAGACGTCTTGTGCTCTAGTCACCTCAGAGTTCTGCTGTACAATTGCCATTTTCTGCAGTATTCATGGCCCAGGCGTACGACATGTGCTCTCCTCAAGACACCGTGGATGACACCACTCACGGAGAGGATGGCGGAAATGCCCTCTTATCCAGATCGTTTTATGCAAAATAGGTAATGGTCCCACTCCCCTGCCCCCAGTACTTACTCGAAAGCGGAGGGCCGACTCAAGATGGCGGGCGATATGCGCATGAAATTCATTCCAGCTACGCTGCAGTCTTCTTTGGGGTACAGCAGTCACCTGCTTCTACTTTTCCGCTGCTCCCCAGTCGACACTCGTCGGGGGAGACATCCAATTCATTAAGTCTTTTCGCCGCGTCATCGCAGAACTTGGCCATGCTAGTATCTTTGCTCGAAAGTCCCTCTGGATCGTGGGTCGTCCATCGTATATGGGCCTTGTTGTATACATTGCTCCATTCAGGGTGGTGCTTCACCTTCTTGCATTCGGCCGCCACGTCGTTCATGAACTCCCTGAGGCAATGACAAATTAGCTAGTCAATTCCAAATCGGACAATTCGGGGCTAATTTACCATGTCGTCTTGAAGGTCTTGAATTTGAACCCTCTCTCCAGCCCTTTTCCATCGTTACAGAGCTTCCACTTGCCATTCTCTACCAGATCAGAGGCCTGCATGAGTACAGCCGCCTCATCTTCCCCCTGCGAAATCGAGACAGAGCTGGGATCAACCATGACTGCCGAGCTGCTCAAGAAAGCACGCGGCTGCTCTTGCCCAAGTCGACTAGCCGCCAGATACTGAAATCGTGATGCACGCAGGGCGCGTCCACCGAAAGCTCTGTTCATTGACATTGTGCATGAAGCCGGGGCGGTGGAACCCTGGTCCCAGTCGGATCGGCACTACTGCCAATCCTCTTCAATCGTGCAGCGGTGGGACTGCTTACATTATGCAGATGTCATAAATGTGAGCTAAGGCAGACTGTACAGTACTCGCAATGTCGGTCGTCTTAGCCTCGATGTCAGACTGATGGAGAGTCGATGCTCGCTCGCATGCGCTTGTTCTGAAAAGGCAAACTCAGACGCACAGACGGGGTTGTAAGCTTTGTCATCATCTCGGCAAGGGCAGCCGACGCCATGCCATGTTCCCTGCCAAACCATCAGGCTAACACCGCATCCACCTGATTCCACCATTGTTGTTCGTCGCCATCATTACACAAACCCTCAGGCTTGTCAAATAGAGGTACCTCGGTGATCAAGAACACGATGCACCAGGAGAACGTCATTATCCCGTCCCCTTGTCGCACAGGCTGCGTACGCGAAACCATCATATCGAGGACGAAGAATCGAAGATCATCTCAACTCATGAATGCCTGTCTTAGTTCGATGCTCCCGAAGAGTATCAGTCAGCCGGCAGCACGGATCAATACGAGGATATGAGGCATAGTGTTTCGACCGAGGCCACATCGTGAAGGATCGCAATTCCCGGACAGCAGTTCACTTACCTGGTACTGCGTTAATAGCGATAAATTTGGGGGCCGTTACGGCCTACGCTCCTAGCCAATACTACAGCCCATTGTGCGAAGACGATGATCACGAACGGGAATAGGGTTCTCGGAGCTTTCTGGCAAGTCATTTCGGTCCATCTGCAGGCAGCAGAACATTGATCGCCGTAGAAAGAATTTTCAAAGCCAGTGAAGCCGATAGTACAGTGCACGCTTTTGAATCTTTGATTATTACCTGGTAAGACCGAAATCAAGCCCAACCAATCTAACTCCTCAATGCCATTACAATGATTCAGTCTTGTGAACTCCACGCTGATCTCATTCGTATAGTATCCGTATCCACGCTCTCACGCTTCCGAAGCCGCTGCTTCTGCCTCATCCAGCAGATAGGCGAACTCGCCCTGATATCCCTCATAAGTCCGCATGAACTCGAGCTCAGTGCTTATGAGGCCTGCCGATCCCTTGATCGAGTTAGCTGCCTCTGCGGCTGCCAATCTCTGGATCTTGTCGTCCTTCCTTCCACCAACCGGCACGGCTGCGGCTCTCAACAAGTCGGTCAGGTCGGGAACAGTCGAGTCGTTGTCAGCGTGAGCAAGACGCGACACGACTTCGGCGTGAGATTCGGTCGGATGGCGGCGAGCAAGCTTGCGAGACAAGAGACAGGCGTCGAGCTCCTCCAGGTTCATGATGCTGCGCGGGTTGAGAAGGGTCTCTTTGGTGACCGGAGCCTTGTTGAACCCAGCGTTGACAGTCGCTGGAAGTGCGGGCACAGCGGCAACCTTTCCTTTGCCTTTGACTCTCGAATTCCGAGCTGGGTTGACGCGACGACGACCATCGACTGACTTCTTGGTGCGAATGGGTAGAGCAGAGTCTGCGCGAGAGTTTACGGGCTCGATCTCGTCATCAGCACCGTTCTCCTCACCAGTCATCTGAGCCTCAGACTCCTCAGCCAGCTCCATATCATCGAGCTCTTCTTCCTCATCGGTATCGTAGCCGTCGTTGACCTTTCTCTTCCGAGGACCACTACTCTGACCTGGCATATTCTTGCCCGTGAAGTTCTTGTAAAGCGTCTTCTCGCCACGCCACTTCTCCATCTGCCAGTCACGCTGAGCACGCATCTCCGCAAGTCGAATGACACGCGCGTCCTTCAACTTTTGACGAATAATTCCGCGCTCGCGCTTGATTCGATTCCGCTCGCGGAGTTCCTGGTTCTTTCGCGCGGTTTCTTCGTCACGCTTCGCTTGACGTTCTTCTTTGGCTCTCTTGCAAGCGTCTTGCTTCGCCTTCTTCAGCTCTGCGGCCATTCGAACGGCTTCCTCGTTAGCGGCGCGATCTGCTTTGGCTTTGGCAATGCGCTGCTCTCGCATCTGGCGACGTCCAGCTTGATCGTCATCGAGCTCGATTGGGAGAAGCGCGGTGCCGGCTTTGATCGCCTCGAAACGCTCTTCGCAGGCTTTTGCGGTGTATTTGCGCTTGCCAATTTTGTCGGCGAGGTAGATCGACACTTCCTTCCACTTCTTTTCTTGAAGCTGCTTGTAGGTTGACTCGTACTTCTTATCCACCTCGGCTTTAATTTTGGTGACCATTTCGTCCTACAGATGCGTTAGTGACTCTTCAAAAACGTGACTGCTATTGATTTGACTGACCTCTCCAACGTGCCAGTCGCTGAGTTCATCGTCGAGTAGCTCGTCATTCCTATCTTCCAACACCTTGCGCAGCCGGTTCCACCGGCTGCCTATGGTCTTGCCTACGTATCGCACCCTACCTTCTTGTTGCAGCTTCCCCGCGACGTACTCATCACTGTAGCTTTGTTGTTTGAGCTCGATGATTCGGCCATCATCGGAGTCGTAGTCGGCGGTGATTTTCTTCGCGATGGCAGCGACGCCGCCTGGTACGCGGAGCGACTTGGCAAGATCAGGTGCTGTTCGCTTCTTTGCTGGCGCTCCCTCGCCGGTCTGAGGGTTGAGGTACTAGATCGCTCCGTTAGTGCTTGGGGCCTTGCTGCCACGGTCTTCGCTCTCGAGGGCGCGGAAGTTATGCTCAGTGCGGAGTTAATACTTACTTCTGGCTCAGATTCTCCTTCATTATCGACATCGCGAGTGAGTTCGAACTCGCCTCGGGTGTCAATATCTGAATAGTGACCTGCTGTCAGTCGCTACTTTTCCGTCGCGCAATGCCCGTTTTGAAGCCCAAGCCGAAACACCACCAGCCTGGCAGCCGCGATATCACGGAAGCTTACCTTCATTCAGGGGTTTGGGCGCACCACCCCAGAACATTTCGAGGCCGGACATGACGGCGCTTTGGATTGCTAAGAGGAGATGTCGGTTGATGTCGCTCTGGAAGTGTGGTTGACCTGGTGGCGCACAAAAGGATGTCGGTGGCTTGGATATCGTGTCGCAAGCGGAGTGGAAAGAAGTAAGTAGAAGTGTGGAATGAAGCGGTGACGGCGCTTCACATCTCATTTAGTGCTTCGCGGCTGCCTAGTCTGTTGATGTGAGGCCGTTGGCAGCGCGATTGCCGTAAACATGTGAGGACGAGCGTCAGTGCGCAACCAATAACCACACGAGCAGCTCACTGTCGCAGGTGGGAGCAACGCTCCCCGCGTCGCAAATCGAGCCACACGGTAATTGCTAGTGCGCAGAGACAAGAGAAGATAATTCTAGCCGAATTCACATCTTCGAAGACTTCCGGTCTCGAGACGAATATGAAAACCAAAGATTGGAGAGATTCCAATTCGCGTGTCATAAGGGACTCGAGAGGAGAAGCATAAATGGGAACCGAAGCCCAAATTTCACACGAGCAGCTCACCGTTGTAGGCGGGTGCAACGCTGCCCGCGTCGCAATTCGAACCACACGTTAATTCCTAGCGCGCAGAGGCGAAAGAGAATGATTCCGACCAAGCTCACATCTTCGGAGACTTCGGGTCTCGAGGGATTGGTGAGGTTCTAATTCGCGTGTCACAAAGGACTCGAGAGGAGAGGGAAGAACAGGAACCGAGATATGCCTAGTGAGGCTGCGAGGCTTTACTTTGTCACGCTCCGAGGCCGGAAGCAGATGATGCTCGTGACATTCCAGATTGCACCTAGTGTAAGCTACTGCCAGCAGGAAAGCCTCCAAGGTAAAGTGTCTGAAAAGCTTCACTTGAAACAACAAACGACCATATTGGTCTGCCGCGGCGCTCCGAGGCCGGAAGCAGATGATGCTCGTGACATTCCAGATTGCACCTAGTGTAAGCTACTGCCAGCAGGAAAGCCTCCAAGGTAAAGTGTCTGAAAAACTTCACTTGAAACAACAAACGACCATATTGGTCTGCCGCGGCGCTCCGAGGCCGGAAGCAGATGATGCTCGTGACATTCCAGATTGCACCTAGTGTAAGCTACTGCCAGCAGGAAAGCCTCCAAGGTAAAGTGTCTGAAAAACTTCACTTGAAACAACAAACGACCATATTGGTCTGCCGCGGCATCCAGAATTGGCCGTTGTTGAAGACCACTCCGTCCAGTAGAGGTCAGCCACGCACAGCAGAGCGTAAGCAGTCAGCTGCAGACGCTGATGTGAGGATAGGTATACGCCAAGCTCGTAGAAGCCTCGCCGATGGTTTGCACGCCGCAATGACCAGGTCCAGACTCGCAGTTAGCAAGACACGCTGCAGCAGCATGGCTGTTCTTGTATCATAGGCCATGCGGCGTGGACAAGTGTATGTCTGTAGGCTGCAATGGTGGCCGAACTGTATTTGAAGGCTTTGTATGGGCCTTTTGAGCCGCGAGCAAAGTCAAGACGTTGGAAAGGAGTGAGGTCCAGCGCCAAGACAGACGATGACCAAACAGGAATGGCTCCGTTTTGCTGCAGACACGCATCACCCACGCCAACTTCATGATTGCTGTGACGTAGCAAGCTCTCGAGGTGTGCGACAGCTTGACAGCTTCCTGGATGTCAGAGGCAGAAGCAGTGGCGATGCTGAATTGTTATTTCAAAGGTAGGTAGCGGCATTGTTCTTGCATTCTTACATCTTCTATGTCTCGCCTCACCTACGCATACACCACCACAATGTCATCATATTTCACGTTGCCATCATTTGCTAGGGCGAAGAAGAATCAAGAAGAGCTTCGAAGGAGTAATCCTCAGAACCCTGTCCTGAGAGATGAAGATGAGAGGTTTCTCGAGCGAACTTTATCACAAGAAAGACCTCCGCCTCTCCCGGCGAGGCCCCAGGTGACAGCAGTAACGGATGAAGGCGAAGAAAGGCCAGCGTCGCGAAAGGAAGAAAGCAAGGCCCAGGATGGCGATATCATCGTGCCAGAGACGCAGCCCAAGTCTCCGGTATCTCCAAGTGACGCCAAAAAGCCGAAAGACAACCCACTGCCTAGTCAAGAAGAGGCCGAAGCAGTTACGCGAAGCTGGAATAGCGCTGTCAAACTCGACGACGATCAACCTCATGAGAAGCGGACATGGGCCTCCTACATCCCAAATGCGATGCGACCAGCATCTTCGAAAGAATCATCCACCGACCAGCAACCCGACCAGCGCACATGGACCGAGTTCGCGGCCTCGTACGTGCCCACGCGAGAATCTCTCCCTGCATGGCTTGATCCTGCAAATTGGAAGCCAAAGGATCCAGACGCCAAGCCCGAGCCAGTCTTGAACGAAGACGGCAGTATCAATGAAGAGAAGACGAAAGAGAAGCAAGAGAAGGAGGTCTCGGTCTTGCTTGACAACCTCAATATGTCTACAGTCAACAACCGCGTCTTTGCTTTCTCTAAAGAGACTGAGAAGTACTATGAGCGGTTTGCACAATGTTTGAAGGACACTATGAATGGTGTGCCGACTGCATACGATGACATGGACAAGCTGATGAGGGAAGCTGGACCTACGCTCGAGAAACAGTTCAAGAGCATGCCGCCGTTCGTGCAGACTTTGGTCAAGAGCCTGCCTGCTAAGCTGGGCGCCAGCCTTGCACCAGAACTCTTGGCCGCATCGAGTGAAAAGCCTGGCGCTGACGCAAAAGTGAAGCTCGAAGAAGCCAGCAAGAAGTCTGCACAATCTGGCGCAGGCGTGAATACACCGAGTGGTAGCAAGGAGAAATCTAAGAGGAAGGTACCTGGCATGAAGAAATTGGTGCAAGGTGGACAAGGTGTGGTTGCGACCATGCTGCGAAACACCGTGAACTTTCTCACGACCAGATTCCCATTCTTGGCTAGCACCACAAATGTCGTGATGAGTCTAGCTGTCTTTAGTAGGTGTTCATACCCTGGAAAATTGTGAGGAATCCATGCTAATTAAATACCAGTCTTGATGTTCGTCTTCTGGTACTGTCACAAACGAGGCAGAGAAACCCGCCTCGCCAAAGAAAGAGAAGCCGACATCGCATCTATGGATGGGCAGGCAGACGATGATGACGAAAATGATGTCTCTGATTCTGACCAGAGCGATCCGGATACCATGAAAATGGATGACATTCTGAATCAGCCCAATCCTTCCGAGGTTCCTCTGCCCAAGACTGATACAGGTTTGGAGGAGAAATAAAAATCTTGCGACGATCCAGCTCGACCGAGAATGAAGCTGTGAATTCGATGAGAGCGATGAACAACGATACATGTGCAACACAGAACAACAGCTGATGAGGAAACCTTCGGAGTAGGATAGCATAAATAGATACCCAAAAACCCGGCGTTTGCGAAACTCCCCAAACAATCACTCTTCACCCTCCCTCAACCTCCTCCTAACATTCATCAATGCAACCCCCAACCGATTCTCCCCCCACCGTCCCCGATTCTCCTCAGCATCCTCCTCCCCAAACCCAATCCCCCAAATCCTATCGTTCGGACTAGCCTCCACCAATTCCCTCTCCCCAGTCTCCAACAATTTCTTTTTTAACCCTTCATTTTCGGAAAATTTATAAAAATTCCCTTCTTCAACAATCCGACTCTTATCTAAAACACGACACAAAAAAATCAGCATTGAGAAAAAAAAAAGACACACATCCTCACAAAGTATGATAAAGAAATTAAAAAAAAATTACTATACTTACTCTCATCCCACCTCCCCCTCTCTCTCAAACCCCCTTCGCCAATCTTCCCAATCTTTGATGTTCTGTCGGATTCGTGGTTTGGGAAATTTGATGAACGGTTTCCTTTACATCAAAAAATTCAATCAATCAAAAAAAATTTCTTCTTTTTCTTCTTCTTCTTCATGAATATGTGTTTTAAAAAAAACTCGAATGTGTGTGATTTTATTTGATTTCAACCTCACCTCGTCTCCAAAAAGTCTGGATTTTTTTCAATCATCATCCACATTTCTGCTGTCTGGTATGTGATTCCTTGAACGGTAAAGGGAGAGGGTAGGTACCATTGGGACATGAAGCCGTGGGGTTCGGTGAATTCGCGCCAGAAGTAGATTGGAGGTTGTGAGGTGGAGGTGGAGGGTTGTGGCATGTTTATTCTTTGGGTGAGGGAAGCAAGTGAAGGACGTTGATAAGAGTGGTGTCAATGCTCTGCAACTTGTAGTTGTGTAGCTGTGAATCGATGATGGATGGGAGCGGGGAGGAACTTGTAAGAACGATATACTTTCGCTGTACAGTAAACGCCGTGCGGCCTATGTTCCTTCGTGGAAAAAAAGAATGAATGAAACAACATCAGAATATGCACACCCTATCCCTATCCCAACTTCCCTTGCAGTTCCAGTTCATCAAGGTCCAATCTCAAGTTCGTTCGTCATCGCAACGTGAGAGATCGCCTCAGCCCCGCAGCTCTGTTGCCGTCATCACCACAAATCTGTCCATGTCCAAGAGGTTTCCTTCGAAGCTCCTAACACGCCTTCAGATAATTGCTCGGCACGAGACCTAAAACACCAGGTTTCCCTGTGACTTCAGCTTCCCACCATCCATCGTCCTGATGACGGGTTACAGCAAGAATGTCGCCTTTCGCGAAAGACAATTCTTCTGGAATCGCAGCTTGGTACATGTACATCGCGCGGGCTAAAGAATCGTCAGCAATTATCGAGAGAGATGTTGATGCAATTGGCTTACCATAATGCAATATCGGACGGCCGTCTTTGGTCACTTGTCTTTGTGTCCCTTGGCTTTGGCTTCGTACTCTGGCAGACACCTCATTACTGCCGTACCCACTACCCTCTGGATAGTACTGACTTTGAGGCCTGCCACCACGCTGAGAGCCATATGGGTCACCACCAGCAGGAGCCAGGACCATCGCGCCGCCCGCAGTGTCTGAGCCACGGCTGCTTGGCGGCCTACTGTTGGCCATGCCTCCACTCGTCGCAGGTCGACTGTATGCTGGATTCGGAGAAGTTGCCCGTGGGACTTGATACCCTGATGAGCCTCCTCGAGGCGCATATCCGCCATAATTCGGCTGCGGCTTTATCGGACTTGACGATTGTGCACGAGGTCTCGCTGCAGCAGAAGGGGTACTGCCGTATGGGTTAGGTGACGCGGCTCGGTATGCAGGTTGGGTACCATTGAGAAGAGGTCGTGGGCTCGTCGCTCGTGGAGGTTGTGGAGAGGCAGCACGCGGTGGTTCTTGCCTGCCCATAGAGCTGCCAGGCCGGGCTGGTCCGCCTGTGTTGTTGAACATATTCCGCTTTTGTGAAACATACTTTTCGGCAGTCTTCTGCATTTCACGCTTCGTATGAGCTGGCGGAGGGGCACCGAGTCTGCTCACCGGAGGATCGTACGCAGGTGGGGGAGTCCCTCTATTGGCAGTGCCTGCAAACGGAGTAGGTACGGCACCAGCTGGCGTGGACCGTCCTGTTGACCCTCCTGGTGCCGGTGTTGACATGCCGTAATGGCGATCAGCAGATTCTCGAGTCGACGCCTGCTTTGTCACTCCCTTCAACTCAGCAAGAGCTTGCGCGATTGGGTCCAATTCGTCGTCAGCTAGACTCCTAGAGGTCTGCTTCTTGGATGGATGTGTGACTTCGAATGTGCTGTTGCCGATGCCTAGCTGGTAGTCTGCTCTTGGGTCTACGTCAGGATCTGGGCTCACAGATGGCTGCTTGTTCCAGGTACTCGCCCGGCCGGCTGTTCCAAATGGCTTGATAGGACTGGTGCTGGCGCTCTCTGCCTTGCGCATAGTTGCTGGAGTCCAGGTGTTCCTGCCAGTTGGGGTAGCAGTAGCAGATTGAGGCTCCTCTTTGCGTTTGGTACTTGCGCGACGCTTGAAGGGACTGTTGAAGAAGCCACTCTTCTTCTTTTGGATCGTCTTCTCATCCGGACCTGAAGAGATACCCGACATGCTCGAGACACCGGAGATGTTAGAACCATTATAACCCTTGATCGGGGATGCAGCACCACTGGTTGGCTCCATGCTGGAGAATGAAGTCGGCGCCGAGTAGTCGCTGTGTTCCAGACTGTCACGACTGCCTGGTCTGACAGGTGATGGTATAGAGCTGCGCTCAGATGGTGGACCAATCCTGCAGAATTGAGTCATGCCATCTGCTGGGTATGGATTGTGTGGAATTTGCGGCGCATCTGAGTACGGATTCGACGGGGCGGATGAGACTGCGCTTCCTGCCAGCGGCGGCGGCATGGCAGCAACGGCACTTCCATGTGAGCTGCGAGCTTGAGAGGTGAAAGAGTCGTCCGCTTGGATGGAAGTTGTGCGATTCTTTGGGATACCCATTTCTTCACGCAGGCTTGAGTCCGGATCATGGTGGGATTCGAAAGTGCTTGGCTGAGGTGAAGAAGTCCTATACGTCGGGTTTAGAGTTCTTTGGAATTGCGCGACGGAGTAGGCTCCATCGTCAGACTCGTGGTTTGACACGACATCATCAATGTCTCCTCGGCAGAAGTTGATGTATTTGGGTGGGTCTGGTATCTCTTGTCCAGTGCCGGAATCCTTGATGAAAGTGCTGATGTCTTTCTCGACCTCGCAGTCTTCCAGTGAAAGTCTTAACTTCTCGCACGACTGATCATCACTAACGCAGACGGTAGATGCGATGTTGGCAAAGCTCCAAAGACTGCTCTTGAAGTAGTCTAGCCGCTCTTCTTCAAGATCCTGGAATTTGTCGCAGGCGGCTTTCCATTCCCGATTCCACCTGCCTGTGGTCTCTTCCAGAATCTTGACGGCCGCTTCGTACTCGCTGCTATTGCTCGACATTTGGATCTGTGTCTTCTCCAGCTTGGCCTTGTTCTTCCGCTCCTCCTGACCCATGACCATGTGCCCTTGCGCGAGGTAGCCCTTGATTTTGAGGCAGTCTTGTTCAAATCGATCGCGCGTCTTGTTGACTTGCGCGGTTTGCTGATTCTTGGTCTTCAAAAGCTTTTCGATGCCGTTCTGTACGATCTTTCTTCGCTCATTGATTCCGCCAGTAAATGCAGTCAGCGGCTCCTCCAATTCTCCTCGCATCTGATGCGCAATGTGCTGGTGTGCCTTTCCCATCGACTCGACTTCGCCCCTCACGACATCTAGAGACATTCGCAATGTTCCGGATTCTGACGAGCCCAGGGGCTTCCGGGCCAGTGCCAATAGTTTCTTCGCATAGTCGTCTTCGAGCGCGGCGCGCGCGTGGTAGAAGTCTTTCAGCTCGTTGCCCGTGACTTTGGCGCCGTGCATTCGGTCCAGCAGAGGGCCGACGCCAGCGTCATCTTTGCCCCAGAAATTGTTCGCGACTGTCGTCGTTCGTTAGCACATCCTCACAGCTGCACGTGCATTGTCTGCAGCATACATGAAAGTGAGACGGATGGCCCATCTGAGCCTGAGCCTGAGCCGTTCGCCCTGCCGGGCATCTTGACGAGGCGTGCTTCGATATGGAATGAAGGATTTGTACGATGATATGGGAACGAAAGCGATGCGGACGCGATGATGCTGTACGGCAATGCAACAGTCTGATTACGGTGGTAGAGGCTCTGATTATTGTTGCTGGTGGTCTGGGGAGAGCGGAGGCGCAGAGCAACAAAGGCGTCATCAGCCGACATGCCGGTTGCGAGGAGCAACCAGTGAATTGGCGCGCGAATCTATGCCCCGCCTCTCCCCACGGCCAGACGACACCACCTCCTCCCACAATGTTTGCTGCTCGATTCGTCCGTACCGTACATGCTGGAGAAGCGTTCGTTATATGCCCGTCGACGATCCCCGGAGCCATATGATGAAATTATGCGCGCCAGGTTGCCTTCGCTAGCGGCGTGGTCCAAGCAAGAGCCATCGAAAACGAAGTCCTGCGCCTGATACGACGAGATTGTTCCCGCTACCGACAAGCCTGAGGCGATGGCGATGGCGATGGCGATGGCCACCTACACCCGGTAACAATGGCACTGCCCTGCACCTGAGGCTCAGATACGGTATTGTCTTGCTACATACAGCATATCTGCCTGCTGGCGGCCTCAGGCGCGCTGAGCCTCCGATCGTGGAGGGCGCAGCCATGTTCAACTTTCCACGCTACTGCAATGCGGTGCAGGTTGCTGGCCCGCGTGTGCGACTCACTCGCTACGCAGATGGAGACGAAGCATGGTCGTCTTCCTCGCAAACACGTGGTCTTGCTGGCCACCATGGCACAAATCCTGCCAAGACATCTCCTATCTGGACCACCTGCTTGCTTACCTTTCACGAGCTATCTATCTGGCGCAGCGACACCGTTCATTGGTACCAGTCATGCCTTCCGCCGGCGTCACGCGGGGCGCAACTCCTTCTGCCTCCACATGATAGTCTGTGGCCTATCCCACACAGCCTTACTCCGCCACTAAGCTTTGGACCGCAATCCTATCGACCTTCTTCTCCCAACATTGGCCTCAGGTCAGATGTCTTCCTTCTTCGCTTGCAGTGACGGCCGCCCACTATGCGGGAGGGCTATACAACCTCGCCAGCCCTGTCACTGCCCTTGTCACTCGAGACTTACATACATGGACCACTCTTTCCTCTCTCATGAATTTCCTGTGCATGCAAGACATAGTCGGATTCGTCCCAAGCCGGCTGCTTCCAGACAGCCGCCGATATCCCGAGAGGTCACGACCGCCATGAAGAAGCTGAAGTCGCCGTTCAGCGGCAAGCCAAAATCGGCCGTCGAGGACCATGTTGAACCACCCTTGCAATACCGTGCCGTCGATCGTTTAGTATCCTCGAAGATATCAGTCGCAGAATTACACAGAGTCGTGAAGGAAAGGTCGTCTGCCAAGCACCGGAACTTTGAAGGAGAGTTGGATTTTGCAATGGAACCGCCCGTGATTCGTCCTGCCAAGCGAGTAGACTCGGCAGTCTCCTCATCAGCTGATTCTCGGGCAAAGGTCGAAATGGTTCGGGTGCCTTATGGCATGTATGGGTTTCGAGAAGTTCGAAAGTCGAGCATCACAAAGCCGGCTGTGAAACCAGCTGCAGCTGGAAATGCAGAGAATAAAGAGCCCGCCAAGAAGCAATCCATGTTTGGAGCTTTGAAGAAAAAACACGCGGTCAGACCGGTTGACAACTTCACCATGTGGGATCAGTCGAAAGACAAGATAGCAGGGACATCAGATGGCGCCAGCTACCATACTGCGAACGAGGCTCCGGATGAAGACAATCCTGGATCATCACAGAAGCTTGCGGAGGCCGAGGCTGACCCGTATGAAGATGCAATCAGTGTACGGCACAGTTGGGCAGCATATCCCACACTCGTGAAAAGCTCCGGAGGAAAGGGAAAGCAGCCAGTGAAACCCCGGCCACGCTTCTCAGACAAGGATGTGAACATGCTTTATGAGGCACGAGCACGTGAGAACAGTTCAAGTAGCCTCGCTCCCGTCGATAGCAGCATTGGCATGGGCGAATCAGAGATAGATACACGAGTTCGACCGAACTACGAGACTCTGGCATTGACAAACGTTGCTGTTCACGCTGACGGCGAAGCAGGCCCTTCGTCCACGCAGACAATACAAAATAAATGTCACGAAAACTGGGGTAACATGGATCAGGTCCTTGCGAAAGAAGCTGCGTTATGTGCAGAGATGGAGAGACTACAGAAACAGTGGGCGGGTGCGCTTTCTGCCCTCGAAGCACAGAAGGAGGCCCTTCTCGAGCGACAGCGACAAGAAGAGGAGGATCGTCGACGAGCTCTCGAGATCCAAGCCGAAGAAGAACGCATCCGTGCCGCAGAACTCCAAGCCGAAGAAGAGCGAATCGCAGCCGAGCTCGCCCGTACACGCGAATGCGTCTGTTGCGGAGACTCCAAGCACCCGAACGATTTCAGCTCCATGCCCGCCACCGAAAGTTGCGAGCACGATAGTCTCACGTGCAAAGAATGCATGCAATCCTGGCTTTCATCAGAATTCGACAGCAAGGGAGCAGAATCCATCAAATGCCCCGAATGCCCATCACAAGTCAGCTACGAGGACATGCAACGTCTCGCCAGCGAGGAGACTTTCGAGAAGTATGAAAAAATCCTCACCCGAAACGCTCTGTCCAGTCTCCCAGAATTCTCCTGGTGTCTCGCCTCAGGCTGTACCTCCGGTCAACTGAACGCGGAAAACGCAAATTTCATGGACTGTGTCTCCTGCCACTACAAACAATGTCTCACTCATAAATGTCCCTGGCACGTCGGCGAAACGTGTGATCAGTACACGTATCGCACTTCGGGGCAGAAATCCAAGGACGAAGACGCCGCGACGGAAGCTATGCTGGACACGGTGAGCAAATCCTGCCCCGGTCCGAAAGGCAAGGCGTGTGGATGGAGAATTCAGAAAATTGATGGATGCGACCATATGACTTGTCGTAGCTGCAAACATGAGTTTTGTTGGGAATGCCTTGCTAGTCATCGTGAGATTAAGGAGGTGGGGAATACGGCGCATGAGGAGTGGTGTAAATTCCACAGTAAGAATTTGGACGTCGCATGGCCTTTTAATGTGCATGCTTGAGCGGAGAAAGGGTTGTGTAATTGATGTTGGGTTTAGATTGCGCTCTTTTGCTCTTTTTGTGATGGCTGGGCTTAAGATACCGACAGTGAGCTGGAAGCAAATAGCACAAATACAGGCCAAGTCTGGTACAAGCCCGATCCATGTGTCACTCACACCGAAAACTAGTGAGCTAAACTGGCTCTCCGTCTCGCATATTACGGCAGATAAGATTGGGAACAGCTTTGATGAATGTTAGGTAGCGGTTGAGGAAGGAGGAGGCGGTCATTAGGATGCCGGCATGCAAAGGTGCAGCCAGATGCTAAACGAGGAGCGCATCGCATCTGGGAGCAAACGCTAATACGCTCATCGGAGTGCCACAGATGTAAGAAGACTTAAATCCTGATTCCTTTTCATTTAAGAACATGTTGTTTTGATTTGCAGCCCCAAACGCCGTCGCTTGAACGCAAGGAAAGCTCTAATTCCCTGGGTCGCACTCCCAAGTTCTCTCAGAACATTCGCATCGCCATCCTCAGTATCGCTATTCCCTCTGCAACACCACAGTCGCAGCCATGAACACCAGCATAACAGTCTTCAACCACGGGTATTCGCTAAGCAGAATCGTCACGTATCCCACAAACGGCACGTACGCGAACACGCTCCCAATCACATCCTTGGAGCGATCGAGATACGACTGTCCTCGAGCGTAAAGTTCCGTATCATCAGCAGCATTATTATCACCTTTCGTCAAAAGTTGCAACGGCGCATCCCTAAAAAAGAACCATCCATATCAGCCACTGACTGCAAGTTTTTCCCCCTCACCACGTCTCCATATACTCACCCTCCACCCCCAAACCTCCTGATCACCCGATGCACAATCGGAATATCTTTCCCTTTCACACTATACACCACTACTTCCCCGACTTGCGTCTCGACTCCTCGATTCCATAGGAATAGCAGATCTCCGCGCTGGAATGCCGGTTCCATGCTTCCGGACAATACGACTACGATTGGTGAGGAGGAGTTTGTGATGACGGAGAGGCCTTTCCAGAGCATGAAAGCTGTGCTCAGGACGAGGGCGAAGTTTAGGACTTGGGCGGCGAGTTGGCGCGGTTGCATGTTGGAGAGGGAGCCGAGCATTTTGGCGGTAGGAATGAGTCGTTGGAGGGAGAGGGATGGTGTTGGTTCGACCAAGTGAGTGTGGATTGTCGCGAGAGTGATTGGTGGTATGGGGACAGCTTGAGGTGCAGGTGAAGCCAACGCTTGTGAACGCGAGAGGTGTCCACTGTCCACTCGGCTGGACTTGCCTGAACTTAGAATAATTCAGGCTTCAACTCACCCCTGTGAACTCTTGACTTCTCTTCAACATCTTCCACTCTCGAATACATCGACGCCGTCTCCTTTCTATGGTATGCGCATTGCAACGCGTTCTCCAAGCAAGCGTAATGCGCGACTCAGTGATGATGGATCTTTCTCGAAGCGCTCTGCCAGCCAGAATGGACGGAGCCAGCTCACTTCCATCTCGAGCTATCTGGACAAGCAGACCCAAAGTGAAGTGCTGTTTTCTCTCCAAGTCCGCTGATATTCTTTTCTTATCCTACTGAAGACCTACGCGAGCAAATCCACCTTTCCGCGCACTCGAACAGACGCCATCTACGTGCACCGCGTTCTGCATATTTCCCATACCCAACTCCGCTCATCTACTTGTATTGCTTGGGGACGTCAGGAGGCAAAGCGCTCTTGGCATATGATATTGCAGGCTGCGTCTTAGCTCACTTCTGCAGCTCAGCTCACTTCTGCACGCACTTCACTTTACGAACACAATTTTATTCCACTTTTCAAGCGACTCTGATGTCTCACCTCGCGACCACTCTGGCCAAACGACATCTGCAAGAATCCATCGTCAACATGGACGCAGACACTCCAATACCGAGCATTGAGCCGCCTCAGCAGAACCACAAGGCCGTCGGTAGCACGTGGATAGCTCGCTACGAACAGCAAAGATGGCCAGTCGTGCTCTGCAGTGAAAATGGCCCCCCCGAGGCGTTCATCAAGACACGCCCAAAACACAATGGCGTACGGCCTGCCATCCTGCTGGGAATACATAAGTAGTGAGTGTCGATTGCAAATCTGTGCTGCGATTTCTGCTAATGACTCCAAGCATCTGGGTCATCGATGATCTGCTAGATGAGTACGAACCGAGTTATGGCTACCTAAATGGAGCACCCAAATTCTCTGTGGAAGAACTGCAGCCACACGACGATGATCAAACGAAGACGGAGAAGTTTCGTGACATCGCATTCCGTTGTGATGCTCCTGAGATGAGACACGATCAGTATTGGCACAATTTCATACGACAGCAAGCAGCAGCTCGCAAACTCGAGAGGAAGATAATGACGAGGAAGAAGAGCAAGCGAAGAAACGCCAGCACTACTGATAGCTCCTCGTCTATCATCGAACTTGACGGGTCCGAGCGTGATGGACATGACACCTGGCTGACTCCAGATTCCTCGCCGCCTCCAGCACAGCATGCAAAGCGTGCAAAAGGCGAGAAGACGAAAGACGTGATCGAGATCGATGATCACACCGACTCTGACGACAATATGTCTTCAGACGAGTCTTTTTCGGGGTGAGTTATTTGAACAGATCAACTTTCGTCGCAACTCAAATACTGACTTTAGATAGCAAAGACAGCTGCCACATCCTAGTCGGGCAGGCCAAGATGTCCTATGTCCTGCACAAGAAACACCTTCGGGGCTGCGACTACCTGCTCGATTTGCGGGAGAAGAACGGTCTTTCGGGCGGCTCACTCATCGATCTGACCACCAACGAACGTGCTATCGCGAGGAAGCTTTCTCCGAAGGACTTCGACCGGATCGTCCGCTTCATGAAGACCAGAGACGTTGGTCCAAAGTACATCAACGCACGAGGCGACAACCCGCGAATCTCCAAAGAAGACAGCACGCCGGAGCAGAAGACCAAATGGGCTGAGCAGCTCGTTTGTGCCTTTGTTGCTGCGAGCAAAGTCCAATTCGAAGAAATGCAAAAGGTCATCTATGACAAATTGAAGACCCTCTATCCGCTTGACAGTCCTGGCATATGCACGATCGCGTGTACCATCTCCTGTATGGGCCTGCCAGAGAACGACACCGAACAGGAGCTGGCCAGCTTTGTTATTGAGCATATCACGGACTACTTCTACAAGATCGCGAAAGAGCAAGGCTCATCTTTGCAGAGAATCCTGGAAGAGAGCAAAGATCTCAGGAGAGCTGTCTTTGAGCATCTCATCGAGAACGGCATGGCTGGAAAGCTAGGGTTGGACTAAGGTCGACGCGAAGAGCAACGGGGTTTGGGGCTTTTGGAAAATTTGCTGCAATTGGTCTGTGTACATCTAGAAAGGACCTACCGGACGGAACGAAGGAGAACCTCGGAAGGGAGTAGTCATGAGAAATTTCGAGAATTGAATTGGAAACCCATCAAAGCCGAAGGTCATTGGAGAAACACTAACAGAGTTCCCTCCATGAATGATATCCGATGCTGATCTTAGAACATTGGCCACCTCAAAACATTCCATTTTTGGGTTGTTGTCAATCTCAGGGCTAGACCAAATCCCGGCATTTGGGAGAGAGCATTCGCATCCTCCGATGAATGAGTCCTTCCTTCTTCGTCTTCTTCATCTTTCTTGATTGACTTGTGATAGGGGCATGAAACATGCCCGCCGGCAGTCCGCAGCTATCCTGGTAAGACAGTGGGCCACACCAAACACCGCTGAACATAGAACGAGCCAAACCTACAACTCACATTCTCTTCTTCTGCACTCTTCTCATGTATAGCTGGCCACGACGGAAACGCGATGGGCCAGCGTCATCAACTATACGTGATCGCTCGAGTTGGCACACGATACCGTGTGCTGGCCTCGGTCAGATCCTGGTCTGGCGAACTCGACAATGGGTCCAGAGTTTGCTGGGCAGGGCTTGGAAAACGAAAGATCAAATGAGGATTGATCTGAGCTTCTTTCCAAATGTCACGGGCTGGGGTACAGCGTGTGCTCGATACAGCCTGGGCTGAGTCGGAAGTCAAGGGCAGAGTGCTCGTTAGAATATGCCCCACCCTCACGGCCCCGAACACAGATTGCTGGGTGCAACGTAACAATCACCGACATCATGCAGTCAGCCACTCGAGTCGCAACGACTTTCCCCGACCTCCCAGCAGAACTGCGCAATCGCATCTATGAGGAGCTCATACCCAACCACAACATCACGATCCCAATTCTGCCGTGGCGCTCAGATGCTTCCGTATTGGCCACTGTGGCCAAGGATCGATCAAGACTTCATCACCTGACTTGACTATACTCCTCGTCAACCGCCAATTTCACAACGAAGCAAGTCCGCTATTCTACGCCAAAACGACTCTAGACATGAGAGGCGTCCTGATCGACAGTCTAGATCTTCGACTCCAGTACGCCATGGGGATTCTCGGTCCAAAGCTGCAGTTCATTTCGCATATCAAAATCGACTCGAGCACCGCCCAACTCTTTCTCTGGACGCCTTACGAAGAGGTCCTCGAATTCAAGTCCGTCTCCCATTTCACCATACCTGCAGAGATTCTCTCGACCATCTATCTCCGCGTTCCGCTCGACCTTGTTTGGCCTCCAAACCGTTGAGATCGTAACATCGCATCGACGCTCAAACTCTTGTCAACCTCGCCGCTCCTGGATCTCGCTCGATTCTGCACCGGGTCTTTCCGAAGATACATGAGATTCTTGTACGCAATTTGTTCTCTCTCGCAGCGGAGTGTTTCGTTCGACCGAAAAATGAAAGGTTGGCAACGAGCGGACACCAAGGAGAAGGTGCCTACGCGCGTTTATGGGGGCTGGGGATTTCCGAAGCGACCACTTGCCCTACTGCAGCCTGATGGGGCATTTTTCTTGGTGGCAGATGAGTTCCAGAGAGTTGGGCCAGTGGCCGAGGACGAGGGATAGTATCGGGAGGAGGGTATAAGCAGAGCCCTGAGGATGCTTGAGGCAGAATGAGGCCATATTGCGGCTGTCGTAGTTGTGAGTAGGTCAAGCGTATTGCGTAGCCTACCATCTCCCAGCACAGCGCTAGATAATGCGATCTTCCCAAAATATATTTTGTAATCAACTCTCGCAGTACCGATCGACGTGCGGCCAGAGCGCTTGAATGCGCGCCGTGTCGAAAAAGCCATTGGGATATCCCGTCCATCTCGTCTCTGTACGGGGGTTTAAGTTCTTCAGGTGTTTGTCAAAGATTGATCTCTCCCCCTTTGACGGCTCACAAATGCGCAAGATACCGTATATCTTTACGACAAGAACATCTTCAGCCTAGCGAGTAGGCATTGGAAGTCAGAAAAAGACGAGACCAACCAAGAAGGCGGTTTCGCACGAAAGACTTCTATCCTCGAGTTCAATCCTAATGCATATCGTTTAAAGAGTGTCTGTCTCATCATGACTAATACTACAGTTTTTCTGCACAGTACACATAAGTCTTCTTCTTCATCTCATCTCTGCTTTTTGAACCGGTTTCCGTGTCTCGCTCTGATTACACAATAGATGCCACATGGCGCATAACCTCATGATTGACTGTCATTAAATTCCCTCCTTGCCAAAATGAAGGGCCCAAGACAAATGGTCTCTGATGAAGCTACGCCCCACGCAGGGCGTTCTTTTCCTTTACACCCAAATGCTTCTTGTCATGTCAAAATGATATTTTCTCATCCGTTTCCTGCGGCCCTCCGCTCCGCTCCGTGTCACTGGCAAGCTTAGAATCCAGCGAGTGGACTTCTGCCTCCGAATTGCGCTCGCTGCTCCTGTCCCTGAGCGAGATTGACGAGCAGGCTCTCGATGCTTGGCGATGCCTTAATCCATGGTAGATCCCAAAGACCATAGTTGGGGTTCTTCATCATCTCGAGCAGCATTACTATAATGCCCCATGGATGTGGTCTTGGAACGAGCACGCGCTCGCACAGAATGCGCAAGATCTGCTCCTGCACTTCCTGGCCGCTTGTACCAAAGATGTGCTGCAAAGCAGTCGAGAAATAGTGCGTATGCGAGTTGACGAAGCGGACTTGGTTAGCCATCGCTGAAAGAATGTGGTAGCGCGCCTCTGCACGGCTCTCCTTAATGAGTCGTTCGAGAAGCTTAGCCGGGGGTGCCGCCGAGGAGAATACCGACGATGCGGATGTAGCGTGAATTCCGATGTGCAGGACAAGAGCATTGATAAGGATGCTACTGATGTGTCCGTCCTCTCTGTCAACGACAGCCAGCACAGCTTCGAATTCTTCATCGCTCAGCTCAAGCATGGCGATAACCTTGTCAACGATAGGCTTGATAGTGGCCTCATCAAGTACCTTGCTGGTGTCGCAGTGCACGGTTGGTGCCTGCCGAACCTGTTCAAGCCTATTAATCTTGAGTCCACTGGTGAATGGGTCTGGTTGGTCGACCGCGAGAGCGCGTGGACAGGCGTTGTTGATGATGTTGCGTAGCTGCAAGCACTGTAGAGGGATGCTCGCATTGAGCTGCATGTGATTCTCCACCAGAAACTCTGGGAAGTCGTGCTCAATGCTTATCATGAATCGGAAAATGCCGCGATAGAAGTCGACGGAAACAGGCGAAACCTCTGGTACCAAGAGAAGCTCACCGAGGTTGTCGAAGAGGACTGTCAGCAGCTTCACATAGGTGTTCCAGCCGCCATTAGCGCGACCCGCTGGACTGATGAAGGCTGGGACCAGGAGGCGGTGGCTCAACAGTGCGAGCCAGTGATAGAGGAAGCCAGAGAAATATCGTGGCTGAAGCACCTGCAAGGTAGTCGCGAACACTTTGAAAGCATCTTGGTTCTGCTCTGCTGTGAGCTGCTCGCGATGGTCATTCAACTCGACGAGCAGACTTGAGAAGAGCCTGAAGTAGACTCTTCCATTCCAGTGCTCGCGCTGCTTGTTGTGGTGGTCGGCCATAACCAGAACGATCAGGCGGATCATGGCCTCCAAAGACTTTGGCTTGTTAATTGGTTCGCCGCTAGATGGCGCTTGATACATGACGATGAGCATTATCAGCCTGGCGAATGCATCAATAGCGACGTATGCCTTGTCCTGAGATGCATATGGAATGCCGCTCTCGGCATTGAACTGCATGATCGAGTACTCGAGGCTGTGTCGAACGAATCCTAATGCGTCTTCTGGTCCAGTGATGATGTTCTTCTCGTGCAATTGTTGAACAAATGCCAGGTGAGATCGCACAGGCACGCCTCTTCGCTGCAGCGACACCCACTCCTCGAAAATGTATTCTTGCAAGTTTCCTTTGCTCGTCTCCGATTCTGGACTGGGCATACCATTGACTTGGTTGGCAGGTCGCTGCAGCTTCGAAACGACTTCGCGAGCAAGATCATTGTGGGGCTCTTCTACGAGCCACTGGCCGAGCGCTTCGTATGATAACACCATCTCAGCGCGCAGTGCCAGCGCGCTTTCTCTCAACAGCATCTCATCCAAGACGTCGCGGAAACACGCGAGCGCGACCATTCGGCGCTGCTTGAACGCCTTGGACATGAAGGCATCAATGTGTAGAGGCTCGAGCAACTCCAGCGAGCTAAGCGCGGTGATCGCAGACGCATTAAAAATGATATCGCTCTCAGTATTAATGATGGCGGTGATGACTTGGCGACTGACGGGATTATGAGCCCGCTGAAATGTCTGTAGGAGTCTGGCGAGGATTTCTGTTTCCAGCTTCTTTGAGGATTCGGTGAAGATGATGTTGAGCACGCGATCAGCCAGGACCGGGACGTAAAGCTCATACTGCTGGACCGCATCCAAGAATCCAAGAATCTGGCTGTACAGATGACGGACGGGGCTGGAGTCGCTCAGCTCACCAGCGTGGTCCTCCGTGGCCTCCCGAGTCGCTTGCTGGATCTCCTGAATCACTTCAAAGACGCGTGGGATGACAGTTGCTGGATCGATAAAGCCATTGACCTGCTGCGCTCCGTGTCCTTGCAAGCGATGATTCTGCGTGTTGCGAGGCATCGCCGGCGTCTCAGCTGGAGTGAGCTGTGGCATGTAGATGTCAGAAAGTACGTCCTGTGCGGGGCGTCCTTGACCATCTTGCGAGCCTTGGTTGCCATGGGCCTGCGCCGGAATGCGTGCTTGTCGACCAAACTCTTCGTAGATCGAAAGCTGTTGGCGATTGAGGCCATTCTGGTCTTGGCGATACGGATCTGGGATAAGAGTTGCCCAGCGGCTGACAGGTGTCTGCGCAAAGGGCTCGTCTGGTCTCTCCTGGGCGTGTTGGCGGCGTTCGTCTAATGCCCGCTGAAGCTGGAGATCAATCTCGTTCAATGAATGGTTCTCTGCCGCTTGTTCAACCAGACTGCATACTATGTCAATGTTGTCGTTGACGAACATCAAGATCTGGCCCTCGGGGAGCTGATCAGGGAGACCTCGAGAAGCCATGATGCGAATGTTGTTGGTAATGCTCATGCGCAGAGGCTCCTTGCAAGTGACCAAGGCCAGACTACCAGAGAGGGCCTTCACGACGGTGTGGGCCGAGTTGCGCATCTTGTCGACATCGCCTTCTGTAATGAAGTCCTTCTGGATCAACTCTGCAGTGCTGATGCTTGCAATGGTTACGGAGCGCTCAACGACCGGGGCGATGATCTCGTAGATTGCTTGCTGAGAGGCGTTGACGAAGATGTTACGCATCTGCTGCTGAGTGATGGAACCGACTGGCTGAGGAATCTGTAGCAGATTTCCGAGATCCGGCACAGCAGAGATGACAGCTTCTGGCGAAAAGCGCTCGTTCGGACCACGCTTGGCGAGCCCCATCAACGCCATGTCACCAAACGCATCAGGACCATCGGGGAGATAGTTCTGGAGCATTCCTTGGTCAATGACAGGCCGCGAGCGAATAGTATCCAGCGGATCAATCGATTTGATATCGAGACCGAATTCTCTACACAGCATCTCGATCTCAAACTTCATGTTGAGCTTGAGGTCCATGCAGTGATATAACTCACTCAGCAAGCCGAGCAACTCAGCGATCCATGGATTGGGCGGTCGGAACACCTTGGATTGAGCTGCTTGGACCAAGGTCTTGCATGTGAACGGGATCGCGACCAGCAGACGTCCATTGTCTTGGCCTTCCAAAAGCAGATCCTTGAAAGATAGATTGCGATGAAGGATCGGCTGATTGCGTGCAAGGGTAATGGAGCCAAGCCAGCCAGCCAGATTCTTCATCGTAGTTCGCTCCTGAGGATTGTCCATTGTCGACTGCGCGTTGAGCATCTTCTGACAGCTCATGTAAGTCTCCCGCAATACTTCGGCCCACAGCATCTTCTGATTGAAATTGTCCAAGATCTGCAGATAGAGACTCTGGAAATTTGGCTGCGACTTGGCCAGCTCCTCAACCAGATAATGGGCGAACCATTGATGGTACTTCTCTTCCACCGCGCCTTCAATCTCCTTGAACTTCTCGTCGAGGTTTCTCTTAGAGACGTTGTTCAGGACGAACATGATCTTGTCCGAGACGTCCTCATCAGGATCTTCGTAGAAGTTTTCGCGCAGAGGAGGATCGACTTGGATAGCGCTGAACGTAGGTGCAGCGACCTCGCCAAATTCTTCCTCGACGATTCCATTGGTGATCCCATTCGCGACCTCCCCGCTAAGTGCGGCATTTGACTCGTGCAACTCTTTGAGGACATTTTCGGCTGCTGGTACTGCTGGTGTTCCTCTGAGACTTGGGGTCTGCAGAATCCTGTCCGCCAGGTGTGGCCACTCCTTGAGTCTGGGAAGAACATGCAGGAGTGCTTGCAATCCGAAACGATACATAGGGTCTTCGGGACCGTACTCCGTGACGGCCTCGAAGATCATGAAGATTGCAGCTTGCTCTGCTACGCCCGAGAGAACATGGTAGGATACCAGTCCACCGAATAGCACGGCCGTGGTTGCGAGTGCCTCGTTTGGATACTCACCAAAGCAATTATACTCTTCAAACAGGCCGAATAGCATTGCTGCAAACAGCTCTTGGTCGGCGGGCTCTTCCGAGACCTTGAGACGATTGAGGTCGTTGACGAGCGTGTCTGGGTTAGTCTGGCCACCATACATTTCCTTGTACTTTTCTTCCATGTCTTTGGTGGCAGAGTCCGAAAGCACATTGCTCTGTTCGCCGTTAGCCTCGATAATGGCATCCAGCTTTTCGTCCTGGCCATAATTGAACAAGCGCGGGTAGCTTTGCAGGCATCTTCGGAAAAGGCCACCGAGCTCGTACTCGGGTGGCATTGCATCCTGGATGAGCGAGAGCAGGGCATGTACCGTTTTCGCCTTCATCGGCACCGTTTTGGGCGGTGCGTGGTCGCGCTGGATTTGAGACTCATCCTCGATCTTCGTGTTCAGGAATTCGGCTACAGCTCTGGCGAATGGGATTGGTCCGAGCTGAGCGACATGCTGTTGCGCCCATTCTTCCAAGTCACACTTTCCTTTACCGTGGGCGTAGGTGGCTAAATCGACAGCAAAGACAGTCGTGAGGGTGAAGAGCTGCTCTAGCCAGCCATGCTCATCCGCATGTTGATAGATTAGTATCAGGAGATTCTGGTCCTGGTTGTAGAACTCGACCATCCTCGTTGCAACCCACGACTTGTCGTGCTGCCATAATGCATGCATGACAAACTCGTAGTTGTCATGTTGTTTGAGGAGGAACGGGTAGAACAGCTGTTTGAGGGCTTGCTCCTGCAGTGGTTGCCAGGGTTTCGGCACTGCGGACGCAGCGCAGACGAACACTGTCATGTTTCGGTTGATGATGTTCTCGGGAATGCCAAGCACCTGGGCCATATTGTAGCTCTCCTGCGTCCTGAAGATCATCTCAAACAGAGTTCGAGTGGCTTGCATGGAGACGAGCGGATGCTTGATGGCCTGCTCCGCGTACGCCTTCACCTTCTCTGACGCAGTCGCAAACTGTCTCAGGTCAAATGCCTGCTGAAGATTCGGTATGGTCATCACGTCCAACTCCTCAGGCGTCGTGGACAAGAACGCAACCACAAAGCTCAGTTGTGTCTCCGGATACTGCCACGGCTGACCACCTGGTCCTGGTCCCCACAGGCTCTGGATATCGAAATTGGCGTACTCATTTGCCAAGGGCACCAATGCATTGTAGAGAGCCAAGAACTGCTTTTTCGTCACCCTCAGATGCTCCTTGTCGAAGCCCGATACCACATCTGTCCAGTCCAAGCGTGCGCCTGCCTTATGTTGCCGCACGGCCTCGATGAAGATGCCCGGGTCGTATGCGTCGCCATTTTGAGTGATGACCATGAAGAGTAGCACATTCGCGATCTGAGGATATGAGATGTCGCGTGTCTCTACTCCGCTTAAGATGTCTTTGCAGGCGTCTAGGCTGGAGGTCACGCGCGGGCCCGCTTGTTGTATGCGCTTGGCCAGACGCGAGTCCTGCGGTGATGCCAGCAGTGCATCGAGCAACATGGCAGATTCCACCTCGGGCGGGACTCTCGTATTGAGCCTGCTATATCTCACGCGTATAGCATAGAAGAGGTTTTCGCGCTGCTCTTCACCCCAGTTTCGTGGTGGTTCCTGAAGCAGTCGGTCGACGATGGCGGCAAGCACGGATGGCGACAGCTCGTTGTCGGGGTCGGTGGGTTGTGGGGTCGCGAGTGTGGAAAGGAAGCTTTGGAAGGTCTGGGAGAGGATGGCGTCGGCTAAAGCTCAATGTTAGTATGTCTTGGCAACGTGCTGCAGGTAAACGCGAGACATGTGCGCGGCGGCGGCGGCGGGAAAGCGCAGTGCGCAAGTGATCAAGCACAATACACACCTTTTGCTCGCAGGTCCATCTTGTTGACGGCGCGACACGGAAGGACCAATGCAACTTTTGCTAGCGGGTCTAGCGGAAAATGGTCGACAAATGCATTGAGGTCGAAGTCGCGGTAGAGCTCGGTCTCGGTGGTGTCTAGCGACTGGGCGATCTTGTCTGCTTGCTGCGGATCTTTGAGAATCTTGTGCATCTCCTCCAGCAGCAATTGATAGTTTCCAGCGGCCTCAGCGCCCGTCGGCGCACGTGCTGTGGGCGTGAAGATGGTGCCGACATTGCTCTGGAGCAGTCTGCGGAAATATGTGGTGAATAGCTCCATGCCGCTCTCATCGATCAGTTTTCTGATCTTCTCCGCCTGTGCTTCCCACTTGGCCTGGTCAGTGTCGTGATTGATGGTGCTCAGCAAAATATTCAACTGCGTGAGCACCAGACTGCTGAGCTGGCCCGACGAGCTCGCGGTGTGCGGTGCAGTGGACGAGACGGGTGAGCCCGCAGTGGTTGACAGCGATCGGGAGGACGAATGGCGCGCGAGACGAGATATGCCTCCCGCGACACTCGCACCGCTCAGCGTGTTCAAGCTGGCAATGGACGATGCGAGGCGCGGACTGCCCAAGCTCGAGCTCGAGCTCGCGACGTTGCGTTGGCGGTGGGCTTGTTGGAAAGCTGGGGTCGCGGTCGCGGTCGCGCGTGAGGACGATACGTATGAGGTGTTTGAGGAGGATGTGTTGACGCTGGCGGCGGTGGTGGTGGTGGTCGGTGAGAAGGCAAATGCCGTCCGCGAAGGGCTCTGGCTGTGGACCAGCGATGGTGGATTTGCTGTACTCGACGTCGCACAGGCGCTGGGGCTTGTGAGGATGGGCGTCGGCTTGCGACCAGTGCCAGATGCAGACACAAACCCTGACCCTGGCTGCTGATGTCGCTCTGAGCTGTTCCTGGCTGTCTGATTTCTGGCCCTGGACCTCGACCTCGACTTCGACCTCGACTGCCGCACGTCTAGAGGGGAAATCTGCTGCTGCTTCGGGAGGTTGGAAGGCCGGTCGCTCATCGATACCACAGAGGCATTGGGAATGTGATTGCGCGATAGAGATGAATGTGTGCTGGAGATGGGCGAGTCGTGAGAAGCGTTGTCAGGCGTGCATCCAATATCATAACTTATGCACCTACCAGGGAAGGCTACCAAGAGTTGCGCTTGACTTGAACGCCAAGACCAGTCCCGTAGCACACGTGATGTAGGAAACATTTCCTTCATTTGGATTTGCTATCTAGTCCTACGCTTACGCACCGCTGTTCAAGGTATGTGCGTGCTATCATGCAATCATTTCCTTCCAACCTCATCTCGTATCGTACAGCATGACTTCGTAGGCTTGATCATTACATCCATGATACTTCTTGTCGCCCCCTTCGAGCTGCTGGGCGCGAGCAAGTGCTCCTCTACCATCCATTTTCAATCTCCTTGCTGAGGGCATTATATGGAGATTTGGCATTCTTTGCCTTTTGCTCGTCAAAGCACCACACTCCCCCGGTCTGGTCCTTCTCCAGGCTGCCATATGGCACTTCCTTAATGAGCTGCTCGAAGATCGGGGAGTCGTTGGCTCTCGTGAAGAAGGTTCGGTCCCAATCACGACCCTCGGCTTGCTCCTTCTTCCGTTGAGCACGTTGGTGCTCCTCGATCTTGGTCTTTTCGACTGACGTGGCGTTCATATCTCCTTTGAGGATGGCGTCTGCCACGGTCTTCCATGCTCGTCGTGACTCGAGAGGGTCTTGGTCTTTGATATCCGCCACGAGAAGCTTGGCTTTCGGCTCCGTCTTCGCGTTGTATTCCTCTACCACTTTCTTGTTGGCATCTTTGATTGTGAACTTGTCGGTCCAGCTGCCTTCTGCAGTGAAGATGACGGCGCTTTTGCTCTTTTCCTTGCCGTGGGGGAAGACCACAGCATTGAGCCGGTTCGGACTTCCTGACACCCAGCCAGCTCCAGAGTAGTCTATCCGTGCTGTGTATCCAGACGATGAGACAATGTAATTGCTCTTGTCGAGCTCTACGTACGGCTTTCCTCCTATAATTCCCTCAATATGTAGAGAGGGTAGCGTAATCAGGTAGGTCTCCTTGAACTTGTCCAAATGGAGTAGCGCGTGACCGACCTGCTTTACGTAGATTGTCCTACCAAAGCTTGCTTTCTGCGCATTGTATCCTTCCAGCCTAACAGCATGCTTTTCGTTGCGAATGCTGTATGCTGTCACCGGCGGGTGGTGCGAGACCTGCTCGCTCACCAGTTGTGTTTCGCCAGACTCATCTTCCCATTTGCCCAAGAACAGTTCTCCAAGGAATGGGTTTAAGGGCTTCTTCTCACTTCCGAGCTTTTCATTTCTGCTGGCGTATTGCTGCTTGAGCGTACTGAGGAACCACTTGAGGACAAGACACATGCGCTTTTGAGGATCCTCTTCAGCTGCTGGCGCTACAAGAAGCTTGGGCATTTCTGCCCAGTATGCCGAGAACTCTGTAAGAGAAGAGGTGGAAAGGATCCAGGCTGGCGCAGTCATGGTGCTAAGATCACCATTGAAAGAGGCCAATTGCTGGGAGGGTTTAGTCGTGATGCAGTTCCAATTACTTGACATTCCATACCTTGATGAAGCCGCTCCATGACCCCTTCTGCGCCGCTGGCACCGCAGCACCCTCCTGCTCTGGTCCAGGCATGCTGTTCGAGGAGGGGTGTTGCGGCTTCGTAGAAATGTTCAGAAGTCGAGGAAGCGGGGCGCTGGAGGGGTGGTAGAAAGCGAATTCATCCAATTGATAGATTGCCCTGAAAGTTAGGTAGAGTCGTTGGTTGGTGCTGCCGGCCAAAAGAACGGGTAAGGCAGTAGAGTGTAGAGGGGCTGCGTTGGTTGGATGTGTTCATGTCCATATGTTTAGGCAGGTCGGGCCAGGGAATCAAGAGGGAGATGGGGAGATGGAGAGCACGTCATGGTGCTGTGCTTGCTGCACAACACGATCTGCCCCTCATCCACCTGCATGTACTGTACATTATGCCACTCGGCCACCTACTACATACATGTACAGTATTATTACTCTCTTCTCAAACCAGGTCATCAAACTTAGTTATCGGGACAAATGCTAGTAGTGTGTCATGAGAAGTGCTCTTTGGAATCCTCAGGCAGCTGTATATCTCTATGTCGGTATTGACCCCTAGCCACCAAAACGAGTATTCGAATATCCCCCATCGACCTCGATATTCGTGCCATTTACATAACTGCTCTCGGCACTGAGCAAGAAGCTGGCCACATTCGCCACTTCCTGCGGCCACGCGAACTTCTGCAATGGCACCGACGAGCTGGCCAGAGCCGGATCATTCTCCTTCAACAGCTCACGAATCTCCACTGGCATAGCCGCGATAGACAGATCAGTGACCGTTCCACCAGGCGATAAAGCATTCACTCGAATGCCGTGCGGACCGTAGAAATACGCGCCATTTCTGGTGATTCCAATGATGGCATGCTTGGTGGCCGTGTACGCCGCATAGCCCAGGCCTGTCAACGACGAGACCGAGGAGACGTTGACGATGGCACCCCGCTGACCAGGAATCTCCTTTGGCGGGGCGGGAGTGAAATGGACACGTCTGGGGCTTTGCTTCATCATCTGAGCGGCTTCGTACTTTTGGCACAGCCAAACTCCTCTCTGGTTGACCTCGTATGTCCTGGAAATATGAATCAGCTGCAAGAAGTGCTGGAACGCATCTCTGCCCTTACCGGTCAAAGATCTCCGACGACACTTTCTGCTCATCGTCCTTCTTCTCCATGCCATCTTGCATGATCCCAGCGGCGTTCACTGCGTAGTCAAGCCTGCCCCATTTCTGCACAGCAATTTTGATCATCATTACGATATCTTCCTCCCGACGCACATCGACATGCTGGTAGTGCGCCTCAATGCTATACTGCTTGCTCACTTCCTCAGCGAGCTGTTTGCCATCGATGGACATATCGGCGATCAGAACATTGATGCCCCGGCTGGCTAACTTTCTAACACATGCCGCTCCAATGCCATTGGCACCTCCAGTGACGATGGCTGACCACGCCTCCGGATCTGCCGTCGTTGCCGAACTGTTCGCCATTCTGCTTGGGCTGATGAGGCAGTTTTCGCCGGGAAGCTTTTCGAGGGCCTTGACCTTTTGAAGGGAGTGAACTGGCTGAAAAGGAACCACTGTCAACTCTACGAGCTTACGAAAGCCTCTTACCTTTATCTAATGCAACGCCGCCAAAAAAAGAAGGTTCTAGGCCAATGTCTAGCTGAGGCTGTACGGAGCGTCTTCGTCCAAGACTCCAAGACTTGTGGTACGCAAGAAGTTGCCAAGAACGCTCCACAGAACTCCGCAACGACGGCAGGGCTGAGTATCGGGATTCGGTTGCGTTCGGAAAACGGGCAAATGCGCAGGTCTTGGCTGTCTCGGGAGCTAGCGATGCAATAACGTCTCCAAATACTGCAGATCATGCCAGAAAGACGCAAGCGAGTCGTTCTCGTCTTCGGAACGATGCGTCTCAGCGATAGACTTGAGCGATTTGGCTAGAGATCCAAGTCGACTGACATATGTCACATCTCGAGTGACTGCATAGTCTGCAGCAAGAAGCAGAGCAGCACTCATGGTGCAGTACATCGTATCCCACGAAACATGTGCGAACGGTGTGAGTGGCTTCAGCGTCAGGAATGTCTGGACCACGATCGCTAGAATAGGTTAGACCTCGCAGTCTGGTCCCACTTCCGCTGTTCATCCGCAGTGGCGTCTGACGCAAGGCATCCGAATCGGCAGAACTCAGCTCGAAGATGGGCGAAGTGCGATTTCGATTCCTTCGAGAGGCAAAGATGATGAGGATGTTGTCCGGTATCGTTGTCGTTCTGAGGTATGATATGCAAGCAGACTTTCATGTACGAATTACGAACGTACTGTGCTGACGTCTTCATCAAACCCCCGAGCCTCGAATTCTCCTCATAATAAATCCCGAGATGAACATGTTTCCTCCTTCGACACGTGGTACAAGGCTCGGTGTAATCGCATCGGACTTTACGATTTCGGCATGGAAGGCAAGCTTTAGGTCGACGATTCCTGCGCTTCTTCGTTGCGGTTTTCGGGAAGGGTGTGGATGATCCATGTTTTGTTTATCAGGTATACTGTATAGTAAACCCAGGCTGATCACAGAATCTAAATCGTATTGAGAGTGACATAGCTCCTGGATGACTATTCTCCCCTCTCTTCGCTGGACCTCGGTGTTAGTGATCTGTATCGAGACGCCGGATTTCGGGCATAGGGCGCAGGCTGGATGACTCAGTCGCTTGGTCATCTCATTCTCACCACATCCCCTCATGCTCCATTTCCACATCAACCCTTCATCCGACTTGACTTGCAATTCCCCGGCCATTCTCGAGACTTCCGCAACTCGTCCGCAAATGGGAGCTTTTTCTTAAACGTTCAGCCTTGCTGCAGGCTTCATAGCCAAGCTTCTTTCGAAGACACCATCCGTCCTGTTCCCAAAGTCCTAGTTCTGCGACTCAATATAACTCCTAAGCCGCTGCAGGTCGTGATGGGACCGAGATCTCCCAAACGAATCCTAGTTCCAAATGGTCCAGGATCAATCATCAAACTGTACCAGTATTTGAACTCTGCAGTCCGTCCTAAAGTTCAAAGCCGCAAGCTGCCCGAACAGCTACTTTAACAGCAACTCAGGTATTCTACCGCTTCCGCTCAATCAGAGACACCAGGCGGCCGATAAATCTGCACGGGCAATTTCAATTTCGTCGTGCTGCTCGAATCTTCGTCCAGGGTGACCGTGAGCTCGATGGTATATCTTCGACTCAAAAGCGGCGACCAGAAGTCAGGGCTTAAAGCTTGGTCCACGTGCACGCTGAAGGGGATCGTTATCGTGTTCGTCAAGACTTCTTCGAAGCGGGAACGCTTGTCATCTGTATTGAAGTCAGTAATTGATAAAAGCTTCGGATTGATTTGGAAAGCTTCATACCTTCGCTTTCCGAATCGTGTACATCCCATTGTCGGAAGGCGGCAGTGTAGCGTTGACTGTTGCTCAGCGACTGCTTGAGAATTGCTTTGCTGTGCGGCAGTGCTTGAACGGTGTGCAACTCAGGTCTTGCTCGCCGTGGCATCACGAAAGTGGTGCTCTTCAATTGCGCCACAACATCATATTTCTTTGGAAATGGCGCTGGCCGATGACCACGCTCGTGGCGCCCCACAAGCATGAAGACCAGATTAATGTTGGTGTTTAGTGTTGATGTGCAATCTTCTATTGACAACGCCGCGGGTTCCTGGCTGATGACACCAAGGCGAGTCGTAGAATTTCCATTCTGTTGTATCTTCGACGTCCGAACCAGATATTCGCCCGGATAGTCATCGGGTAGGATTGGTTCCAACTCTGGTTTTGCTGGAATGTAGTTGAAGCGGCTGGGAGTGGAAGCGATCACGTTCTTGTCCTGCAAGGCGGAAGCGATCACCGTGTACGTAATCTGATACTCTCCAATGGCGTCCGACTTGAAAGGATCCGACCAATGGCCTTTTGCGTGCTTGGAGTCGACAGACGGCAGTAGATCTAGCGCTGACTGTCCATTCGGTTTCTGCAAAGTGAACTTGAGGTTCCTCCACGTGCAAGGGCTGTGATATTTCAACCGGTGCGACTGATTACAATTCTTGCCGAGCTTGGCGACTTTGTCCGCAACTGTGGTTTGATAAGGCAGCGCGAAATCTGGCGGACCACGAGCGGCAGAGTTGCCGTAGTTCTACCTTATCTTTCAAGCCTTTCCACTGTTTGTGATGCGCATCAGGGGACGAAACAACATGAATGTGTGCACGTGGCAGATGATCTCTCGCGAGAAATCTGCGCTCAATGCTTATTCGCTCCTAATTAGCCAGAATTGACTGCAATGGGCAACCCTAGCCTATAGCTGAGCTTAGCCCAAGTCAGCCCTGGAACACGAGCGTGGGAGGACTAGGCCTGGATGATTCATAGCCAATGTATCCTGAAATCAAGAGAGCTGAGTCGGAAGGGCGCAGTGATTGGAAACGCAACGTAGAAGGAAGCTGACATGAAGTGCCATGCCAAGACATCGAGCTTTTGCGAAGTTTCGTAAGCCGTGAAGAGAGCCTCAACATGGTTAGCAGCAAATGCCCCTCGGATGAGGCCGAATCCTTTGATGTTTCAGGCCTTCTAGAGCAATAGATTTGTCGGTCCGAGACTTCGGGGACTTAATGCAATGACGGTATGGTATTCGCGAGCCTCGGTAGCGATGCGACAAGGCGTGAATGACTGAAAAAGTGAGCGTTTCGCCGTCAGCAGTTCACAAAGGGATATACTCTGCACCAACATGGCATACCACACGCATCACAATTCTAAGGAGAACGAGCAGAGCCTTGAGACCTCCGAGGAGTTTGCAACAGCTTCTGGAGGGCCTGTCATTGCCGCAGCATCTGCTGTTCTCTTCGTTGGCGTGGGCTACACAAATACTTACGGTGTGTTTCAGGACTACTACCAGGAAGTCCTGTTCCCATCGATACCACCAGAGAAGCTCATCGTAGTCGGTTCGGTCGCATCGAGCCTTTATTTCATTCTGGGTGCGCTCACAGGGCGGTTCGCAGACTTGTTGGGATATCGAATCTCGCTTCTACTCGGTTCCGCGTTGATGATTGGAGCAATGTTCGCCGCAAGTGTATCCAGAACATACACTGAGATTTTCCTATCTCAAGGACTAATGTTCGGCATTGGCTTGGCATTCGTCTACATGCCAGCCACGTCTATCTCGGCGCAGTACTTTGGCAGCCAACATGGTCTTGCGAACGGTGTCGTGGTTTCTGGAGGGGCGCTTGGCGGCTGTATCCTGCCCTATTGTGTTCAGATCATGCTCGGAAGATTCGGTCTTGCTGCAACGTTTCGCATCCTCGGATATCTGGCAACTGGGATTCTCATACCATCCATCCTGGTTTTGCGAGCGAAGGTGCACCGGTCGCGATCCAGGAAGATGATTGATTTGGTCCTTCTCAAAGACAAACGCTTCGTTTGGACGCTGGTAGGATGTACGGTAGCAATGGCAGGGTTCTTGCCCCGGTATTTCCTGGTGCCAAGTTCAGCTCGAGCACGGGGTATAAGCTCAACGTACGCTTCGTGGCTGCTTGGAATCATGAATGGCCTCTCCATATTCGGCCGAATTGGTATTGGCTACTTTGCAGATAGGTACGGCAAGCTCACGGCGCTATCATTAAGCTTCCTGCTATGTGGTGTTGGCCACTTTGCATTCTGGCTGCCAGGGATCCTAAATACCCAGGATAATACACGAGCCGCCACGGCGCTGATGACCATCTTCGTGGTGTACGTGGGATTCTTGGGCTCAGGCTTTATTTCGCTCTTTCCGGTCGTTGTGGCAGACTTGTTCGGAAGCGAGAACCTAGCTTCGAAGACCGGTATGCTGAATACGTTCGTTGGTCTGAGTACTCTGGCTGGGCCAAGTGCTGTCTATGCCATTGTCGGCTCCAGCATGTCGCTGAGATGGGCTCTAGGCATATCAACGGCCGGGTTCTTCATGATAGCGGGCGGCCTGGTCCTGCCGATAACGAGAGCGTTGTTGTCCAAGAAGCAAGATCGGGAATTTAGCCGGCATCAAGCAGGGCGACGGGCGCTGTAGCCTGTAGAATGGAGAGGGAACTCGATAAGGCCTTGATAAGACGGAAATTGGTAGGCCTCTGTGCTCGTCTCGCGGCCTCGTAGGCATCTAGTCATACGAGCTCTTGGATGTTGCTACATTTCTTGCACGGCCGACTCGCCCGATGAAGTGTGAAGGGAAATGGAAGAGAGAAAGAGCAGCGCGAAGAGGAGGAAGACGTGAACGGGCACGGAGTTGTCAAGTTCCGAGGCCGAGCCGAAAGTCCGACCGATGCCGACCACCATTGAAATGCCACTCACTTTGAATTGGATAATATACAGACGACTGTCGATACCGTATCATGCCCTATAGTACCTTTTCGATGCCTTTGCAATGCCAAGATCACTCCTGATTGATCCACCTCCCCACCCACTTCTGATTAATCTCCTTCGCCTCAGTAGCCGACGTCGAGACGAGAGAATCTCCATACTAGGAAGTGTTGTGGACCGCGGGCGCGTTCCAAGAGTAGCAGCGCAGAGGTTATCCACGTTCGAAAATTTTCGGCTTGGCGTTGCTTAAAAAAAGCCGGCGGTGAGTACCTCCCTAACCTAGGCTACCCCGGATTTCCTAGGTACGGTGTACACTCTATATACGAACTTAAATTCCAACCCGGCATCCAATCATTTGAATTGGTTTGCTGTTTGACGAGTGTCCTTATACACTTTATTGAGGGCCTGAAATTTTCGGGAGCAGGGGTGTCCGGCTACTATATAGCGTTATAATCCTCCGGCGGCAGACTATTTAATACTTTGGACCTCGCTATAATAATAGCACAGTTCAAGGTATTAATTTTTAAATATTTTACGATCCCTTTTTTTTACTTTTTAGGAAAGGGGTTTTTTTCGAAGTCTATATATATATATATAATAAGATAGCATATATAGTAAAGAGTATATATAAACGTATATATAGAAAGTAAATATACTAGTTACAGGTATATATTTATAATGCTAGTATACAATATATTATAAGAGTATTAGGATAGATTAGGCTAATATTAGTAGAAACTATACCTTTATTACCGGACAACTTAGTCCGTTATATAACCTAGATATATTCGAAAATCAAAGAAATATATACGTTTACTTAAATTATAGAATTAGAGCCGCGCGAGTTAGTATAATAGTCTAGCAACCTGTTAAGTTACTTAGATAGGAACTCGATAATAGAATTTCCTCTTAGTAGTTACAGTCTATTCTAAACGCCGTCTAAGTATAAAACTATATATAGTAGATTAATGTATAAAGTACTCCTCCTCGAAAGTTAAAACCTAACTCCGATATAGTAGTACTACTACCTCCTATCCTAGACGCCGTCTAAGTATAAAACTATATATAGTAGATTAATATATAAAGTACTCCTCCTCCTCGAAACTAACTCGTAGACTTAGCGAAAATTATATATCTAGTATAAAAAAAAAGTCGATATACCTACTAGACGCCCTAGAGCCTTACTATTGCCCCCCCCCCCCCGATTAGGCTAATACTTAGTACCCTATAGGCTATTATATTAGGGCGCCCCTAGACTAGATAGCTATAGAATACGGAGTATCCTATATATATCTCGATAAATACTAATCCGATTTCAATAAAAATTATACTATTAGAACCGCGCGGGTCGGTTCTATAGAACGTAAAACTTTTATATAAATCGACGACCTTCGAATTTAGTATTAGTAGGTATTAGCTAGTATTAGCTCTAACTTAATTCTTAACTATTAATAATTCTATTTCTCCCGGCTATACTACTTAATATAGTCCCTACTATATAAAGGCATATATCTTAAAGGAGTTATAAGATCGATAGGGGTTAAGAGGTCGTAGGTTCGAGTCCTATACTAGCTATTTTTTTTATTTATACGTAATTAATAGGAAATGTACTTAAATCTTTAATTAAATATTACTACTACGCAATTAATAGGAAATGTACTTAAATATTTAATTAAATACTACTACTATTAAGCTAATACCTTTATACGCAATTAATAGGAAATGTACTTAAATCTTTAATTAAATATTACTACTATTAAGCTAACACCTTTATACGTAATTAATAGGAAATGTACTTAAATCTTTAATTAAATATTACTACTATCAAGCTAATACCTTTATACGCAATTAACAGGAAATGTACTTAAATCTTTAATTAAATATTACTACTATTAAGCTAACACCTTTATACGCAATTAATAGGAAATGTACTTAAATCTTTAATTAAATATTACTACTACGCAATTAATAGGAAATGTACTTAAATGTTTAATTAAATATTACTACTATTCAGCTAATACCTTTATACGCAATTAATAGGAAATGTACTTAAATCTTTAATTAAATATTACTACTATCAAGCTAATACCTTTATACGCAATTAATAGGAAATGTACTTAAATCTTTAATTAAATATTACTACTATTAAGCTAACACCTTTATACCCAATTAATAGGAAATGTACTTAAATCTTTAATTAAATATTACTACTATTAAGCTAATACCCTAGCTAATAAGCTAAGAAATGCGGGGTAAGTTAAATTCCCCTTTACTTTAATCTTTGTTTCGATTGACGTTCTACGCTGAAATCCGGGGTAAGTCAAATTTCCCTTCAATCTTTGATTGTATATTACTTCTGCGAAATTTCTCAGCCAATCATTTCGGTCTTGGCGGACAACTTAGATTTTCGCGGGCGGTGGCCGCGGTGTCTAGATTGGCAGCTGCGCTGCCAATTAGGATGAATATAGGCCCGCGTCTTGCTCTTTCGAGGTGTCGAAGACTGACACTGCATCTTGGCGTGGGGATCCTGTAGAATTGCCTGAAGACCTTGGTGTCTACTACTGCCATCCAGCGTAGTATCGCCCAGACTTCAGACTTTCTTCTTCAGGAGACCTTTCAAGAAGTCAAAAGAGTTGCTATCGCTTTGCAATTCGAATCTCTTGCCACTCAGCCTGCCGTCAATATCCACGCCTTCGGCGACAAGAAGACCCCAGTCAGTGGTAATGCCTTTGATTTTGGCTTTCGCGCCACCTTCGGTCTCTAGCGTAACCACTTGATCGGTGTGCAGCCAGTTTTGATAATAGAGATCTTCAAACTGCTTTGAGAATCCAGAACGGCAGAAACGGGCATAGAGGGACTCGAAATTGACCAAGATAGCGGCCAGCAGTTTTTCTTGCTGTAATTCTTTCAGGCCAGCTTTCTTCGCGAGTTGATTGATCGAGGTCGTGGGCGCGGCATTGGCTAAGTTGAGGCCAATGCCGAGGATCAACGTGTAGTCGCCTCCGCTATAGGAACTGTTGACCAAGATGCCGCCGATCTTGACATAAGATTGGATGTCGTTAACTTTTGCTCCTACCTTCGCAGGATCCAGGGCATAGATGTCGTTTGGCCACTTCAGCTTGATCGGCAACTTGTCGTAACCTCTGTCATAGTTCTGGATCCCTGCGACGACTGCAAGTGCAGCAAGGTACTGCACGAAGACAACAGGAGCTGAGCTTGATAGCGATAGACTATGCTTCAGCACGGTGCTAAAGATGAGCTGACCAGGCGGCGAGACCCACACATTGGTACCACGACCACGACCAGAGACTTGAGTAGTGGCTGTACACGTGGTGCCGATCGGTAGGTTGGCTAGTAGTGTGGTGTTCTTCTCAAGTATCGTCTGCGTAGAAGTGACCACTTCGCCGTAGAGAATTACTCGGCCATAGTCACCAGAAAGTCCAGGCTGCTTGGCTTGGAAATGTGCTAGGTGGCTGTAGAAAGCAGCGTGTTGGAAATGCGATGTAGCCTTCGCCGTGGGTACCGACTGTGTATGCGGTATCAGCGTCTTGGTAATCGCGCTATAGTCGAGGATTCTGTCCGCAGAGTCATGATCAGCTTGAATGTTCCGCTCATTGTCTGCGACGGTAGCATTCGACATAGCAGACGCCGCGTCCTTGATGGCATCAGGAAGGACCTCGGTGACAGCCTCTTTCAAGTCATCAAAGTCCCATCGGCCTTCGATCTTGACTTTGAAAGTATCGTTCTCGCCATTGATGACATAGCAACCTGTCTCTCCCGCCAGGATGCCTGCTTGTCGCCATCTCTGCAGCATATCTGCAACTTCACCGGGTTGTGCAGAAGACAAATGTAAATGAGAAAGGGAAGGTACCGCTTGAGGTTCCTCGCTAGTCTCGAGCCCAAATTTCCTGAGACATGCCTTGAGAAAATCCGTACGCTGCTTGTCGGTGGCAAGCAGTGCATCGATGATCTCTCCGTAATTGGGATTGGATGTCTCATCACGATTGAGATTGATGCCAGCGAATCTGGATGAAGTCAGCAGATCGTCGCTATCTTGCCAGCAAGCACTCACTCAGGATGTGGACCGGTAAGCAGGGCAGCTCCTTCGCCTACCTTGCGAAATACGACTGCAGCCTTTGGCTCTCCAGAGTCGACAGCTAAGTCTTCTTCGTAGGTGGCGAGAACTTGTACGCCACGATCTTTGAGGCCAGCTGCATCTACGAAGACTCCGCCGCCATTGTAGTAAGAATTGAAATTCCCAGTCGAGCCAATGAGTGCGGCAGAATTGACCTTGAGCTTAACGGCTCTTGCACCCTTCTCACTACCATATACAAATCCCTTGAATGCTAGACCTCTGCAGGTTCCAGGATAGAAAGCTAGCTCGCGCTCTCCAACTACCTCCCAGCCTTTGCGGCCAAGCTCGAATTCGCACTTGGACGTCCCATAGTAGCCTCCAGCACACAGGCCGAGGTAATTGCCACCACTATTGACGTAAGTCTTGATCCGCCGGTTGCCTTCACCATTGAGGATGCGACAGTAGCCAGAGTCGGCGCCACCAGGAATCACCAGCAGAGCGCAAGTTGACGGCCATGGTTCTTTGAGAAGCTGGTCGGATGCGATTGTCTGAATTGCATATTTCGGTCCAAGCAAGCGCCTCAGAGTCCATGTGACGTGTCGCACCGATGGCAGAGAGGTAGAAGGTCCAGAGTAGATGAGCACATTGGTCCTTTTCGCGGCCATGTTGGGATGGTCACGTGTCAATTGAATGATGAGTGGACTTTCTTCGTCGAGTTCTCTGCGGGATTCTCTCATCAATTTCTCGTTTGGTCGACGGCCCAGAAGATGTCGAACGGCGAAAAGGATCAGGCAGCGGCGGCGCAGGGGGAAGAAGATGATGATGTCGATGAATGGTATGCTGCCTCGATGACTTGGCTGCTGCCACCAAGCTGCTGACTGCAGAGCAGGGACAAGCGAATATTCAGCACAGGCTGCGCAGGTACGCCGTCGGCACTGTGACCAGGCGAGGTTTGCTAAGCGATACAGATGAGAACGCGATTTTGAATGACTGCTTCCGGGATAAGAAGGATTGGAGAGCGTGCAAAGATGAGGTGCGTGGAGGCCTGCCTTGATCAGCGAAGCATTTGGTGAGACAATAGCTTGCACGACTGACTTCTTCGGCGTGTAGATGGAGGCCTTCAAGCAGTGCTGGAAGCGGCAAGGCAACGAGGCGAGGACGGGTCAAAAAGATGCGTGATGGAGAGAATATACATATATCGAGGTTCTTTCGGCATTCGCGCAGTTTCCTCTGCTTTGTCGATATCGACTCCACTCACATCAATAGTCCCTCGGCACGACATCTCATTCCAGCGAAGAAGCTGCGGATGAACAAGAAACATGCATTGTCGTGTGAACATAGCAGAAACGAGGTGGTGTTCAATGCCTCCTGCTGAAGGTGCTCAATGGGCACGGACCCCCCGTTCTGCAGCGTTCTCTGCGCCGATGGACCTCGACTTCCACGCTCGAGCTCTCAAAACTTTCATCGCACCTCTCGTACAATGATGTCCACACCACGACGGGCCGGCGCGTGCTTGGCCTCAATAGCAACAGCATCGTCATGTAGAGTCCACTCGCAATGCGCGCGGCGCATCTCACACGCGAAACGCGCCATATCGACCACGCCCACACGATGGCAGCAAGCCGCGCCCAAGCCTCCATCCTCGGCACAAGCAGCAGCGAATACCCAGAGAGTATCAACGGAACTCTCACCGAGCGACGAGAGCGAGCCATTGCGATCATTGACAGATGGTCTACAGGACCCTCCCCCAGTCTTGAGCGAAAATGAGAAGCAGATCGACTGGACACGATCCTTCCATGGCCTGAGCTCGGTCCCTTTTACCCCCGAGCAGGCTGCCATCTTGCAGGAGCCATTGGAATATAACGATGTGGAGATCAAGCCTGACGGCATTGTGTATCTGCCTGAAATCAAGTACAGGCGGAAGCTCAATCGCGCATTTGGGCCCGGAGGCTGGGGCCTGGCACCGCGTGGCGAGACGATCGTGACGGCCAAAGTTGTGACGAGAGAGTATGGACTTGTATGTGGTGGAAGGTGAGATCACGTCTCATCGCTCGTGGCGGTAAACCGGCCACTGACGGATTTTGCAGATTGGTCTCGATAGCACGCGGCGAACAGCAATACTTCGACCCAGACGGCATCCCCACCGCCACCGAAGGCTGTAAATCCAACGCGTTGATGCGATGCTGCAAAGATCTTGGCATTGCTTCCGAGCTATGGGATCCACGCTTCATCAAGAAGTTCATGAAAGAGATGGCTAAGGAGATTATTGTCGAGCACCAGGTGACGAAGAAGAGGCGGAAGCATTACATGAGGAAGGACGATGAGTTGAGATACCCATTTAAGGAAATTGCCGCAATTGATACTGCATCGGCCACTGGTGCACGACCTCCAGGCACGAAAGCGCCTACCAATGGAAATGGTAATGGTGTAAAGAGCCCGCCTACGAATACTGCGAGCAACGGCAAAGGTGTAGCAAGTGCTGCTTCGCAGGCATTTCAGAAGGCCAAGGCTAATACCTCCAAAGCATAAGCACCACGTTCGGCGAGGTGCTGTGGTGGTAGATGGAGCGGATGCGGTCAGACATTTTACATTAGTGCATCCACGTCACGATGAAGTTGTGACAGCGCCGAGTAGTCGACTGCGACAGCGATCCAGACGCGGGATCTGTAGAACATAGATGAGAGCTCTCATTCGCAACTCTGTATAAAAGCCACGTTGAGAGCAGGCCTGCCTTCATGACTGAAGGCTCACACACTCAGATCATCTCGAAAGCGCTGATTGGAGTCTTGCACGGCGATTAACACCACCTCAGCAATGATTGATGATGTACAGACTGGCCGAACCACAAATTGCATCCAGAGTAACTCCTGGCTCTTTCGCGCCGTCGCACACAGGTGCAATGTTTGGCATCTGTCACTTTGGAGCCACCTGGCGGAAGCGGAGCAAAATCTGCTGCTTGGAGCGCACTTTGTCCTCACCAACCACCGGCGGCTTCTTCTATCTTCTGGGGTCTCGCTCGAGTGAGCCTGCTCCACGGATGCACGAACAGATCGACGTCCCCGTAGGCCAGAGGTCCTAGCCCATTGGCTGCTTGCTGGAGACGATCTGCCTGTGATCGCATCAGTCAGAAGACCTCAAATGAAAACAACCCGATGGAACACGTTCCCTTTCAATGGGCTCGGAAGGAATACGACACACCTGGATTCGCAACGGTTCCCAGAATTGACTCAGAAGCCCAAGAGTTGCTTCGAGCCGCATGAACGACGCTAACTTAGAGCGAAGTTCATTCCAGATCCATTCGCTATGCAGTGGTGTTGGTATGACCTCTCCATAAGCCTTCTTGAAGATCAGCAAGTTGTGTTGTGCATATATTGAGGGAGGTTCAGTGACGTACCAGCAAAACGACACCAGAGATGAAAGCAGCATGACCGCTCAGCGGCCATAGTCTCGATGCGTCCTTCTTGCGGCTGAGAAGGCTCAAGAACAGTTGGACAATAGAGTTTGCTTCTTTGAAAACGACTTCAGCACTCTTCGATATGTCGTCAATTGTGACCACGGCCGCTGCTTGATGTTTCGCAAAAGCAGGAATCATCGCAGCGTGGAGAAGAAGTCGGGTCAGGTGATGCAATGACCGAATGCTCACGAGGAGCTCAATGTCTTCGCTGGATACTCCCGTTGCAGACTCGCGATGCTCGATACACCCCTGTGCATAGGTCGTGGCGCCCCGGATGAGCCCTTCAAGATGCAATGCTTGTTTCGCCCACTGTACATCGCCCGGACCAACGGGGGCCCATATGAAGGACTGGACCTGCGACCTACGAAAATCGACGTCAGTAAAGCGCCATTCACTTGATGCTTTAATGCCAAAGCATACCAGATGCAGACAGCTCTGACAATCTCGGCCATATGACACAGTGGCTTGCCACTCTGACTCAATGCCTCTTGCATGGTTGGGCTCAATTCAAAGCCCACGCCATCCGTCAGGCCACCGTCCTCGAACGCTGCCGGTAGTGGTATGTCTGTAACCATGTCGCACAATGCCTGTGATCGCGGTGGCTCCGCACCCAATGCCACAGTACACCAGCAAGCCCAAAAGCATCTTCGTTTCATCTCACGACCAACCCTTTCCGCACTGGACAAATCGAACGAACTGTCGTCCCAGAGCCTGTCATACCCAAGTACACAGCTTACTTCGAATGCAATCCGAGCATGTATCTCCGCTTTCTCGATATCTCCTCGAGCAAAATAGTATCCATGCAAAATTTGTAAAGCCTGGATCCTCTCAATGCCAGGCTCATCAGCTTGAACAAGCACAAACGCGCTCGCCGCCCGCGCCCACGACAGGAATTCTCGAATAATCCACGCCCATCATCGAAGTTTCTCAAAAATATTGCGGCTTGTGCGAAAATCGCTTGGAGCAGGTATTCCGGCACACGGTTCTGAGCGTAGAGCTGAAAAGCGGTTGTTCGATGAAATAGAAGGTTCGCATTGTGGATCTTGTGGAAGTAATTCTCCAGGAGTATCTGGCCGACTTCTTGCAAAGGCAGCTCGGGAACATTGTGTTCGGAGGCTTCTGGTGAGGGAAGCTCGATAGCATCGGTTTGAGTTGCGCGGCTGACCTGTCTCTCTGCGCGAGCTCGCAAGGCGCTTTGTGCGCCCGGTTCTGGGTACGTGCAAGAGGCCCAGGTCAATCTTTGACAATGCCCGCATGAGGGTTTCTCGCCGTCGCATTTCACCTTTCGCTCCCTGCAGAGAAGGCAGGCGAACGGTATTCTGCTAGGCATGCTTGTGAAAATACTGAAGTATATGTATGATGTTTGGACGACATCGATGGCACAACTGCGTCGGCTTACAGGAAGCTCCTTCCAGTGCGGCGATTGCCGTATTCTAGCGGGACTCATCAACGGAAGGTGGGTTAATGCATGAGGAAGTCACAGCTGGAGCGCCTGAGAAGGAGGAAGGGCTGCGCTGAGTACTCGACGTGGGTTCATAAGCACGTCACTCCTTTCCTTCCACTTCTGGGCTCCAGTTCAGGTCTATATGCAATTAGCTTCCCGCGGACAGTGTATATCAGGCTGAGAAGCTGACCATGAGTCGCGATGGATGGCTCTCCTGAACTTGACAAGAAGGTATTCCAGAATTCAATCAGTGATCCAGATTCCATTGCTTGGGACACAAATCGACGCCTAGAGAACAATGAGCGGCGGATACTGTATCCAGTCTTGTAAGAAAGTCCCAACGGCAATTGGCAAAGAGGCCATAATCAGTAACCCATCCTCGAACTCCATCCATTTCATGGAATGGAGGATTGTGACGTGAACAATGAAAATGTCCACTGGAAATCTTTTGTTTTCTCCTGATGCCCGCATACTCGACGCAGTGCTGCATGTTGTTCAAGTCATTGCCTGTATACAATGTTCAGCTCCTTTAAGACTCTCGCCTCATAGGTGTAGAGAAGGCTGACTGGCCAGCATGAAAGGACCGACGCCTTTCAGGTCATTCGTGGCGAGCGGGACGCCGATGTAGTACTAGCCTCGATATCAGTTTTCTCATACTCCAATACTTCCACGACCGTTGAACAACTCACCTCGTAGGTACCATTACCACTGAGACTGCCAACCTCAACCGTGCCTTCCCAATTCATCGTTCCATTACCATTATCCACAACGAACCGATCTGTCAACAGCTGGTATCCCTTCTTCGCAGTCCCACAGTACTCCGACTCTTCAAGATATCCATCCTTGATGCCTTTCAATAGACCATAGGTAAACATGGCACTAGCACTGCTCTCGATGTAATTCCCTTCCGCTCCAACGTACGGCTCATTCATAATCAGCCACCAACCACCGGACTCATCTTGATGGGTTTTCAGTGCGGCTGCCAAGGTGGTGTAATATGTGGTCAATTTTTCCTTTCCAGCATGCGAAGCTGGGAGAAGAGGAATGACTTCAAGCAGGGCAATCAAGTACCATCCCACAGCTCGAGACCAGACATTTGGTGCAGCACCGGTGACAGGATCTGCCCAGACTGCGGTTTTCCTTGCATCGTAGCCATGAACGAGCAGTCCTGTCGTCTCATTTCGGCAGTGCTTCTCGATGTTGTCGAATTGCGTTACGATGTGGTCCCATGCGGTCTCGTTGTCGCTGTCGTAGCGTGCGGTCCAGCGAGCATAGAAGGTATCGGCCATGAATATGCCATCGAGCCACATCTGATTCGCATAGATTGGTGCTCGGTGCCAAAATCCACCTTCCGCGTTCTGCGGGTGTCGGTTGAGCTGGTCGCGGATGATGGCCGCCGCAGACTTGTACTTCTCATCTCCTGTTCGGTCATACCACCAGAGGAAGTTGTTGCCAATCCGGTAGTCGTCGAGCGAGTAGAACGACAAGTTCCAGTCGGCGATGGTTCCATTGTCGAGTACCACCGGGCCATCGATTTGTGAGCGGTACCAGTCTACGTACGTCTGGTTGTCCGTAACGTTTATGGCCGCGTGGAGACCTTCGTAGAAGACCGCTGTGGTGTAATGAAAGTCCTTTTCAACTCCATGGCTGAGGAATGAATCGGCAGTCCAGACCAAATACTCCTCAGGCGTCAGAGCTGCGGCCGCGGTGGAAAGTACTGGAAGCCACATGAGTTTCATAATGACCGAGGAACTGGATGAACAACGCCAGTCGAGCCACACGGTTTAGGTGACACATACTTGCCTTCTTATGAGAACTTCAGCTCACCTCTCGTTCTGACATCTCACCCGAGTCCTGAGACCTTCTATATTGATCGTGCTAGGGGTTGACGGAGAATACATTAGCTTCAGCAGTGATTCGGAGGCGAACGAGTTGTATAGATTGATGCCAAGAAATACATAGCTATCGCGTGGCTGTCGTGTGGTGTCGCTTCGCTTAGTGGATCAGACAATTTACTGCTTTTCGTGATGTTTCTGATATACCCCTGCATGTGCTTTGGATAGGCGCCCACTGCAGATCCTTTCGGCCCGTACAACGCAACACCGCTTGCGCAAAACGCCTTGGCTCTGAGTACAGTCGCCATGCGTGCATGCAACTTATGTATGCAGCAGTGATCATTCCACTGTGAAGCTCCAAATATCTTGCCTGGCAAGCCTTGAAAGGCCTCCTCAGCTCGGCGGTGGTCCCTTCGGCACAGGAACATTCGCAACATTCAGACCGAGTGCAGTCCACGTCAGAAGCGCAACGAAATGCACCAGTCCAACCGTGCCTTCAAGCTTGAAAGCCTGCACACACTTTTCATACAGCTCCTTCGGAAACGGACCTCTGGTATCTAGCAAATGCCAAGCAGCGTCATAAGCAAGACTGCAATGCTCGTTCAGGTCCTCAGGTTTCTTGCCGGCAGTAATCGCATCAGCCTGTGCTTGTGTCAAGATGCCAAGCGTGACATCCATCGTTTTATGGACGTGCGTGACATAATCTGATTTGAAATAGGTTGTTGTGAGCAAGGAGACTGTTTCTGCGGCATCTTTGGGTAGGTATCCTTTGGTTTCTTCTTCGAGGTCCACGAGCAGGTCTACAGAGTGCTGGCCTGCTTTGGGGAGAACAGCGAGGACTGGGAAAACTGTTTTGCTAGCTCTGTCGGCAGCTCCTGGATGTGGTGCGATGCGTTGGACGCTTGCGATGAAGTGGTCTTGGAAGGCTTGTTGATCCGGGTTCAACTGGTCTCTTGGAAGGGGAGGTATGCGATCAGACATATTGAAAAAGGTAGCACACGTGCAGAGGTAAGACCAAATGCCTCTCGCTTTTGCAGGTGCGAACAGATCTCGCCGACGAGGCCACGTCGATGTTGAGATGATGCTTGGTGAGGCTGAACCTTCTTCGAGAAGTCTTCGGGTCGGAAGCGGGGAGACATCTTCCGATGAATGAGATTGGAGAAAGGATACATGTATTGCTGCTGCTGGGAAAGGCCAGGTCTAATGCCAGGTGAGCATGGTAAAATATCGCGGCGTGTGAGTCTTCATTGTATTGTGTACATCGGCTAGATTCCCACCACTCGGCAACTCCAGCACCATGCAAGTCTAGCAGTATAACACTTTGTACAATTACTACCGCCCTGTTAGCCAGGTCGTCCAGCTTCTCGCTGTAGTCGATGCTGAGTCCGCAGCTAGTTGTGCTTGTCGATCCAAAGGCCCCCCGGTCGGCTCCAATATTGCCTGGGCCATCTCGCCTATACTTTTCTGCCCTTCAACGGCTTGCATCACGCTCCTCGTATCTTGCACGGTTGTACCTGCTGCGGACTCGGCTGCTGTGGCCGTAGCACCCAGTCTGCCTCCCTTCTGCTCCTCCTTGGACAAACCCGAGAACAGCCAGTTTGAGGCACGTTTGAACACGCCAGGCTTGTTCTTCTTGGCGATGTAAGCCTCCATTGCTGCCCTTTCCCGGTTGATGAGCAGTATTTGGTCTTCAGTCGCTGTGCCTTGTGCTTCTGCTTGTCGCGCAATGGCCAAATCTCTGGCCGATTCAGCCTGCTTCTGCGCCAACCACTCATTCCTCTTCCGCCGATTGTGCATGAGCATATCCGTGATGCCAGCTATTGCCACTGCACCGCTGACCACGGTAAAGCCCATCAGGCTTAGTGCCGTCACTCTGTGCGCTCGATCTGCCCATACCCGTCCTATTCGGACTGTCTTGTCGAATGTCGTCTCCTTTTCCTGCTTTGCCAATGCTGCAGCAGCTCGTAATCGTGCAATCTTCTGCTGAGGTGTTTCTCCCGGCGGCGCTGACCCAAAATTTATCTGCGTTCCTGTCGTTGCGGCATTCGATGATGTGAAGCTCGTCGAGCTAGATGGTTTGGTCGATACATACGGACCGGTCGATGTGAAACGCGTGGCATCCGATGGCGATCGCGGCATTTTGCGATATGTACTATTGTAGTATTGGACAATTCTCAGATGCCTTTCTGCTATCTTGGATGCATGGGAGTCATTGATTGTGTCCTTGAACTTTTGCCAGATGCATGATGAGCGAGACTTTGACTTCGCCGATCACCAGCGGTGGCCTGTACCATGCTTCTGCTACGCCAAGACTCCCGGGACCGCCGACTTCATCTCGCTGCTCCCCTTCTTTGGCAACATCAGCAGATAGCGGACTAAGCTCAGCAGTCCAAGCCTGCTCGCCGTCGTCTTGTAGCTAGCTCGGTCGTCCTCGGCGTATGATCATCGACATGGACGGTGGGATCAGCAACACAGGAGCTCCGGATCTGGCAGCCATTCTTGCCACGCTTGCCAAATACAAGGGAGATGGCAGCTCAACAGAGCCGAACACCCCCGAGTCCAGGCAGACAACTCCAGCGACGTCCTTCACTGATGGCAACAACCATCGTACAAGCTTGGACCAGAAAGCTCAAGATCCCCGGCTGAGACCTCAAAGTCGGTCTTCTGCTGCTGCTGCTGCTGCTGCTACTCCTACCAGGCCAATGATCGATCCTGCCACCATAACTGTCTGGTCGGAAGGCCTGCGATGTGTAACCAAGCTGGCAGCTCAAAATGCCCAATTTGCGGAAAGCATACGACGGGTAAGCTGGCTGTAACCCTCCTCTGCGAAAACGGGGAACCCATTGACACTGGAAGTAGATGATTAAAGACCAGAGAGCTAATGAAATGCGATGGTACTCTGAGAGACAAAGTCTGAAGCAGACTCAAGCCAACCGCTCATCCTCTGCTGCTCGAGCTCAGTCCATCCTGAAGTCTCTGAATACTAGCTTCTATGGCTCACCTCCGGAAGTCGTTGAGCCAGAGGTCGACAAGGAGCGAGAGTTGGCCGAGTTTGACCAGAAGCTGTACTCAGCCCAGGTGACTATGGAGAGCGCCATGATACTTGAGTTGAAGGGCCTTGGCGTGCCTTTCTTCGGCACAGATGCTTCGCTGGTTGTGTCGAACGATAGTGACCTGAGTAAGGACGCGAATTCTCAGAACAATCCCAAATGGAGCCCACTTGTGACGGAGGACCAGCTCATGGTGTTGAGGAGGAAGATGGTTCAGCATTTAGAGGATCTGTACAAGGACTGATAGCAAGTATGTCGGTGGCACATTGTACGAAAAGCATAGCAGTTGCAGCGATGAAGATGCAATGAGGCGAACATGAGTGTGAAGTGGGAGAACAAATTTTTCCAGTGAATTCCGGTCACATGCTGGTCTTCGACTGACTTCACATCCGAGATGCAGCACATGCAACTCACTGTGCTCTAGCTCAGTTGAAACAGGACATCAATAAAGCCACATCAGTTTCGCACCTGGCTACAAAACTTCTAAAAGCCATCTCACACTCAACGACATCGACGTCGAAAACAGTTTCAACATCGACCTGGCACAGAGCTTACCGCTGCGTTCTACGGTCGTAACACCCTTCAAAGCGATCGTGTCACTATTGGCACCGAGGCTACCGTACTGCCTTTGACTGAGTCAACAACATCCATTGGAGGAAGTGGGCGCGCGTGTGGTGCGGCTACCCGCAATTGCCAATCACAAGCACGAGGTGAGTTTGAGCGTTGCCAAGACATTTGAAGTTGCACATGCTGTCACGCGCACATTTCACCACTTCTTCTGAAGACGCGCTTCATGTCAACTTCAACCCTACGCAAACACTTTCGCCCTTCCCATCCATCCACTCGCTCTACACACTCGTTTACCAACATTACCCTGCAAACAGACACTCACCACTCGTTTGATCGCAGCACATCACAATAAGTTAGCGGCACCGCCTTCGACGCGTGTCACTTCACACTCTCTCCCCTAAACACGAAATCACCATGAAAATCGCGCGCACAATTGCCATCGGCACCGCGGCGGTTGGTAGCCTCATCCATGGCGCTGCAGCTGGCTCGCAAGACAGTGGCAAGGTTCACTCTCCAGGTAAGAAACTGTCACCTCCCGGTGATTCGGCCAACCACAATATCATCCATCCAAACTACATTTCCACACATACCACCGACATTGATCCGGACTCCTGGCGCGTGTCGACTACGAGTATACCCTTGGCGGACCCAGCGAAGCCTTTGATCGCTCGAGAACTCCCAGCTTCTGAGCTTCTAATGAACGCCTTGACGACCGTTGAGACTGTCTTCCAGACGGCTGTTGTTACAGTCTTCGCTGGACCACCCTCGACCAGCGCTCACCACACGAAGAAATTCACTGTGACGGCGCCACAGCCAGCGGTCATCAGTTCCGTCACAGCGTCAAGCAGCCAACACACTAGACCGACATCCACTGTGACCGCGTCTGCGGCTGTGGCCACAGAGACTGAGGTCTATCATTTGGGCGGCCATTTTGAAAAGGTTTCTGTTGATGGCACTGTCATGGTCGTTCCAGTCGTTCCATCAACTACCTTCACGCGCGTCGAGACGCTTGTTGGGTACAAGAACCAATCGTTCACGACTACGCGAACCTTGACAGCAGCGATCGCGCCGTCAGGTCCTTACAATGGATACGACTGTGTTGAGGAGCTTGGCAAGATGATAAGTTGTCTTTGGCCCGGTCGCTCGCCAGCAGAGTCAATGTATCCTGAAGTCCCCTTCACGACGACGAAGGCCGACCATCAAGGCTCCGGCAAAGCGCACACGCACTCAGCTACAATGAAAGCGCGATCGGTGCAGACTGTGGCTCCTTCTCCGCTAGGCCTATCTTACGGCGAGCGCGTGGATGCCTGGCAAGCTTTGGTTTCTTCTCCTGAATGGCCAGAGGATGCGCACCCATACATGAAAGCCCCAGGTGCGACACCAGCTCACTGCATTAGCGATGTCCAGAACAAGCTCTATCGCATTCATCTCACATCATGGGACGACTATTCGAGTTATTCCACCGCCGAGAGCCACTTCTTCTCGCAAAAAACCCAGACTTCGGTTGAAGTTGAAATACCACTTGTCAAGGACAGCCTTGCTCTGATCAATGGTACATTGATTAATCAAGACGGTTATGTCGGTGGTATCGTCGCCAATGATCAGCTCCAATGGGATCGACCATCTCAATCTGGAACGCGATGGAACTCTGGATTTTGCATCCAGACTTTGGACATGGTACAGAATGCGAATCAGTCCAACCATGGGTCAGTGCTGAGACTCGCCCTTGGCGACCGCACTCAATTCTGGACTTGCAGTCACGATGAGGCTCTTGCGAAACTGTACTGGTCCCAAGTCAACGCCGACTGCCAGCCTGTCATGGTCGCGCTCGATCAAGTTTACCCTCCTGTTGAGGCCTCTACAGCCTCGCTAGCCTCGAGCAGTGTGGCTGTGAGCAGTCCGATTGGCACCTTGTCAACATCTGTCACATCCGAAGTCTTGATCTCAACATCAAGTCTGACCACGAGCAGCTCAAATGTCGTTGGGCCCATGTCGTTGTCAAGCTCAACAGCGACAACTTTTGCTGGCTCAGCTAATCCCATTCCATCGGGCGGTTTCGGTAGCTCAGGGAGCTTTCCTGGTCCTTCGACAACATCTTCTAATTACTCGATGACCTACAACTTTCCCCGTTCATCTACTAACAGCGAGATCTCAGTGACATCCTCCGCCGCTGCTATCACGACCGGATGGATCAAGATGACTATCAACGACACCATTCAAGCCGCGGTGCCTGCCACGAAGCCTGTAATCATGGAGAGTGGCATCGTCTATTCGGCCTCGCCAACTATATGCTCCATCAGCGGCGGCATCACTACGGACTACATTGGCGTTCCAATCTCCACCGTCCTCCCAAGCGTGCTTCTCGGCAAGCCAATCAAGCGTCAAGCATCTGCCGCTGATGCTGAGGGTCAGGGCTTCGTTGGAGACATGCCAACTCAGCGCGACGACATTCTGACCACTGGGACTGCCACGGTTCCTGCCCAGACTGTCACTGACTACGACGATGCTGAATCAGCCATCGTCTACACGTTCCCGAAAAAGGTCCTCCACTACACCAACGTCCCTATTCTTCCAGCAGGCAAAGCCGCCCTGATTCCAGGCGCAGCCATCGCTCGTCGTCAGGAGCAGGATGGCGATGATGTCGATACCGTCACGGTCACCCCGACGGTAAGTCTTCCCCAAACCTCCTCACAACACCAAAGCTAATTTCTCTCAGAGCACCTCAACTACGTTCACCACCCTGTGGGACCTCACTTCATCCTCAACCGTCGCCACCCGTATCAACAACGCCAAGGCAGAGGAGTCATCGATGAGCGACCCAACCACCGCTCAACCAAACTCAACCACAACCTCCTCCTTCGCCTTCGTCCCCACAACCCACGTCGTCCTCACAACCGAAGTCACCAACTTGACAATCACCTCCAAGCCTGGCGCAACCTACACAACCCGCGCCAACGCCCTTGCCACCGGCCTGTCAGAGCTCTGCGAGGTCGGCCAGATCACCGGTTGCCAACCACTCTATGATCCTAAGACTTTGGCCAATAACACTATGCCACCACTTACTAGCTTCAATGCTACTGGTCTTCCTACCCTGCCACCTACCGTCACGAGTACGAAGATGGTGGACCCCACAGTGCATAGTTCTGGACCTAAGCCTAGTGTTTCGCCTTCTCCTTCTGCGGATCTGGGTGGGAAGGTTGAGGTCGTGGGGATGAGATTGGGTATGGGAATGTTGGGAGTGCTGGCTGTTTTACTTGCATGAAGATGAAAATCAGGCGATGAGATTCTGAAGTTTCATGGTGAGGGAGAGAGAAAGCGTTACAGGCGTTTAAGCATAATACCGGAGATTGATGAGAGGCTGACGGTGGCTCTGTATGGATCCGAGTATGGAGTACAGAGAGCTTCAATAGCTTCACACGAGCATGAGAAATGAAATGAAATGAAAAGCGATGCATTCGAAGAGTCTCATTTCCAGTTTCAGCACATGGTCGACTATCCTCTGACTTGACAAACGTCATCTCCTCAACCTCCGATTCTCCCTCTGCCTACCCGCCTTCCTCTCTTCCCTCCTCCTCTTCTTCCAAGCCCGATTCAAATCTCCCCGGTTCTCATAAAACCATTTTCGAAACTCACTTTCCTCTCCCCGCTCCTCTCCCTTCTTCTTAGCCTCTGCTCGGCTCGGAATTTCAGGTTCATCTCGCACCTCTTCATCCTGATCTTCCTCCTCCTTCGAAAAGCTGAAATCGAAAGACTTCCCAATCGCAGCCGTATCAGGCGTTGGAGCCGCAGATCTAATGCTTCTCCATTCCAACTCCTCTTTCGTACGAGGAGTCTGCGGAACCTTGATTTCTACTGCTACATCTGCTTCATCATGATCGTCTGGGGTGAAAAATGAGAATGAAGTGTCGAGTGGAGGTGGTTTGGGTTTCTCCGTGTCCTGCGACGGGCGTTTGAAGAGGGCTTCTAGAGGATGGATTTCTTTTGGTTCGCCAACGGGTTGGGAAGTTTCAGCTCCTGACGTTGCATCTGGTGCTGGGGTGTTTTTGTTGGAGACGGTGTTGGACTTTGCGCGAGCGAGTTGAGCGTCGAGTTCTGCGTCGGAATCTGCTGATTCGTCTTCGCTGGAGGATGGCGAGGGAGTGGACTCAGAAGAAACTGAGGAGCTTGAGACGCTGTCTTCGTCGCCGGACCACTGTTCTCGTGTTAGGAGGCTGGCGTGAGAGACCTCGATGTTGGAGTCTTCGGGCTCGGAGTCGAGAGTGGGAGCTTCTTCGACTATGGGGTCTGCGACCGGCTCCGGCGCAGACTTTTTTGATTTCCTCTCCTTTTTCGCTGAATCCTTGGCCGTGTCTCGCTCTCTTCGGCGCTTCGCGTTTGGAGGCTCAGCTTCAACAGTTCTGCCGTCCTCTTGGATCCAGCCTTGACCTTCTTCATACTTCAACTCCGTCTTCCGAGATCTGGCACCACCATCTTGAGGCTTTCTGCTCTTGTCGAATTCCTTAACCGTGACTTCCTTCTTCGACCTCTTGTCCTTGTCTTTGGACTTGCCTTTCTTGCCATCTACTGCAGATTTTGTCTCTGGTACTACCGTCTTGAACCTCATCTTCTTGCCCTCTAAGCCATCTTTCTCTCCATCCTTCTTCGCTTTCTTCGATTTAGTCTTATCCTCTACCCAGCCGCGTTTGATGTACCTGCCCTCTTCTAGCTCATGACCAGATATCACTTTCTCTCCCGCTTTGCGCTTCTCCTTCTTGTCCTTCTTTGACCTTTTCCGCGCAGCCTTATCTTCCCCGGGCTCCTCAGGCTCTACTTCTTCCGATTTCCTCTTTTTCTGTGGTCGCGCCTCCTCAATTTTTACTTTACTGCCCTTCAGCACCGTCCCGTTTAGCTTCTTCTTCAGCTTCTGCGCCTCCATATGGGGCAGCTCCACATATCCGAATCCCTTCTCTGGGAATGTCTCGATTGTGTGGAAGCTGATGTTCGAAGCTTGTGATCGCAAGCTTTCTGGGACGTACCGCTCCAGTAGCGAAGGGTTGAAAGGCGTTATATGCAGTCGCACCCTTCCCTCGACACTCATGGCGATGCAGCAAGGAAGCGCATAGTTATGGCGGTGTGAGATGCTGATGCTGATGCTGATGTTGTGACTGCGATACCATGTCGTGCTTTCCTCGCGTGAAATTTAGACTCGCGCGGCCCGGACCGGCCGAGTCCGTGGTCCGAGCTCACCAAGAATCCCGGAGTATCTATATATCAGCAACTCCAGGGGTGGCACGGACGTGGCACGGGCCAGTCGGAGTTGCTAGCAACTCCAGCCCTACCAAGCCCCGCTAAACCTCATACAAATCGTAGTCTTGGCAAACCCACATCTCTACTGTTCCCAAATTCCTCCTACATTTCCTATTCTATATCGCCTGTATTGTATAACGGCTACTAACGTCCACTAATATAGACGTATCTACACCTAGCGACGTCGCCGACCTTAAGAAGCTTCGACAGCGCGTTTTTACCCTCAAAGAGGATATTAAGACGGATACAGAAGGCTAGAGACTAATATAGCGCCTATATAGTAATTAATACACTAAAAGGTCGACTAAGAAGCATAGCAAACCCAACCTAGAAACCGGCACCTATCGATATAGTATACCTTCCTTAAACGACGGCAGTTTAATAGACGTTATACGCTAAGTCCTTTACTAATAGCGCCTTCTATTTACGCCTGCTATACCGAGCGGTCTTCGCTATTTAATAGTCGTCGCGAATATACCGATACCGTAGCCGTTAGACCTGCGACAACACATACTACAATAGTCGCCGCTAATCGATATATTACAACTTAGTAACTAATAGGCACGCGTGTTTATTAACGACCGGCGATTCTTACTAGAAGACTAGCGGCGGCTGTTTAATAGCAGGACTTTTAGTAGTGATCTATACAATAGAGGCAATAGCGGCGGCGGCAATAGACAATAAGGCAAGAGCAAGTAGATATACCTCGGATTTAGCGCAACGGCTATACTACACGTTAACTTTAGCTTTATTGAGTTATCGCTAGCGACCTTCGAAATTACCATATTCCTAAAGCCCTTTCGAATTTGAAGCACATTTCAACCAATTTCATTAGGGGAGTTACTAGCAACTCGAAGTGGGGGGTGGGACCGGGGTAAAAGTGGGTCAAGCCAATCAGCGCGAGTTGCTGATATACAGACACCCGAATCCCGAACGGTGGTCATGCATATGAAAGCGGCTTGCTCAAGATGCATCGATATCGATATCGATAGCTACAATGGTAGGGACGGCGATGCGATATATGATACTGCTCCTGTCGTGCCTCTCGGTGGCATTCGCTGCCTGTGAGTCTGCTTCTGCTCCATTCGATCCTAGCACCAGAGCCAGCCAATACTGACACGAATCAGCACCCACGTCCTTCTGCAAATGTACGTGCTTCACCAATAGCACTATCATACCACTCGACACTCCCAATAGTGCCGACACCTCGACCACGTCAAAGCTGCTCCTCGTCCGAGATGCTCTGCCGCCCTCGCTTTCCGCAATTCTCCCCCGCGACATCCTATCCTCCAACAAAACGGAGAATCGCGTTCATGGCCGAACATGTACAGACTGCACCAAGAAGTTCTGTCTAAGCTACAATTTGCCTATCTGCAAAGATGCCACAGAAGAGGATGTATTCACGACATGCTTTCAGAGAGACAGTGTCAAAGATCAGGCAGTCGTCTGGATCTTCATAATCGCGACCGTCAGCCTTCTTGCTTGGGCGGGCATGAAGCCTTACGTAGAAAGATGGAGGGAAGGCTATAGTCCCCTGCAAAGAGGACAACAAGGCTGATTAGCATACGAGATCCACGGCTAATGGACGATGTTATGTCCTAAGCTACGGGTGGACAGCCAATTTCTGCCCTAAATTCCAAGCCCAATCCTGGCGCACGGTGGAGCGGTACAAGGCCATGTGCGAGCTTTCTGAGCCAGCAATGCTATCTCTGGCTCAGCATTAGAAGCTCGCTCTTTCGATGCACAATTGACATCGTGGTTTCTTTCGGCTGCACGAATTCGAGACCACGCCTGAAATCCTGCAAAGAGCCGCTTACACGTTGCGGATCGCCAAAGCTGCATTCCCGTATTGCAGCTCCTACCAGCGGTAAGCTTCTGCACTTGAAGCTTTAGGGCACAAGTGATCTAATTTGCAGATCAGTCTCCGGTTTAGGGTGGAAGCTACGGCTGAAACCTTCGAAACAGCTGACAGCTCAGCTGGCCTGAATCAACATATGCTTGCCTCTTCCTCACAATGATCAATCTTGATTTTCCAAAAGCGCCGATGACTTAGGACTTTTGATGTTTTCCAAGGGTCAACCATATACACTTATTTTGAAAAGCACGCGTCATGGACATCAAGAGCATACCTTTGAACAAGCACCCAGCCAGTCTGCCAAAATGTCACATATCTAAGTCTGTGGACCATGCGCAAGCGACAAGGGCTGTCGTTCAACGACTTGCACTCGGGCCTCAATTGAAAGATCTGGCGGATAATATAATTTGGCGAGATTCGCTCGCGTTCACAGGCACTTTTCGCACTTTCTATGGAATTGAGAGAGTCACACACGAGTGGAAGAAGTTAAACATGACGAAGAAGCCAGTCGACTTCGAATTCGTGGAAGGCTCTTCGATTATACTGCGCCTCGATGCCGAAACATGCTGGATTCAAGCTGCCTTTTCGTTCTCCACTGGTGGGTCATTGGGCGGAAGATGCTCTGGGACCATAGGACTCGTCCCTAGCAGCAGATTCTCGGATTCGGGCTGGGAAATATGGCTGCTCTGTACCGTTCTGGAGCAGCCCACCGCCTTCCACAATGTCGACCATTTAGTACCCGGTCTGCCATTATCATCGAAGCACATTCTTGGACAAGCTCATGCTTCCCAACAGCATGCAAACAGTGGATCGTATCAAGTCCATGGTGAAAACTCGATTCCACTGGATTGTCTTGTTGTCGGCGCGGGCATTGGTGGGTTGTGTATGGCTGGACGCTTAAAAGCCTTAGATCTTTCTTACGTTGTCATCGAGAAGCATGAAGTTGGTGACGTGTGGTCGAAGGGACGGTACGACTCTGTGAAGCTCCATACCTCTAAGCAGTTCAACCAGCTACCTGGAAATCCTCCTACCTTTGGCAAAGATCATCAATACCTTCTCACTGCCAAAGATCTTTCGGAAGGGTTCAAGCGATACGTGGACACCTTTGACATCAATGTCATGACATCAACTTGTTTCACAAAGGCTAAATATGACGAGAACCATCGGTTCTGGCGAGCATCTCTTCAGCGAGATGGCGACACCTTCGAGATCAAAGCTCGCCACATTGTCCTTGCCATTGGAGATATGGGCGTCAAACCAAAGGTTCCCGAATACCGTGACCGACATTTATACAAAGGCGACGTAATCCACGCAGTAGACTGGAAAAACGCATCCAGATGGCAAGGCTGCAAACATGGCGTCGTGATCGGCTCAGCCAACTCAGCCCACGACATCATCTCCGACATGTCGAAATCCTCCATCCAGAACATAACCATGATCCAAAGATCCGAGACCTTCGTCCTCCCAAAATCCACCTTCTCTGCCCTCGTCGATCCAGTCTACAACGAATCCACACCCCTCGACCTCAGCGACCGAGCCCTCATGTCCGCACCCTTACCAATCCAACGTCTCGCCGCCATGGCCGGAATCCGTGCCTGTGCCGACATGCATCCCAATCCAGAGAAATTTGAGAAAATGTCAGCTAACGGGTACAAATGTCGAAGGTATGGAGATCTTTGGGGACAGTTGTATGAGTCCCAAGGAAAACATTTCTTTGACATTGGGGCTGGAGATTTAATTGCCGAGGGGAAAGTCAAAGTGAAGAGTGATGCTTTACCCGTGGCGTTCACTGGGAGAGATTTGGTTATGGATGATGGAACGAAGCTTGAGGATGTGGATGTTGTGGTTTTTGCTACGGGGTATGAGAGTCATTTTAGATCTGCCTTACAAGAGATTTTTGGGCATGAGGTCGCGGGCAAATTGAGGCCGTTTTGGGGAACGGATGCTGAGGGGGAGGTGCTGGGGGCTTGGAGGAGGACGGGATGTGAGTATTCCTCTGACTTTTCGGGTTTACGAGTACGAATGCTGACTTTGATGTAGGTCATGGAATCTGGTATACTGGACATGGATTTGCGCATGCGAGGTATTATTCAAGATTCGTGGCGATGCAGATTAAGGCTGATGTGATGGGGCGACCTTTTGAGGTGTATGAAGCAGAAGCGGAGTAAAATTGGTGAGCCATTCAGCCATCGCCGTCGATCGTGATCACCGGCCCCTGCACGACTGCCTCGCCATCCCCATCGTCCTCTTCTTCCTCCTCGTCGCCACCATCAAGCAGATCAAGCACCTCATCTAGGCCTTCAAAAATACAATACCCCGCCGCCTCTTTGGCAACCCAGTCAATCTTATCATAAAGCTCACCCTTTCCCGGCTCGGACACATTCCTCCCCGCCGCAACTCTTTCCTCGTCTGACATACATTCGACAATATGCATCATGCCCTCAACATACGAGCTATCATGACCAAATTGCTTTCGCACTTCACTCCCCAAACAATCATCAGAAAGAAGTATACTCTTCCCAATTTTCCGCAACGTCTCCAAAGCGCTAAGCTTCGTACCATAAGAGCTCGACGGAGAAACCTGTTCTTGGATGGACTCGATACTTTCCGTCACAGATTCGAAAGCTTCAAAAGACATATCGTATTGCTTGCTTCCACTCAGTTTCCTGTACTGGATATTCAAGGTTCGCCAGACATCTTTGCTGTGGTGGTCAAAGTCGAGCACTCTGGCTTGTTCCGCGAGGAGTTTTTGGCTCCAGCAATCTGTCAGGCAGGAAAGGGCGCAGTGTGTTGGGTCTGCTGAGATTGTGGTTGCTAGCACGCTTCGCATTTGGGATGCGCTGAGTGTGTCAAGCATTTGGTCTACGGATGGGATTGTGACGCCCGCTGGGATGGGGCGGCTGGGTCTGAATTGCGGCATTGTGAGGCCATTTCCTGCGTCCGAGGTCGAGGGTTGATCAGTTCCTGGCTGGTCGCTGTCTTCTTCGCGAGGACGTTTTGCCGGACGCGCTCCAGCGATCTCGGGGTTGAGGCCAGATTCCATTATTGGCCTTTCTTTGTTGTACTTGGTGAGATGAGGGAGGTCGTTTGAGGAAAATCTTATTCCCGCGTCGATGATCGCCAGGGGTCACGATATCAAGATTGCGCGGTGGACCGTGCGTGAAGCTAGTCTCTCCCTACGGGCCTACGCCTTGGATCGCAGGTATAAATTCGTACTTGACCACGCTAAAAGCGGAGTTGACCATCACAGAGTTGACCAAGATCCGAGAGCTGGGAAAGTTCATGGTCAACTCCGCTTTTAGCGTGGTCAAGCGAGCTCATATCACACCGATCGAGAAAGAGATGAAAGATAATTCGATTAAGGGCATATCATGTGTCCCCGCTGTGGGAACTCATAAGGCGTCGAATGGTATCCGATACACTCTTCTCTGAGCCTGCACTCGTGGCCTTGGAATGTCCGCGCGAAACCATGGACTTCAGAGCCATGAGGTTATTTGCTTGAGGCATCCGACTTGGAATTCGCGAGAGCAAGGCGATTCGACGTGAATGCCTCGTGGCCGTCTCAATGGTGTCGACTGTCTGCCCTAGGCATCCACATGCCTGATGAATATTCGACATCCAGTGCAAAGGCTCTCAGCACCTGCACTTGTAACTGCCTCCCGACTTGCAGCATTGAAGACACAGGCCTGGATATTTCGGCTCAGCGTCATCGCCCATTTCCCGGATCGTGGCGCAGGTGGCGTACGCGGTCGAGGTGTCTGAGCGGTAGACATGTTGAGCGCTGAAGCCCACTCAGAGTCGCCTTTGGGAGGGATGCTGGATGCTGATGCGACCAATTGGCTGTTCTCGATTGATCTATGTCGGAGGAAGCGATCGCTGTCACTTCACTGGAGCTCCACGAGGTATTCAATTGAGGTAAGACGCAGCACTCATCTCAAGAGGCAATGAGCGTGATGGTGACACAACTTCTTCTGCTCGCCACTGATTAGGAAGTTACGTAGATACCGTCCACAATGATGCATCTAGTCAGTGGTTTTGTGCTGAGCGAGCAACGACTGGAGGAGCGTGCGATAATAGAGGCCGAGACTGAGGTATGTCTGAGTTATTAGCAAGCCCAGGAGGAACCATGTAATCAATGCAAGGAAAGTAGTGAAGTTCGAGGTTCTTGGTACTCATCAATGATGGAGCTAGCATCATTTCTCAATCTGTGATCACAACACGGTATGTGAAAGTTCATGAGTTGACCCAGCATGAATCAGGCGTGCCAAAGTATCCTCAGTTCTCCTTGTGTCCCTTGCAAGCTATGCTCATGTCGGCGTGCTCTTGAACGCAGGTCAAACACAAGCCTCCGGGAGGCAAAAATGATGCGCCCATGTACCTCAGGGCCATGCGCTGCGCGATCACGACTAGATCAACAAATTAGCTGCGAAGACTGATTTGATTTGATTTGATCTCGAGCCTACCAACAACGCTGCTTGGAAGGAGAGTCCAGCAATGTGCGTGCTGACGTGAAGCCGCCAGACACGTCATGTTCATGGCATGCTTAGTGGCCATCTTGAATGCTTGTTTCTGCTCCAAAAGATAGCTGGCAGCGATGATTTTGAGGAAGCAGTCGAAGCCTCTGATGGCGTTATTTTCGTTGACAAGCCAAGATAGTAGGATGGCTTCGGCCTGCAGGCGCAAGAAGGAGACAAGTGCGTACTTCTGAAGGTTAACCGGTTAGTACTAGTTCGGCCGACCATCAGCATTGCTGCGACACATACATCTACAAGAACGGCGTAGTCCAGGATAGTCGCCACATCCATCTTCGCTGCTGGACCTGAAGGTAGCTTATGGCCCGGGTGTAGCTGCTGACAGATCATGGACATGGCATTGCCGTCATCTTCTGGCAAAGCCACTTCGAGTGGGTCTTGCGATGAGCGCTTCGCCTGGCCCTCGCGGAATTGAGGTCCCAAGAGTGCTGCAAATACGGGTGATGCACGCATGAGATTCTTTGACGAGACGCGGAGGTGGAAGGGATCCTTGCGGTCGACTTTGAGGATGACATCGCCCTCCTCGTCCAAGCAAATCTCGTGGGCCATGTTGGTGTGAAGCCGCTGGCCAATGTTTCTCGTGAAGAATATCAGAGAAACCGTTGTTGGGGAGCTCAATAGTCAATCCTCAGTTGTGCTCGGGAGATCAGATTGAAGGAGGCTGAATTGTCGTCAATAAGACCATCCAGGTCTGGGTCAGTATTAGTATCCTCTTGACATGTTTGCTGTTCGTCTAAAAGTTGCTGGTCGGACTGTATAGAACCTTCCGAGAGGCAGCTATCGCTGTCTGAGATGTCTTCAGAGTTTCGGCGAATGTTATCGAAATCGACGCGATTATGAATCCTTGGTTCTAGATATAACTTATTAGTTCCCTCTCCTTCCTTAGTTCGGACCTTCGAGATTCTGCAGACTTTCTTCTTTTCTAAACGATATACAAAAATAATAGATTCCGCTTCGAGGCCGAGAAATTTCCCTGGCCAGGCTCGCAGGTTTAGCAGCCCTTTTCGACGGTGTTCCAGAGGGACGGTAACCCACATTCGACTACCGAAGATAAGGTATACTCCACGCTCAGATCCGGCTGGATATTCTTAGTAAACTCCCAAGGCATTTTTTTTGAAAGCCGTTGTTAGGGACCGGTTTTTGACCTACGCTGCATGACGCCAGCTCTAGGTCCATAGAGATGGAACTCGGGCAAATTCGTCTCACGGGGAGCTATGGCTAAGCCGGGGAGAACTTCGGCGAGATGGCTTTCACATGTTCTTGGCGCAGCTCGTCAGCTGTCAATTCTTCAGATCCACGTCCTTTCCTAGCAATCGCGGCACCTCTCGACGACCAAATCAGCTCGAAGCGGCCACAGCACCTTTGAATGACCACAGCATCACTAAGCAGCCGTAGCACCCTTTAGCAAGCAACGCACCATTCAGCGGCCATAGCACCTCTTAAGAGCCACATTATCCATGTCCTCCAAACCAGTAGGCACGACAATTTCGATTGATCCCAAAGGGCACTCTCAGAACAACTTCATCACTACTTCTTCAACCCACCATCACCAACCTTCGGCGGAGCAGGAACCTCCACATCCTCAATCGTCCACTCCATCCCAATATAACAATCACTCACAACCACAACCCTTACCGTCCTCTCCCCATCAGCATCAGGAAATTTGACACTAGCCTTGGTGCTAACACGACCTCCCTTTTGCACACTCGGCCAATTGACCCTCTTCATAGCAAGCACATCTCCACTTCCCACCTCTTCGACAAGCAAGAAATAGCCCTCGGTCTGAGGTTTCGGGTATCGTGGTGCGAAGATTCTGCCTTCGCGATCCTGCAGCGGGTTGAGTCTTTGGAGGTTAATGGTCAAGCCGAGAGCGTTGATGTCGGAGGTTGAAAGGCGGAGTTGGGGAAGTTGGGCTAAAACCTTGAATACGCGAGCATGGCTGGGATTTGGTAATGCTAGGTCCTTGAGTGCAGTCTCAATGACAGACTTGCTGGCAGTCGTTGCATCGATAAGGTCTTTAGGTCGTGCATCTGACATCTCGAGCCGTTTCTTCTCCTTCTCCGGACTGACACCGGGGAAGACAGCCAATGGTCCATCATCGGGCCAACGAGCGGACTTGACACATTGGAGGAGCGTCATCATCATCTTACAGCTTTGGAGGTAACCCAGCTCAGTGAGGACATCGATACTAGCTTGGATGATACGAATCGCCTGATCGAGGACGGAGTTCTGATCACCGACGTAATCGCTGATGGGAAGATCGATGCGGGAGAAATGTGCTTGGAGAAGAAGATGAGCCTTGACGTGTGGGTCCCACATTGGTAGTCCAAGTTTATCAGCTTTGAGAGGTAGGTTATTGGAAAGCTCGAAATTGATGAGGTCTTCGTTGTGCCGCACCGGAAGTTCGTCATATTCCGTCGCGCGAGACATCCAGACCAAGACGTCTTCAAAGCTCGCTGTTGGCTTGGCGTGCTCGGTGAGAGATTTGATGGTCTTGTGAGAGAGATAGTAGTAACTCATGATCTTGCCAAGAGGCGTGGGATCGACATCGCCGTTGGGCATGACCGTAATACATTTCGAGTCAGCGAGGTCGTTGAGTGACTTGTCAACCATTTCTATCATGTAGTCATTGGCGGCTTGTTGTGCTGCAATAGTGTTGTTATCTTCGGCAGAGATCTCCAGGCCGTAGTAGGATGGGTTCTTGTGCAAGCGTCGGAAGAAGAATGTCCAGGTCAAGTAGTCTAGAGCATCTTGCTTCGTTGAGATAGTCTCTGCTGACACCTCGGCGCCCAAGTGGTTGTCCAGAACATTATGCAGAGATGACTCCACGGGGAAGCCAGTATGCAGAAAATGCTTGTAGAATGCCTTCTTGGAGTCTTGAGTGAAGATGCGAGCAATACCCGAAGTGTCGAATTGCGGTCGTCCTGCTCGACCAAGCATTTGCAGCACATCCGTCAAATCCATATCCTTATAGCCTTCGATCTTGGCGTCGAAGAACTGCGTGCCCTTCACCACAACCAGGTGTGCGGGTAAATTGACACCCCACGCAAGGGTACTGGTAGCCACAAGGATCTGAATCTTGTTGTTGGCGAACAGCTCTTCCGCCAACTGTCTATCGGATTCAACCAGACCAGCATGATGCAGTCCGATACCAAAGCTGATAGCCTCACGAAGAGCATCATCTTTGACACGATCCAAATTCAGCGCCAGATCTTCCTCGGACATTTTCATGAATCTTCTCGGGTTGTCCTCCATGCCACAGAGATTGATCAATGCTCGCGCTGTCAATCTAGTCTGTCTTCGAGATGCTACGAAGACGATGACCGGTTTCTCCGGCGAGTGAGCTTTGATGGCCAAGAAAGTTGGTCGATTCATGCTCTCCATGAGCGGGCAGAAGCCCCGCTGCTGAGGGAAGCCATCAATGTAGATCTCGAGAGGGACTGGACGCACGGAATGGCGAAAGTTGAAGAGTCCCTCTTTGACACCGAGCCAGTTTGCCAGGTCCATGGCATTTGCACAGGCAGTAGACATACCCACAATGCGCACGGAGCCCTTCTTCTGAGAGGCAATGTAGTTCATACGACTGACAATGATCTCGAGAATTGGTCCTCGATCCCCGCCGAGCAGATGGATCTCATCAATGATGACAAGGCTGACTTGCTGGACATAGCTTCTTGTCTGCCAGCTACGACTGATACCGTCCCACTTCTCAGGCGTGGTAACAATGATATCGGCGTCACGAATGGTACGAGTGTCGGGAGTATTATCACCAGTCAATTCAACAAGGTTCAGACCCATTTGTCGCGTAAGTCTCTTGCTCCAGTCCTGCACTCGCTCTCGAACGAGAGCTTTCATGGGTGCAACGTAGACGACTTTGCTACCAGGCTTCTCGCGAAAAGCCCACCACATCGCAAGTTCAGCCGCAATCGTTTTTCCAGATCCAGTCGGAGAACCAAGTAGGACATTTGCTGGAGTGTAGTACATGCAGTGAAAAAGCTGGGTCTGCATGGGGTTGAAGAACTGAAACCGCTGCCCGTAGATCTCTTCAAGAATTGGGTTCTTGAGCGCCTTGATAGGCAGTGGTTGCAAGTTCAGCAAATCGGTGTACACACTTTCGGTGTCAGGTCTGATGAGGTGTTGAAAAGAGACAGGCGTGACAGTCTCCGCGCCGAGCCATCTATCGCTGACAGCTCGCACATAGATCTGACTAGGGAGAGGATCAGAGAGTGGTATTGTGAAATTGAGCTCGTGGTCATCGTAAAGCTTTTTACGGCTCAAGATGAAGAACTCGTGATGGTAGATCTCGCTCGTTTCAGAGTTTTCAACCCAGATCCAGTAGCTTTCGCTCTTGCCATGGTGGCGGTCATTCCACTTGAATTCCGGAGTGATGAAGAGCTTGACACGAAGTACGTCTCGGTTGAGAGGAGCGATCTCAGCCTCGACAGACAAGGTAGGAAAGTTGTCCAGCAGCTTCCCAATGGTGGTTCCGATCTTGTGATTGTGCACCAGACTGCCGATCTCAGCAGGTTCCATATCTCGCAAGGACTCGATAGACGCCGAGCTTGCTTTCTCGTCCAGGTTGCGGAGTACTGCTTGTGGCAGGTCGAACTGGTGGAATGGATGCTCGTAAGGCCAGACTCGCTTCTCGATACTTTTGCACATGCTCAGTAGCACCAAACACTGATAGCCCCAGCGCCTATTAAGTGCAATCATGAACAGTGCTCGGCAAATACGGGCTGCGTTTTGTGCCACGTACGCAGTGTCAGAGACTAACGTGAAGTCCTCGAGGTTCGCTTTGCTGATATAGGACTGCAGCAGAACGTTCGTTTTGCCCTGCTGCGTGCCGATGCCACCTTCGATGTCGCAAGGGGCAGCTTCGTCCTTGAGTCGCATGAGCTCTTTCTCTTCGCTCTCGCGGCTAGTAATGTTGTCGAACTCGCCACTCATACTGATCATCTTCAATACATCTGCTTCAGTCGCGCGTGGACGCATCATGGCGTTGAAGATTTCAATACTCGTCTGCAGGACATAAAATTGAGATGCAATACGTCCAACATCTTTGGCGCGGAGCTCTTCGGTAGACTCGTTGAAGATGATCATCTGGCTTTGCTGCAGAACTCGTGCTGCCTTTAGGATGAGCTCACGTCTGCGCTGGACCAAATTCGGATCATTGTGGATTTCAGCCCATTCAATTCCGTACGCAATAGGGTTGCGCTTCATGCGAACAAAGAGGTATGAGTAGCCTAGCCATGTGATGGCTTCTGGCACGCTGGTCACAGTGCCAAGCGCGATCTCAGCGTTCAAATTGTCAACAAGCTTCCTGCTGAACTGCGACTCGATTGGCTGCTGTTGAGTGACTGCAGTCAAATAATGCTGCAATTTATCTTGTGTGGTCAAGATCATGCCAATACCAGTGTCTTGGAATTGAGGTCGACCGGCACGACCGAAGATCTGCAGGACATCCAGAATGCCGACATCGACAAATTTACCAGCCTCAGCGCTGTATAGCTGGGTACCTTTGATGATGACTGCGGCAGCTGGCAAATTGACACCCCAGGCTAAGGTCGCCGTACAGCAGAGTACTTTTAGCACTCCTTCTGCAAATAGTCGCTCGACCAGATTGCGATCGGAGCGAGGCATCCCAGCATGATGGGTACCCATGCCTTTCTGTACCAGCTCGCGGATCTCGCGGCCCTTCGATTGCTTGACGTCTTTGAGTGCCTGAGAATACCCTTCAGACTGGCTAGGATCGAACAGATCCGTCATCCCTTGTTCTGTAGCCATCTCATACAGCTGTCGAGCAGTTTTGACAGTGTCTTTGCGACTGTGCACAAAGACCATAATCTGATGTCCGAGCTCAAGCATTTCCTTCACTTTCTCAAAACAAGTGTTGTCCAGGTTCTCACGACTTGACTTGGTTCCGGGCTTGCCTTTAACACCGATGAAGTGCTGCTCGAGTGGTACTGGTCTGAAGGACTGGTCGAAGTAGAACAAGCCAGCCATGCGGTTGACTTTCAAGAAGTCTGCGACATCAATGTAATTGGGTAAGGTGGCGCTGAGACCGATGATGCGAATGAGAGATTGAGTGCTTTCAACTTGACGCTCTGTTCTAGCGACAAGTGATTCCAGCACTGCACCTCGCTCATCGTGCAACATATGCACCTCGTCTATGATGAGCAATCGCACTTTCTGCACGAGCTCAGTATCGCCAGTCGACTTTCGAGTCACGACATCCCACTTCTCTGGAGTAGTGACGATGATCTGGGTAGCAACAATCTCGGCTTTGGTCAGCTGCATATCACCAGTCAACTCTCTGACCTGAATGCCAAGCCAAGCCAATCTCTTGCCCAGCTTCTCGGTGATTTCTGCCGCAAGAGCTTTCATAGGAGCAACATAGACAATCTTGAACTCTTCGGTATAGACGACAAACTCAGAAGCATCTGGCTCCTCAATCGGGTTCGGGTGAATATTCTTCGCAATGGTGTTGAGAATTGTGAGCATTGCGGCATCTGTCTTACCGGCACCAGTTGGAGCACAGACAAGCATATTCTCACTGGTGTGATATGCTACTTGGTAGACGAGACTTTGCATCCGGTTGAGCGTCTTGTAACCTTTGAATGTACGTTTGCAAAGGCCGTCCAAGTCGCTGATCTGAACAAGCTTCTGCTCGAGCCCACGAATGCCAACCTTGGCTGCAGGAATACTGTATTCTTCGTACTTCTCGCGTTCCTTTCTCTCACTGCCGACGGGAAGAGTATACCTCTTACCATGCGCCGACAGCGTATTACCAGCGCTGTGTGCTTGATAGACATGAGGGTACTCCGTCTGCGAACGATCCTGAGCTGGGGCTAATGCGGCAGTCTTGTGTGCCAAGTCCTGATCACGCAGTCGGGCATCTCGTTCGGCTTTGGACAGAATGCCCGATGGACGAGGGGTAGGGGCGGAGAGGATTGCTTTGCGATGTTGCAATATCTCTGATACCAGATCGAGCTCCTCGAAGCCCAGAATGTCCGCAAGTGTCATCTGCAACTCATCATCGCTACTGTCAGAAGCCAGGACCGCAATGATTTGATCTTCAAGCGAGTTCGCATCGAGGCCACTGCTCTTGCTGGCGACCTGCTCGCATCGTAACCGCAACCACTCTCGAGAGCCATCCTTGGCCTGAGTCCGTGCAAATGCCGGAACGTCTACGCTCTCCTCACTATAGCTATCCTCTTCTTCCTCACTGATAAGATCCCAGATATCGTCGCCCGATGCTGGTGACAAGTCATCGTCTTCCAGTTCAAGATCGAGTCCATCATCATATGCCGGCTCTTTCGATTCGCCATTCGTTTGTGGGAGCTTCAGTTCTGCAATAGCCGCTCTCATCGCAGCCAGCTGCTCGAGCCATTGCGAGGCGGCTGTCTCAGCTGATGGCGACATTTTGCCTGGACCGGAGAAATTGGAAGTGTTGTCAAGAAATGCATCTACAGAATCATGATTCATAGTGTGCCATCGCTCGCTTACTAAGTAGCTCCAAACTCTAAAACGCCTCCAAACGCGTCACTGCTCAACAAGCCCAAGTCTTTGCTCTCTACTCTCGCCTCAAGCATCACAAAATGGAATCTCCCCACGCAGCCCAACAATCCTTGTACGTTTGTCTCTCCCTCTCTCACCCCCTCCCACCCACTAATCTGTAACAGGCTTCTCTCCAGAATCATAACCAACGTAGAGAAGCTCAACGAAGCGATCCTAGTCCTCAACTCATCCCTCCAAAAAATCAACGTCGAAAACATGAACGTGGAATTAGTGGCAGCAATGTTCAAGAACTATCAAAGCAACGTCCTCTTCCACTTGGAAGCGACGGATAGCCTGAAGGAGCCTTCTTGAATTTTCCATCACGAAGAGTGCACGGACTGGGAGGTTTTATTATCGTGGCGGGAGGAGTATGAGGGGAGTTGGTGAAATTTAGCGTCAGTCCTGCAGCGAAAGCAGTTCTGCAGATGATGGGAGATGACGTGTTGGGAATGGTGTTCGTCAAAAGTCACGCCATGGGATGTTATGATTATGAACGATCAGTCTCCGCGAGAGACGGTCAACGAAGTAGCGCGATATGTGGGGTAGATTGTGAGGAAATGAGAGCGTATGATCACTTCACTGACTCAATCCCGAAAAAAGGACAGATTGAGCGTGCCTTTGAATTTTCTATGCTGCGCATGAGAAGTTTGCAAACCCGGATGCTCATAGCACGCCAAACCGAGAGCTTGGCACTACGCCATCCCATGCCATACCAAGAAAATCACTTCCCGTTACTTATTCGATCAAATCGTCTCCTCCCTTCTAAGGAATCGTGGGTACTTCAGCACACTCCTGTTCTTTCGATCGTAATGCACCTAAGATGACGATCCGAGAGTGCCCAAGTTGGGAAGAGGTCCTGGTGCGCGACCCATGCCAGGTGCACCAAATCCAGTTGCAGGTGATGTCTTGCTTGGCATTGGCGAGCCGATCTCTCCCAATCCAGTGTGACCTCTGCTCTGATCGGGCGTACTTGCGTCTGCCTCCCACTTGACTGCGTACGAGCCTTCCGCTTCGTTGTGCTTGATTGACAGCTCGCCACCGCCGTTCTGACTATCGCCTTCCGTCTCGCAGATAGCCTCGATCTCTTGCAGCGTGGGCATTGCCTCCAGAGGGGGTCGGTTTGCTTCCATCTGGCGGAGTAACACATCGACGTTGTGGAACTTGTCGCCCTCGCCACGATTTGATGCTGATAATTGCTTGCAGGCTTGGCATATGGCGATACGAATGGCAAGAGGTCGGCTCATGCTGCCACCAGCCGGACGGTGCATGGGAGGCGCAATAGAGCCAAATCCACCATTACTCGCAAATGCAGCATTGTTATTGCCCCAACTGCTCGACGGTGGTGGCAAGTTGCCCCACCCGGGCTGACCAAGGCCTGGACTTGATCCGAATGGCATGGCGGGAGTATTCCACGAGCTGCCAGGTGCGCCAAAGCCACCAGGAAAGCCGCCGATATGATTCATGCCACCGCCTGGAATGTTGATGCCGCGAGATTGGCCTGGCACATTTGAGTGTCGACGGTTGTTCTCTGCATTCGATACCGGCTCATCGCTGTCGTCAAGCAGTGCTGAACTACCGAGATGTCTTGAAAGATCCTCCAGTTCTGGATTGGAACCATTGCGTGACGGTGGCTTGACACTGTTCGGGCGTTGTATCGGTGCTGGCCTGGCGATTGGTGCATTGGCTGCCGACTCGAAACGCTCCTTATCGGTCGACTGTTGACGCGAGTGGCCGGAGAGACTTCCTGCTGGTCGTGAGGAGACTGTCCGATGGGCGACGTTTGGTTTGATGGATGTGGCGGCATTTGGCCGAATCCTGGTGGCGGATTGCCCATACCAGGGCCGTCAAACGGAAAACCTCTGCCTTGCGGTGGCATCATACCAGGTGGAGGAAGCATTCCGTTCATGCCGTTCATGCCTGGATGGCCGAACGACATGCGATTAGGGAAGCCCATGGGGGGGCCTTGATTCGGAAACATACCGGGCATTGGTCCTCGGTTCATGCCTGGCAGCATTGGTCCTTGTGGCACTGGGAAACCATTGAAGCCCATCGGTGGCATGCCTGCGAAGCCACCTGGGTGATGGTGAGGATGCGGCATTCCCGGTGGCGGTTGAATCGGCTGGTGGTGCAGCGGGGACGGAGTGTTGATCGGTTGCGGTTGCTGATTAGGTTGTTGGTTGCCCGCTTTGTGCAAGATTTGCTTGGGTTGGTTTGAAGTTTGCTGTCCGCTAGCACCCGGTGAGGATGATTTGCTGGGTGCACTCGAGACCTGCGAATGTGATTGCTTGGGCGAAGAAGCATGTGAGCCTTGCTGCGAAGCTTGTCTCTGCTTCGATGGGGTGGGCGCCTTCGGTACCGCAGGTGTTGCGATGTTGACGTGAGGAGAAGAAATACCCGAAGTCGTTTGCTTGCCATAGACTCCGGGAATGGCCACCATACCAGGCTGCGAGGATCGCTTTGCAAGTTGAGGAGGATGCGCGGTGAGTGGCGGCACTTGATGGACTTTCTTCTCGCGGTCCTTGGCCTCCTTTTCGGCTTTCGCCTTGGCTTCACGCTCTTTCTTTTCGGCATCTTCCTGGGCTTTGCGCTCTCGAACTTCCTTCTCGCGTGCTTTACGTTCCTCGCGCTCTTTCTTGCGCTGCTCTTCTTTCCGAGCCTTCTCTGCAGCTTTGGCTTCTCGTGCCTTGCGTTCCGCTTCCTCTCTCCGCTGCTGCTCCTCTTGCTGCCGCCTCAAGCGCTCGAATTCTTTCCTCGCTTTCTCTTCATCCGCCTTCCGCTTCTCCTCCTCCCGCTTCTTTCGCTGTTCCTCCTTCCTCCGTCTCTGCTCCTCTTGCTTCTTCTCTTCCGCCTGACGCAGCCGGGCTTCTTCTGCGGCTTTCTCAGCATCCCGCTTCGCCTTCTCCTCTGCTTTGGCCTGCTGTGCCTGCTTCTTCTTGTCTTTCTTCTTCTGCGCATCTCGCTGCTTCTTGGCTTCTCGCTGTGCCTGTAATTTGTCCTCATCGGCCAGCTCTTCCAGTAGCTTCGCTTGACGTTCGGCTGCGACTTTCTCTCGATATGCTGTAAGCACACGTTGTTCGAACATGCGTGCTGCAAATATTTGGAACATTCGTCGTCCTTCCTGCATACGTTGTTCCTCGGTCAGCCCTCCCTGCAAAGAATCAGTTTGAAATGTGGGACTTGCCAGCTCAATGTCACCCACCATCTCGTCCTCCTCATCGTCCATGTCATCGTAATCTTCCTGGCTGTCGTACGAGCCTTCCTCATCGTCGTACTCGTCGTCTGCGGCAAGAGGGTCCTCTTGGCCGTACTGATCGTTGGATGGGTAGCCCGAAGGCGACTCTGCGTCGTAATGCGAACGACTCTCGCGAGCCATTCGACGCTCTGCAAGCTGTTCCATCATTTCGATGAACTTGCGACCGTCATTCTTCAGCAGATCGTCAGCTACCGTGAGGAGGTTGTCTGCTTTACCCTTTAGCCCCATCGCCTCCAGTTTTTCAGCCCATGGAGTTAGAATACCTTTGACAGTCAGCTGTGAGCCAAAGTCGAAGAAGTCTGGCACACCCGGGTGGCCTCGCGGCGGTTCGGGATGGTGGTCCGGTTCGTCGTCAGAATACTCGTCCTCGTCTTCGTCGCTGTACTCTTCTTCTTCGTCTTCCTCCTCGCTGTACTCGTCGTCGTCGAGATGCTCATGTACGTGACTCGTTCGGTGGCGAGGATGCATGGGTGGCGGAGGTGTGGAAAGCGGATGTGGCGGGCGGTGTTGCAGTGGAGCGGGGAGCATGCCGTCTGCAGTGGGTAATGGCGGCTGATCGACGTGCGCATACTGTTCGAGTTCCTCGTAATAGCCTTCGTACAGCACTTCGAGCTCCTCCTCGATCGCAGTACGCTTCCGTCCACACACAGTGCAAGAGCACGAATGCTTCTGCTGCTGCTTCATCTTCTTCAGCACCGCCTCCTTCTCAATCTTGAGCAGGCCCTTGCGCTCGTCCTCGCTCAAGCTCAGCCAGAACTCCTTGATGTTCTGTCGCTCCTGCGCCGTACTCGTATTCCATATATTGTCATGGTGGTGACTGCCGTGGTGAGACATGGGTGCTCGCATGGGAGAGTGCTGGTGGCCATGTCGCGGCGGAGGAAGCAGGTGTGGTTCGTAGGCGTCGCTCTGCTGGATGCTGCCCGACTTCTTCTTTTTCTTGTTCTTCTTCTTGCCGGGCGGCAGAGGCGGAGCAGGATATATGCCGTTGGGGTGGGGAGGAGCATAGTGGTGCTGCTCGGCGTACTCGTGCTCGGCCTCAGAGTCATAGTCGTCGTCCTCATCGTAGCGGAGCGCATCCTCGTCGTAGCCCAGTTCGGACGGCTGGCCTGTGATGTGCGGCGGAGGCACTTGAGTGGCAGATTTGGCGGCAGCCTTCGCGCGCCGCTTGGCCTTCTTGCGATTCCCTGTAGTGGGCCCGGTAATGACCCCGTTCGTATGCTGCGTCGACATGGTGGCAGCGGCAGTGTGGTGCTAGGGTGCAGCTCTAGCGGACATGTGTCAGTCGCAGGGCGGCGGAGGTGAGAGTGAGTGTGCGCAGGCTTGGAGGTGCTCGGAGCATGTGAGGTCGTGTGTGGACAACCTTGTTGGATGGCCTGTCTGTCTGTGCGGTGCTGTGCTGTTCTGTGCTCGGAGCGGGAGAGGCTCAATACCTTTGCAGCCGCACTCCAGCCTGATTGCTCCTTTGAGATGTGTTCGTGGTATGCGCCGGTCAAATTATTACTCGTCACATGCGCAAGTTCCCTTACTCCATGTGCCTGCCGAAGTGCATTTGCTGTCGAGCGTCGTTATTGCGGGAGTACCCGCCGCGAAGATCGGTCCTGCTTCGCCATCCCGCGTTTGCGCACCTGCCCTGCCCTGCCCTGCCTCAGCAACTGCCTCTCAACTTCAACACGACCGACTACCGCTGAGCGCTCGCTCACTGGCACGGGATCACTTCACTACCTCATCGAATCCCTCTCACACATCCATTCCATCTATCGCCTGCGAAAAGCTAGGCAAAGACTATCTACATCTGCCATTGTTGACGATTGCCTTGCCAGCAGCTGCATTACGAAGCTCAAGCTTGGTGGATTCTGGGCCGAGCCTGAAACATCAGCGATCACCGCATTGAACCCCAAGTACGACAACACCAACAATTCTTCTCTCGTCGCATTAAATTTACCGCCTCACCTTCCTGCCTTCACATACACACTCGTCTGTGAACGAGAGCGAATCGCCAGACCCTGCATAGTCCCCGAGGCGGAGCGATAGCCGACCCTCGTATAAGAAAGGAACCAGCTTGCGTGGTGACTGGAAAGGCCGGCGCTTAGGACAAGAGGGGACATAGAGAGCGCTCGGGTGGGAAATTCATACTGCGACGGTCCGGTAGTCGATACTGAAGTAGAGCACACCTGCTACAGCTTCCGAAGGCCGCCAGGCATAATCTCACCATGGCGCAACAGGACTCACAGGTGATGCGGAGGTGAGGAGAGACATATGCACCAGCTCTCACAGTACTTCCATATTGACGCACGTCAGAAAACTCGTCATAATAGGCGACGGTGCGTGTGGAAAGACTTCATTGCTTTCCGTCTTCACATTGGGTTACTTCCCAACAGTAAGGCGTGCCACAGCCTCAACACACGATTCGAAGCTGACATTCACTTCACAGCGATATGTACCCACGGTGTTCGAAAACTATGTCACCGATTGCAGAGTGGACGGCAAATCCGTACAACTAGCACTTTGGGATACAGCCGGACAGGAAGATTACGAGCGATTACGACCTCTCGCTTATAGCCAAGCGCATGTCATCTTGATCGCTTTCTCCGTCAGCAGTCCGGACTCTCTACACAACATCACGACGAAATGGTAAGAAAGCGCTCTCCGAAAGCTTCATCCGCCGGGAGTCAGCACGCTAACATTTTGCTTGTCGCCAGGCACCCCGAAGTCCTCGAACGCTGCCCCAACGTCCCAATCATCCTCGTGGGCCTGAAAAAAGATCTCCGAGACGACCCCGTGGCTCAAGAAGAAATGCGCAAACGGTCCGAGAAATTCTTGACATTCGATGAAGGCGAAGAAGTCCGAAAACGCATCGGCGCGAAGAAATATCTGGAATGCTCTTCTTTGACGGGCGAAGGCGTCGATGATGTCTTCGAGGCTGCGACACGACAGTCACTTCTGAGTGGTGATCGGAAAGAGAGTAGTGGGTGCTGTGTCATCTTATAGTGGAAGATGCTGAAGCAGTGCTTCGGGTGCACATCCCTCGTGAAAGGAATTTGGGGTCAAAAGAGATGGAGGAGGTGCGCTTTTGAGTACCGATTGAGGTGTGGGAGGTGGAAGGTGAGAAAGCATTCGGGATTGTTTTAAGTTTGTGTGTGAGAGGAGGTGCATATATGGAGTTGTATCTGCAATCATTGTTTTGATGGTATGGTGGGTGGGTAGACGGCGGACGGTGGGGTGGGGTGGGGTGGGATATGGCGTTTCATGAAAAAAAGTTCTTGTGTGTGTGAAGTGCAGCTGCAGGTGCAGCGTGACGGTCGTTTTTATGATGAGGTTACATTATTTCGCAGGTTTTTTCTCACTCATTGCTTCTTTGAATATATTTTTGAGATCAAGGCTTGGTAACTGTCGTGACATTCCCATGTCCTCATTTGAGCGATTGTGAGATGGAGCTGTGAAGAGCATTGACGAATACGAATAAGAGACGAAAATTTGACAATATCCTGGAAGATGGACTTAATCAAGGTGGGGATTTGTGGTGGGCGTCTTGCTGTGCTGCGTATGATATGCGACACTTTTCTTTTCAGACGGTCTGCTCGGGTTGGAGCTTGTGCTGTTGTGTTGTATCATGATTACTTCGAGTCGGCAACCAATGTGGCAGTATTTAGAGACGAGCTCGATGGGTGAACTTTGGAGAAGAACATTGCAACGAATTCTCATCAGCTGAGAAGAAGTATCGGGGTACTTCACTAGGCCACCAGTCTCCTGTTGCGTCACGTAAAGAGTGAGTGGTCCTGTGCTGTCCGGAGCACTATCCGATCCGACGCAGATTCATCAAGCTGCTGCTGTCTTTACGTAGTCAGTCATTAAGTACAGGGAAGCTAATTACCTACCTTCGATTCCGCACGTGCAAGTTTCTTATTGCATGTATCAAAGTATGCTGACTTTACTTGCATATTGCAGTGTCTGGGTAGGCTGGACCTGAGTTGGAGTTCTGAACATGTCGAGTAAGTTGTTTGACCACCACCCATACTTTCGGCGATCAAGGCTGAGTTTGTAGCAAGCTTTTATATCAACTGTAGGGGGCGTGATAAGCCATGCTCATGGCCAAGGACCAAGGCGGTGATGCGGCGCCCGAGTAGCGAATCATTGTCATACTCAGAGGCAAGGCTGGGCAGACCAGATAGGCTCGTTGTTTGGCCAAGTTATGTTCGCGATAACGTTGCGAGTCGCGACTCGTGCAGGAGTACATTCTTGCCTGGCACGATCAGCGTATTACCTGGGAAGCGTTGTACATTCAGCTGAGGTGACAATGTCGCAAATGTTCGGAGGTCAACAAGGGCAATTCGAGGTGTGCGCACGTGTCGGGAGAGGAAATGCACCAGGGAGCGGCGGCAGGAGGAAAGGTGTGACGCACGACGACTAGTCCTTCGAAGTTCGAAGTCGGCTCGGCTGCGTGCATTGTGATGTGCGGCAACGGTATGACTGCATGGATGAGTTGGCATCTCCTTTCACGCACGCACGCTGCGGCAGCTCCTCCTGTGACTATCATGCCGGCCGGGCATCGCATGCGAGTTCCCACACGGTAGAAGCGCATGTTGGAGCGACTCGCATGCCCCCTGAACTTCGCCTCCAACGCCTGCCTTATAAGAGACTTTCGTATTGGACCACTTTCCAGGGATCAGGCTCTGGAGATGAGTGGGCATGGCATGGCATGCTTTTGCGTACCACCGTCCACGCGGAGCCGAGCGAGTCGACGTCGCGCAAAGGTCAGCGAGGTGCGAAGATTTCGCATGCAAACTGGCGATGTAGTACGCCCATCGAACAATCGCTCAGGAGAAGCGTCATTCGCAGGGCAGAGAAGGAGCGCGGGCGGCGCTAGCATGCATGGCATGGTACATGTGGTTAGTGCCTGCGCGCATGAAGATTTTGCAGTGCAAAAAATATCACAGAGATCGCATTCGAAGGTCGCGTGCTGGTGCTGGCGGTGTGCCTAGTCCTCGTTGGAACCGAAGTTGCCTTTCCACTAGCGCCAAACTATCGTCCATCTTCCGGGCCTGTAGCACTTTTCTCACGCGCTGCGCTTCTCGCTCTCTCCTCTTCCTCTTCCTCTTCCTTCCCTCTCAAACCAACAATCCATACCAGCAACGAAGCGACACTACCCTTCACAGGCCACATACAGCATTCACTTTATCACTTCGTCGTCCACAATGCCACAGGCTGTCGTCGAGCTCTAAGTCCACCGCTGGAGGGACGGCCACGCGCTGCCTCTCCAGAACGGTCACTGCTCTTCGAGATTTCAGTCCATACGACGACATACACCAGACTGCTCGCATTGCTTGCCAGCAGCCTCACAGCCTGTCCATCCCGCTCACCACGAGTGCGGCCATTTGCGAACAAGGCAGTGGCATCGAAACTGCCACCTACGACGGAGTTTAGCTTGCATCCTGACCAGACGTCAAGCTCAAAGTACCATTACAACATCGAAGTTCGTTGCCCGCAGGCGACTTACGCGATATATCTGAACCGAGTGTGCCATCCTTCGCTCTGCTTGTGCTAGCACCCTTCAACCTTCCACGCCTCATTGCAGCCCCTTGGTTCGACTTCAACACACCGTTTTCCCTCCTCCACTCTTCGAACGCTACACTTCCAATGTCGAACTATACCAAGAACAGATCGCCGCAAGGCAATATGCATGACCCGCGCAAGATGCGGAGTCCTAAGATGAACCCACAATGCAGCAAGGCTGCGAAGAGCAGAATGCAAACAGCTTCAAACAGCACACGCACAGGCGATGTGGTGTCTGATGAAAGCGAAATTGATGTGAGTATATGTAATCGCGGAGGCACGACCCTGTGGCGCCCCCCAAAACGTGCTTCGCCCGTGATGCCCGGCTTTTCTGTTTCGGCCTTGACATTCTTGGGATGTCCGTGCTGATACTTCACTTCAGAACCACCGAGGAGATGGAAACACCCCCGAGAACGACGATGACTCGGATGACGAGCCGAATGCTTTTGCCCTGTCGGGCGCACCTGGTCCTGGAAGAAATGGACAGCGTCTGGCAGGGCTCGATCGCAAACACGCTCAACTTATCGATGAGGAAGACGCGATTGCTGGCGCCGTGGACGACGATGACTATGGCGGTGTGGAGGATGTTAGCGACAGCGAAGACGACGATTCAGAGAAAGTAGTGCTCAGGGCAGCGGAGCAGGAGCTCATCGCCGAGTTCGAGAGCCAGCGACCAGAAACGGCAAACTCCATGTCCAATGGCATGACGGGCTTGACCTTGACCGAGGATGAAGATGCAGCTTTGGCCCGCCGATTGAGCCTTCAAAGCGATGATGGCAACGACATCTTCGAGGAGCTGGACTTCTCGCAAGATCCGTTCGGCGGACTTTCAGCGAGCAACAGCGTCTACCAGCAAATTCTGGCTGACGCCGAGGAAGACCTTGCATCGTGGCGCAGTCCAGCGGGCAAGCTCGCACGAGAAAACAGCATGCAATCGAACGGCAATGAGAAGAAGGTTCGATTCGCGGAGACGGTCTCATCACGCTCCTCAAGTCTCAGCAGTGAGGACGAAGACCCACGCGACACCTTTCCGGACTTGTTCGATGAAGCTGAAGACCCAATGCTGAGATCGCAGTTCTTGATGGACACCGAGATGGCTATCGACGACGACAACGCATCGGAGTTTGAATATGATCTCGACCAGTACGAGAAGGGCACTTATCACATTTCTCAGGAGAGCGACGACTCAGATAGCGATATCAGCAGCAGCGACTGTAAGTGGTTCGACTTACAGTGTTTATTTTCATGCTAACAATTGGAAAAGCCGAAGACGACGGCGATACGACTGACGAAGAGGATCCTGCCGACCAGCTTGTGCGTCTTCGTGAGATCAAAGCAAAGCAGGCCGCAAAGAGAGGGCCGCTTCCTCCTACCAACACCCCTGTCAGCACGCCCACCACTCCAGTTGGAAGCAGAAAATCGAGTATTGCACGTCCTGGCAAGTTGAAAGTCAGAAGCAAGCCCATGAGCGGCACTTTCGAGCACGACCCAACGCAGGCCCATGTGAAAGCAGATGTCAATGGCAGTGGTGTGAGACTCGTTGGCCCCACCAAACCGTCAAAGGAAGAGGCCGCCTTTTTCGATCGTGCCCGTCAAGCCCATGGTCGGAATGGCAGCCCAGGTGGCGCATTCGAATGGACGGTTGCGACGCCCCGTGCTCAAAGCGCTCCACAACGCCCGTTCACTGCCAAGTCCACTCTTGGAACAATGTTCGATGGCAATTTGGACTTCCTCCGGCATAACGACAACTCTGGAATTGCTACGGAGTTTCTACTACAGGCAACGAGGAACAGCAGCGTACGTTCGTCGTTCGCCTCTTCTGACACCATGCGAGGAAGCTCCCAAGACATTGACGGTAGTGACGTCGACATGGGCGATTTCGTGCACGGTATGGAAGAGTCGGAGTCGGAGGCAGACAACGAGTCACCTCCAGATGCGGTACTCTCGCCCACCTCGGACGGCTTCCCGGACTTCGCCCACGATACCTCGCCCATGCACCAGTCGGCGGGAGCTGTGGAACATCTTTCTGCCGTAAATGTATCATCCTTCCGCAATAATCAACAGCGCGCGCGACAGATCAGCTCGCTCGCTGCTCATCCCGCTCAGCGCGCCCAGACCTCGGAAGCAAATGCCCTTCAAAAAGGCAGGCGTGCTGCTGCCAACACCCCAATGACACCTGTTCGCAAGAATCGCGGCAGTCAAGACCTCACCCGGACCGGTGCCGGCGTGGCCAAGTCTTCGGCCAGCCCGCTGGTTCAAAAACACCGACGCAGTCGCGGCAACTCGCTGTCTCAGACGCTTTCGCTGGACCGCTTTGCCGACGCTCGCAAGCACTGATTCACCACATCATACCCCATCGATAAGACGACATTGCTTGACCGTCAATGTCGCGCCCAAAAGTATTGCTTCGCATCTTGGAGGGTTACACAAAACGGATTTCAAAGGCAGCAACATCGAAGGTAAACCACTCTTTTACGGCTTCCCTCGTGTCCTTCCTTCACTTAATGTGTTTTGGGAACATGGTATCTTAGCGAGGAGTTTGGTGGCGTTCCTTCTTCTGACCTATCCAGAAATCTCAACCTGGCTTTGTCTGGGGATGGAGATGGGAGGCCGTCGTTGTTCATCGCGTGCGGAGATACCCCTTGGAGTTTTCTTTCTTTGACAGCAGGCCTATACACGAACAGATACTAGCGGGAAGCATCGGTATTAACTTGGCGCAGGAGTTATGCGGGTGGAAGTGTAATACTAGTGCTCTTGTAGACGAATTGTGACGGTCCCTCACGAAGTTCGATTCGCATTTCTTTTCTGCAAGGTACGTGGATGCATACGATCATCGATGAGCTTTCGGTGGATGCTTCGTAGCATGAAGCTTCCTTCTCGAACGAACTTTCTGAACCCAATGCCTTGATCCTTGCACCTCCTTTTCACATCTCCACTTTGTATGTCAACAACCGACGTGTTGAGCATTCCGCAGTTTGTGCTGCTTACTTTCTGAAACACATCTCCTCAATCACCATGCTCTCCCCAGACGTAGAGAACAGCAACAACACACCCGACGCGTCTCAACGTCCCCAAAGCCCACGCGGCACGAAATTCGCTTTCGGAGGCCTCCCATACAAACCTTCCATGACAATCGACTCCACAATCCTCACCACCAAACCCCACTCTACCTCATCCTCCTCCTCCTCCTCCTCACCTTCTTCCTCCGAAGAGGTCATCTATACCCCCAGCATCTACACCCCACAAACCCCTCACCTCCTTCCTCCCGAAATCTCTCCTCTAGGTTGGGACGAAGACCATCACGAAGACCATCCAGCACCAGAACCTTTGAGGATTCGGAAGAAGAGAAGGGTTGGGAAGGGTTCTTTTGATGAGATGATGGTGCCGAAACCTTCTGATGATGAGTTGGAACGGCCGTGGGGTGGGAGGAGGAGGTTTATGTTGAGTCATGGGTTGAAATGTAAGTGAGAGAGAGAGAGATGGGGGGAATAAAGGGATGTGCTGACTGACGTGTAATCAATAGATGATGATGAAAAGGATTGTGATTTGCGAAAACAGATTTTGGAACAGATTCGGGAGTTGGAGTGGCAGAATCGGATTAATGCTGCACGAGAGGAGTTTTTTCGGGATTTGGAGAAGGTTAGGAGGTTTGGGAGTTTGGGTTGAATAATGAATTAGCAAGAAGGTGGGGAGGGGGGGGGGGGTGAGGTGAGGGGGGGAGGTGTGTGTTGTGGTTCTGATTGTATGTATGTATCTAATTTGTATGATTATGGTGATGGCATGGACTCATAGGTGTGGTATGTGTGTAACGTCATGGGCATTTGAGGGAACAGAATGTAGGCAGGCACGGCTGATCAAAATCGAGTTCAATGCAGGCGCGGACATGCTCTTCAAAAGACTTTGCCTGTTCGGCTTCAATGCCTTTTCATATCTTCTTCTTGTGATCTCTTCTCTTGCAGTTACACCTCTATACAAATCTATCGATAGCAATATATGTTGTTCGCTTATGTGGACGCTCCGGCATCTCTTATCTATCTCAACAGCGGCTTGTAGTGGTTAGCGTGGCTTCTGACTCCATCCTCCACATACCTTTGCAGCCTACGTTGGGCCTGACAACGCCTCCGTAGAACGATTGCAGAAAGAGTCGAATGGAAGACACGGCCTTCACATGCCATGCCGTTCTGGATGCGGTCTAGGCAATACATACATCAAGGATCGGCTCGAGGCGCTTGTGGCTGCAGCGAGGCCGCTTAAATGTCTTCTGCATTGGGAATAATGGCTGCGGAGCTGAGAGAAGCTGCCGACCTCAAGAATGGACACATCTCACTCGTGCCATTGGACGCTGCGTGATCGCACGACGTCTCGCGTTGCCGAGCTGAAACTACTGTACCTCCTTTTGATGGAGTGTGGCCTGATATAAGTATCAATGCAGCCTCGTTGAGCCGGAGACCTATTTATTCCTCTTACCGCTAGGTCGTTACGGATGGGAAAAGCTGCTGGTCTTGTGAAGTTGATTCAAACACACAGTGCGCTACCATGGAGCCGAGCTAAATGCACTGATTACATCCAACGCGACAATTCAGCTCGACTGCGGCGAGATGGACCAAACAGAGCAACGAGCACAGCAATTCCGCAAGCTGTGGGCTACTGCTCTGGCGCAGTACAATAGGGAAACTCGCCTGAATATCGAGGATCCTGCCATACCTCATCCTCGAAATGTTGACGAGCTGATAAGTTCCTTGAAATTGCAGCATGCTGAATTTGGAGAAGACACGAGGAGCAATGCCTTTACGAATATCATTAAAGGCGCTATCGGGCCGTTCAACTTCCTGTCGAATTCTGTCGGCAGTACTGTGGCTCCAGTAAGAACAAGAAGGAGCTCTCGCTGTAACTCAGTGCTCATGCTCAGCAGATGTTCCCCGGCGGATCTCAAGTGCTAGCAGCAGTCGGTATCCTTGTGAATGTGAGTGAAACAGGGCAGTCGATCTCATACTCCACCTAAGTCTTGAAGGCTGGAAGGGGTGTAACACAATCATTTGATGCTGTTTCTGGACTCTTCGAGGAGCTGGGACAGTGCACGAAGCGACTCAATGAAGTCAGCCATGAGGAAATCCCAGACGCATTACTGCCAGTCTACCAACTGATGCTCATTGGTCTTATGAACGTACTGGCCTTGGCTACGAAAGTCACTTTCCGCCAGATGAAAGATGTCAAAGAAGGAGATCATCAGATGGTAATCAATCTCAAGAAAAAATTCCGGTCTGCTTTCCAGAATGTGGATGAATACATCAAGCAGCTGCTTTATGGCGGAAACGGCGAAGTCCAAGGGGCGATTGGTGAGATCAAAAAGCTGGTCGAGCGTGAGTCCCTCGTGATGCAAGCTGTGATCACGCGAAAGACTACGAGGATTGAGGCTGTCGTCAAGGAAACCGACACTAAGATCGAACTTTTGATTCAACAGCAACGAAGCTTCTCGATCGAAATAGGTCAAGTGGTGATCGACTTGAAGAGTAGCACCGCTGAGATGAGCAAAAAGGTCGACAAGATCTCGGACAAGATCGATGCAGGCCTGGCCGAGACCCGCCGAAACAACGCCGTCTCAAAAGCAAACCAAGAAGAGATGATGGCCGGCATAAAACAGATACTCCAGCTCAGCAGTTCCAAAGATGGCAGCACATCTAATGAACCTGTAGCAAAGGCGGTAATGAACAGGTCCAACAACAAGCACGATACACTGACTTCCTTGAGGGTCCGCCTTGACATCAAAAAGACAGAGAAGGCCAATGCTGCGGCCTTGGACATGACAAGTGGTCCACCGGAGCTTCATGACACGAGCAACTGGATCTTACAAGAACCTGCAGTTCGAGACTGGCTTGATGGTCGCACTCGACTAGCAATCGTAAGCGGTGAGCCCGGATTTGGTAAGACATTCTTGGCGGGTCGAGCTGTTCGAGAGCTGCTGTCGAAGCACAAGCCAGGCTCTCAGTCTAATGATAGGGTCGTGGCATATTTCTTTGGTCGCAAGGCGCATCCAGAGCTTGGCTCCGTCAACGCCATTCTTCGCACATTGGCCTTCCAGCTGGCAGCAAGTGACAAAGTGTACGCCAAATATCTCTCAGAATTATTCGAGAACAAAACGATAGGGAAGGGCCAATCTGGCCTCTTCATGTGCGAAACTAGCACGGTCAGCCCGGACGATGGGGAGGAGGATGTGGTGCAGCAAGAGCTGAGTGAGGCGGAAGACTCAACGCCCGCCAGCCAAGTTAAAGACCAGTCAACTGAGCCTTTCGAAGCTGCTGAAAATGGCCGGGAACAAGCTCCCAAGCTAACAGGATTACCCACGAGTGCAACCCCGACCGATTCAGTAGAGACAGCCACTGCCCAAAAGGCGACACTTCAGGCAGTTGTCGACTCGATTGCCGGTAAACACAAGCTGGACTTTTCATATGAGCAATACCTTGTGGAGAACATTGCCGGGCTTTGGAAGCTTCTGTTCTGCGAATACTACAAAAGCTCCAAGACTTCTGCCTGCATGGTCATTGATGGCCTAGATGACTGTATATCGCCACTAACGGATGTCGAGGTTTTGGCCTTGTGGGCAGCAATCAATCGGGGCTATAGCGATTATTCTGATTGTTACGCGAAGATGCTTGCATCGATCGGTGGATTGGTCTCGCGGAACGATACCTTGCAGACGATCTTGCGGACGCACAAGAATGGATTCGCGCAGCCATCGAGAGACCAATCGAGGTCCTCCTTCACAACATCGCGCAAGGCTGTGCTCGCATGTGGCTCACCAAGATGTCAAGCTTGGAGGACATCTTTAGCTTCCTTAACAGGTACATTCACATGGCAAGTGCTACTGGTCTTTCGAGGATTTCGTGCTCGAAATTGCTGACCAACAATAGTTGCGTGACGACGGCTTCGATGAGGACAAGAGCTTCGCATTCGAGAACGCCGATGCATCTGCAATTCTTGCCGCCGCGGAGTGGGCTGGTCGTGATAAAAACGCCGTATGGCATGGCCGTGTGGCATCAGCACTCCGCGACGCCGGGGACTACGATGAATCACACATATACTATCGACAAGCTATCCAAATGGATGAAGGCACTTGGCACTTCCATTCAGGCCTGGCGTATAAGTTCCTGGAGCAAGGTGACTATTCGAACGCCGCGAACAGCATGAAAGTTGCGGTAGCATTCGTCGGCATATACGCCTACTGCCTAGAAGCCGAGCCTCTCCTTCGCCAGGTCGCATTTTCATCTTCGCAGCTGACCACAATCAACAACTTGACCGCAGATGCTAGAACCAGCTCAGACGGTCTACGATGGACGAAATTCCGGACAGAGACGACGAACAGGAAAGGAATAAAGACGTAGAAGACGGGAACAACAGCGAAAATACAGTTTTGGGCGCTTCACAGGACACCCAGGTTGGCAATGAAGAGCAGGACTTGCAGCCTTGGCTTGATGCACTGAGGAAGGAGTGGGACTTGTGATGGAGGTCGGAGTGAATAATTGTCGAACAGAATTGGTGACTATATGCAGGGAATGTCGTGACAATGTAAGACCAACAAACAACACACACATTGTTTGTCTCACACGCACAAAAACGTTGCACATGCACACGCACACAAAACTTAACCAGATCCCCAATCCACAAACCTGCACCACCAACCACCCCAGAACAATCACCGAACACCTCCACCAATCCCCCTCAAGCTCACGCCGCAATGCCATCATCAATAAGTTCTCTTCTCGCAAGCCTCCGCCAAAAACTCCAAAACCACCGCGACCACAAAGCCGCCAAGCTCCGCGAACGCGATCGAGAACGTCAGTCTGATGGCTTGTTGAGGATTGCTTTGAAGAAACATAATTCGATGAATTCTTTTACGATTGCCGATCCTACGACGCATTATCGTAGGAGACAGGATCATGAGGAGTGGGTTCGGAGGGCGAAGGAGGGTGGGGGGAGGAGGTTGGGGGGGAGGAGGTGGAGTTGAAAAAGAGGAGAGGAGAGGAGGAGAGTGGAAGTGGGGATTGGGTTGTTTTTGGATGTGGGATGATGCGTATATTGAGGATGGGTTCGCTTTGGTGAGTATGGCTGATTCTTAGCGCCGACGCTCGCTCAAAGTGCAAGCCTCTTCGGGCTTTCTCCTTTTCTACGCTCTTCGCGGTCTCGCTGACTGCTATTCTAGTGGCTCATTCGAGCTGATCTCAATCTATAGACCAATGCTTGGTGCAGACGGTGTAGATGAAAGCCTCCTCTTTCACGCATTTCAAGCAAAGACCGTTCGTCGTGGTCTTCGCGCGTCGCTCCTGCAGGGCAACTGAAAGAGAGTTGGTCCATTGCATTGATCATCACTGGTCAGGCAAGAAGCTTACGAAGAACCGGCAACGGAAGTCGTTGACCGCTGAGCTCCTTCAAAAGAGCTGAGGATGTAGGATGCATGGCTTGCATGAACTTTTTGGTGATTTCTTCAAACACAGCCGGTTGATCGAGTAGGTAAGAGGCCGCGATGATGTTACCCTGGCTACTCACATTGTCCTCGCCGGCGAAATTGGTGAGCCAGGTCAAGAGCATGCCATTGCTCTGCAATCGCAATCTCTTTACAACATCGTACTTGGTTCAAGTTAGGAGACCTGACGACTCATTTTCAACGCTCGATCTAGCTCCTTACATACCTTGTCGGCTACGACTGCGAAGTCCAGTAGCTTCCTGCTATAGTTTTTTCCTCCGCAGGGGATAAGAATGCCAACGTCTTGTAGATGAAGTAGTTCAAGGAGGCGTGTCATTGCAGTTGGATCATCGTTTGGGAGCGCGATCTCGGCGGTCTGGGTGGCGCTGCGAGCCGCTTGTTCTTCACCTGTAGCAGTCAGCCGCGAAATAATCGTACGCGACCAGAATGACTTACGAAAGTGAGGTCCGAGGAGCGCTTGGAACACCGGCGACACTCTTGACAGGATGGCAGAAGACAGCTTCAGCTTCTTCTTGCTGGTGCTGGTGCCGACGACGAAGACGACATCGCCCTCGTCATCGATCACCTGTACGTCGTTTGCCATCTTGAATGGTGGTGGGTGACCGGTGACTGTTGTAAATCGTGTGGCAGGCAACAAATGAGACGCGTGGCCAATTTGAGAGTAGTGCTGTGCCAAGACTTCACATGAAGCAGGCACGCATGCAGCTAGCCGAGCAAAAGTAGCGCACCTGCAGGTTCTGCAGCTTCTCTGGAAGATCGTGATGCTGGACTGAGTCGTATGGTCTATCTCAGTTGTTCTAGGAAGCTATTGTCTCATCGATCTCTAAACATGAACACGCCTTTTCGAAGGCCGCACAGACTCTGTGATGCTTCGAGCCGGGGTGAGCGTAACGTCATTACGAAGCAAGGAAATTTTTGTTGGACGCGAGAAAGCTGCATTGCTATCGACTGCGGCTAGTGGCCGTGGCTTTCTCCAGATTCCAGTACTCAGATATGACCGCGTGCCGAGGCCACAGGCGTTTGTGCTCGTATTTTCATCCTCATGCACCGTTCTTGAATCCTCTCCTTCCTCAGTAACCCCAACTCAGAATTCTCAAACAGTCTGCAGGAAATGCTTCGTGCTGCTCAAGCTTGCTACTGCTTAATAGATGAAGCTGTGCTTGTTGCATTCGTTGAAAAGATCGGCATCGGCCCGGACGCATGTGAGACACAGGCCCTTCTTCCAGGCCGCTTTGGAGCTTCGCCGCTCTTCCAAGGCGACTAGGGATCACTGATTAGTACTAGCTTTGGCTTTTTTTGTCCTCAAGACATGACTTACGAAGCACTTTGGTTGGGATGATCTGTCCGCTCTGCTCTACAAGAAGTCGCGACGGGCGGGAAATCTTGGCATCGACCCACAGTAGAGTGAGTTGACCGAAGGCCTTTGGCTGCCCAAGAAGGTACGCAGCGGCCATGAGCTGGCCTAGAGATCGTACGTCGCCGAAAGTGGTGAAGTCGACTTTCACGCGCTCGACCCACGACATGAGCAGAGCCTGAGATTGAAGACGCAGCGCGCCAACCACATCGTATTTGTCCACGGCGACCGCAAAGTCCAGAAGCAAAGGAGCTTCATTACGAGCAGCGTTATCTTTAGTCTCTGGCATATCGCAGCAATGAAGCAAGCAGCAGAGTGAGGTCATAGCAACTTGGTCATCGTCTGGCAATTTGATTTCCACCGGCTGGGTGGAGCTGCGCTGTGCCTGTCCTTCGCCTGGGTAGAATTAGCGCTGGCTCCCGCCATGATGTCTTTCCAACTTGACCTACTGAAGTGGGGGCCGAAAAGAGCCTTGAAAACTCGCGAAACCCTCGAGAGCGTGCTGGACGACACCTTCAGCTGAACGGGATCCTTAGAGCCGACGACCAGGATAGCATCGCCGCTGTCGTCCATGACTTCGATGTCATCCGCCATGGTATCTTGTAGCTTGTTTGAGCACCTTCAAGTTGGTGGATGTGTTACTGGAAGTGTCAATGTTGATGTTCGATTGTGGGTCGACGAAGAAGCGAGAAGTCGCCAAATAGGCGCAGCGCGCGTGCACGGACTATATCACAGACCCTGATCTCAAGTGGGCGTGCGAAGTGAGATGTGAGGCAGACAGAATTCTTCAAAAGCTTGCAAACGGCGCCAAGCCAAGCCATCACATGCAGCAGACTGACCCGCGAGCGCATCAGCCCAAAGCCGGCCGACGCGAACTCTTTAGCTTCTTGAGACGGTAATGGATTTTTTGAAATGCGACCACATCTGAACACGTCTGATCATACATTGAGCACAGCATAAGTGCACCCGGGCGCAAGTGCTCAGAGGTGCAACGGTGCCTCATGATGGTCCGTCTCAGCTCCCTTTGTAGTAGGTCGCTTGCGAACTTGTGGAATTTTCACGTCTTGATCCTCCAGTGGGAACGAGTGCAAGGGCGGAAAGTCCAGAATCACATGACTAGATTGAACATTACCAGACCAGACCCAGGAGGCGCGGCAGAACTCGATTTTGCGTAGTCGTAGGGCCATTTGCACGTCTTAAAGTGTCCATGGCCGGACCTGAAAGATGAGATTATCGATTCGTCTATCTTGACATCAGGCCTTTTGTCGCAATCACGTATCTCCAAACATGAATATGCCTTTTCCACTCCGGTATCCTTCAAGCGTACCTTGTACAGCGTCCACCAATTCCTCCTGCGCCGTGCTTCGATCCCACTTGACTGCATCGAACGGCACATCCTGGAACTTGCCCTGCCTTGTCAAGTCCAAAATCTCTTTCACGCAAGCCTCCTTTGCCTCCGGATTGCCCTCACTCCACCTACTGACCCAGAACCCGTGAAAGCTGACATCCTTGAAAATGAGCAAACCCATGGGCAACTCGACCGGCTGCTTGCTCATGGCACCATACGTAACCATCTTACTCCCAGGCGCAAGATGTTTCGCCATGTCATTCACCAGCTTCCCACCCACACAATTCAATCCCAAGCGTATCTTCTCTCTCCCACCATTCGTAAACTCCTTCACTAGATCCCTAAACCCCTTCCCTCTCACCTCCTCATCCGTAACCACAACATCCGCACCCAAACCCTTCAAATCCCTCATAAGCTCCTCATGTCCACTCTCCCTCTTCCTCACAACATTCAAACTCTTATACCCCCACAACCTCCCCAACTGAATCGCAGCTCTCCCCACCCCGGAATTCGCACCGTTCTGCAAAAACCAATCTCCCTCCTTCAAATCCACAAAATCCTTGAGCATTCGATACGCAGTGCAAGGATTGACACTGACAGTGCCAACCTGCTCAGGTTTCAAACCCTCTTTATCTTTAATCACAAGTAAATTCTCCGCCGTAGTCTGCGCATGTGTCCTCCAAGTCCCGAACCCCTGTTTCTTCAGAATGACCCAGTCTCCCTTCTCAATCCCCTTGACTTGCCCTCCCACGCTGAGGACTTCTGCGACGCCTTCATTGCCTCCTACGGCGATGGGCTCGGGAGTCCCTAAGGCAGTGGTCCATGTGGGTTTTGTTGGGTAGACACCTTGGATTTGGTTGATATCTGCAGGGTTGATGGGAGAGGCGAGGAATTTTAGGGTTAAGAGGTCGCGGCTTGGGGGTGAGATGCTGTGGCCGTGGAGCTTGAGGACGTCTTTTGGTTCGCCGAATTTCGAGAGCGTTAGGCATTTGGCTTGTTCGTAGCCGTAGGCTGAGATGTAGCGTTTCTGTATCGGGGAGAATGGGGTCTGGCGTGAGGTGTGTAGGGTTGCCCTGGCTGTCGTTGCCAGTGCTCTTGAAGGTGCCATTGTTCCTGATGGCAGTATGTAGCAAAGGATTCAATGTTTGCGAGCTTCGCCTTCGCTCATGTCTTCATGCAGGTTGACGTCTGCCTCGGCAAAGGAACAGGGATCGGAGTCGACTCCTCTTCAACATCACTCTTTCCACGACAACATCACAACGACGAAACGACACGGAAATCATCCCAAATCGACCAACGGCCAAGAGGATCACATGAAAATGGGAAAAGCTTGTAGTGAATGGCAACATGGCTACAGCCGATACCAGTGTTGGGACTATTTGCCTCCTCCTCGACCACCTCTGCCTCTGCCTCTCAGATTCGACAACCATCCGCTCCTCTTTCGCACTTTCCACTCGCCCTCGACTCCAAGACTCTCCAGCAGTTCTGCGTTCTCCTGCAGATGCTCCACAAATCTGCTTCTGACGGCCTTGGCATATCTCTTGCCATTATCACAAGATCCCTCAGCTTCACCCTTCCCTCCCGAAATCCATTCATCTGCCCATAGCCTTTCCTTCCTTTCTGACGCTGGCGGAGGTAACTGAGACGACAAACCCGGTCCCCCATCCACTACACCATCCATAGACCTTCTCAGCACCGCATCAATGGCTCCGTCGGTCCAATTCGCCATACTATCTGCCCTTGATTTCGGCAGCGTATGCATTCCGCTAACATCATAGCTAGGCTGCCTAGACCTCATCCATGTCTTGGGCTCAGTCTGCTGCTGCCACGACGATAATATCGCATGATGTCCGATCTTCGTCCAAGCCGGTCTTTCTTCCGACGCCACGTCTGGATTAGTGACCCTCCTTTCCAATGATACCACACGAGGATATCTCGGATCTTGCACTGCCCGAACTTCGTAGCCTCGCTTCGGCTGCAACAATCCTTGCAGCTGCGTTGAATCGTGTCGATGTATTCTTTGTTCTGAGTGCTGTTGCTTGCCAAAGCTGTCGCCACTCAAGTCGTTCTCCTCGACTTCCGAGCTCCTCCTCCCCGGAATCAGACTGGTCTGCCGCGCTCCTGCCAGCTTGGCCAATGCTGTGTCCGCATCACCGGAGCTTGAACCAGTCCGTCGGAGCGGCTCTTTTCCTAGCGCATTTCGGCGCATCAAGATTTGTTTTTGGTGGTGCCGACCTCCTTCAGCAAGTCGAGCAAATCGGATGACCAGCCCTCCTCAAGAACAGAGTCCTTGGCTGTGGGTATAAGCTGGAGCTCGCTCTTTTCTGTTTCAGCTGCCTCGATTTGGTCTCTCGGACTCTGAGACCTTGATTGCTGGCCTCCTCGGTCTGGTGATGGATCTTTGTCTGTCCTATTGCCGCCTGGTTGCGATGTCTCAATAGCCTCGTTTTCTGGCTGGTCTGGTCTGGCGTCGGCTTCAAGCTTGTCCAGAAAATCGTTGCAGCGCTGTTCAACGCTGACTGGAGAATATTCGTCCACTGGAGCTGCGACTGCGTTGTCCTCCTCTAATGCCTCTTCAGTGAGGATAATTGCCTTGTGCGACTGGACGCTGGGCGCTCGCCTGATACGCACGCGATGGTTTACGCGGCCCATACGGCTCTTCTCGTTCTCGGTCGGCACGAATGGTTTAACAATACGGACCTGCTTTGCAAAAGCGCGTAGGTGGTATTGTTGCAGTGAGAGGGAATACGACAAAGGTGTATTTTCCTCGTGGTACTGTCCTCTACGTGAGGAGTTGCGACACCCGCTACGCCTGCTGGGGTCACTGCGAATGACTGTGATAACCCGCGCCTGCCCACCGGGGTAAGTCGCAACAGACTGTTGTATTCTGGCCGACTCCGCAGATGGCATGACACTTGACTGCTTGCGACTAGTATCGAGAGGCGGCACACATGCGCTATTTCGAGAATACTCCTGGTATCCATGAGGTCTCCTTCTTGGGATGTGGATTGACCAGTCAGGACTGCTGGCCTCTTCTCTGAAGCTTTTGCGAATCCGACTTTCATCGCGAATCACATCCAGCTGATTACCTCGTCTGGGATTTTGAGGAGTCTCGCTTGCTTCCGGAGCTGGCCGATGGCCGGGACGATTTTCAATCGCAAAGCTTTTCTCTTTCGCGATACTTGGAGCTGCTCCGGGTGCTGGAGCTTGTAATTTTTGTCTTGGCCTCGGCTTCGGTCCCCTCACGTGCAGTCGCGACTTTTGGGTCGTGGTATCTGGTGTGCACGCGTCGACTGGAGCGCGATGGATTTTGTCATATATCGCCGAGATGCCGCGAGTTGACTTGTTGATGATGCCAAAGAAGGCCTTGGCCATTTTGCCAGCCTTGCGGGTTGCTTTCTGCTGTGATGAAGGCATTTTGTCTTGGGTGTGGATTTTTTGATCTGCGATCAGCCTTGCGGTTGCTTTTGAGAGGGCTTTGATCGGACAGTGATCAGCTGGGAACGTTGAAAATCACTTCTTGATTGTTGATGTGATGCAAGTTGTAGTTGTATTGTGTGGCAGTTGTGCCGACAGTATGGCAGGTATGCAAGGCTGACAGTGGTAGGTATGTTGTTGTATGATTGAAGAGATCTTTAGGAAGATCGGTCTCTTAAATACTTCATTTTTGAGAACGTCCTCAGCTCAGAAAATCTATCGCAGCAACAACTGGCTGTCGACCTGGTGACGAGGCTGCTGGTAAGCCTGAGGACCACGAGTAAGCTCGATCATATACGAGTCTCTTGATTGGACAAGCATATCCAATATATACTTTGGAACGCAGAAGAACCACACCGATGCGAATATAGCCTAAGGCACCTGAGATCTCGCTTGGCCGATCACTCACAGTCTCAGCCTTGCGGCTCGGTAAGCGCCTTCGGGATATCGAAGTCTGGCACAATTTATGCCGACAGAGTGATGCGGTCTGCGCCTATTCATCAAAAGGTCGTCGCGACTGCACAGGACATCTCCGACATTCCAAGAAAGACTCCAAAAGGATCTTGCGCGTGGCCTCGATACGCGGTCCAAAGGCGACGTGGAACAAAGCGCGTCCGTATGCGGTCCACTGCAGCACGACAAACCCAGCAAGCCCATGAGCAGTATCAAAATAAGTTCTTGGGCCAAGTGCGACAAGCTGGCTCTGCGCTCGTTGGCAAGCGGAAGGTCGAGAGTGGAAGAAGTGTAAGTCTCGGTCGAAAGCGAGCTTGAGATTAATGTGATTCGCAGGAGTTCGACGAGTTCTAAGAAGTATCTCCCATTCCTGCTGGCTTGATCGGTCCAACGAAATCATGGTTTTCGGACAGCGTCAAATGTCTCAGGCCGTCAAGCAGCCATTGCTTTTATGTCCAACCTTCGCTGTCGGAGTCGCCCGATACCTTGTATCTGGCATCTCAATCTAGTCCCATGATGACTTGCCATAAATATCTCCATAATGACTTCGCGCATTGTCTTTCGTCACGTTACCCTTATAGATGTGTCCTGGCGCAAACGCATTCTTGGTAGATCCTCCCGGGATGAGGTCGCCAAAAGTGGCCTTGGCGGTACCTTCCGTCCTGTTGTTGAAATAGGTGTGCTGCGGACTAGACTCCTTCGAAATCGCTTGTTCGAGCATTGGCTCCGTATCAGCGCAAGCGTTCGCAAGGCTCAGGAGAAGACTCCGCTTGCTGGGATCGCTTGGTGGGGCCATCGCAGCAAGATCTTCGGAAGCCATTCGAGCTTGCGCAGCCAAGGAGTCGGGAAAGAAGCTGATTAATTGGCGCACTTTGTCTCCAATCTGGAAAGCGTTATTGGAATCAAAAAGTCAGTACAATATGAAATTCAAATGGCTTGCCTCTTCGACCAAACCAATGACGGACTCTGCCAGAGAGAATGTCGAGGTCGTGGCCTCGTTTACATCGGCGTTGTTATATGCGGCATGTATCCGCTGTCGTAGGCGACGTCGAGCGAGGGTCAGCTCTTGAACCTGCGTAGCGTTGCTCGCAGCAGACTCGGGCTCGTCCATGGTGACCTCATCGAAGTCGCCTTCTGCGCCAGCATCCTCGATCGAGCTCACGATATTCTCAAGCAATTCCTGAATCTCCTTTGTATCTTGTGATGATATCGAGTCGCGGGGATCGCTGTCCTCGATTTTCGAAATGCACTTCATCCATCGCTCAAACGCTAGTTGTATTACAGCCAGCTTCACAGCGAGCTGCGGTTGGCCACTGACGTTGATATGCTTCAACGACTTGCCAACCTGTTTCCATGCTGCGTTAGCAAGTGTTATTCATTTGTCATCAAAGAAAACACACTTTCGCAGCAAGCTCGAGGAGCGCTTGGTTTTGGACATGAGTTGGAGGCATGGTCGTTGTCTGCAATGGTTCGTCAGAAGCCTCAAGTGATGGTTGAGGCTTTGTTTGCAGTTTACGCTGTATAAGCACTTGGTGAAAAGCACTTCTTGCGCTGCAGCTGTGCCACAACTATACAACTATGCCAAGATCATGCGGCTGAAGCAAATAGGCGCGCCTGCAGGAGCTACTACTAGCGTAAAGCCTAAACCGCGTTCACGTGCGTTCGAGGAGCCCCAGCTGAGCGAGCTCTAAGCGAGCCAGGCTGTGAGTCTTCAGGATTCCGAAGAGTGGCATAGTCTGTCTGCATCGCTCAATATTCTCGCGACTCGCCAATATCGCAGACTTCAAAGACGCCATCCTCTGCAATGCCTTTCCACCGAAGTGCCTGCTTCAGCATTCGTGGAGGCTCAAGCACTTCCTCCTCGGTCAACACCCAAGTTCCCCAGTGTATGCCCAAGGCACGTTGGCACTTGGTATCAGCGAAGATATTTACGGAATCGTACGGGTTTGCGTGAACAGGCGACATGAGCCAACGTGGATCGTAGGCACCAATCGGTATGAGTCCAAGATCGAAGGGGCCCCTCAGTTGTCCGATTTGCTTGAAAGCTGGACAGTGTGGATACTCGTACTTCTCGTCGTAGTCAAACTCATTCCCGGGTTGCTTGTCTACTGAACGGTATCCCGTGTCACCTCCGAACCATATCTTCTTGCTTCCCGACGCAACAGACCATGAAGCCCAGAGAGTGTGATTCTTGTCGAAGGGTGTCCTTGCCGATGTGTGCTGGCATGGCAAGCACGATATCACTGCTGAGATTTCTTCATTCGACTCACTACCTGCAGCAGGAGTGATCTTGAGCTCCCTCTCTTCCCACCAATCCAGCTCTGTGACGTTCTTGAAGCCTTGATCATCGAACCAAGGTTTATTTCCTAGTGGTACAAAGAAGTGTGCGCTCTTGTGCTTCTCGGCAACCTTGACAAGCGTCGGATGTGAGAGATGATCGTAATGGTTGTGAGATATCACGACTGCGTCGATGTAGGGAAGATCTTCGATCTCGCAGGGCATTTCGGTATATCGGGCAGGGCCTGCGAAGGTGAATGGCGAGCATCGTTGCGTGAAGACTGGATCGAGGAGAACTCGTAGACCTCCTGGAAATTCGAGGTAGAAACAAGCGTGGCCCAACCAGGTCGCACGCAGCTGGTCTGTCTTCCTGCTGGGTAAGAAGACTGGCTTGTGGACTGGAACAGTTGGAGGGGTTGTGTCCGGGTCACGCCGTTCTCCCAGTAGCTTGCCCAACCATACCCATTTCATAATCCGCCAAAAGCCTCGCTCCTGAAATGAGTCCCAAGGATTGACAAACCCCTTCTCATTCTGTCTGTGATGTCTCTTCAAGCTTGCATCTTCCGGTGTCGGTGCTGGCGTAGCTGGATGAGATATGGCTACAGTCGCCATTGTATTAGAAGCGAACCTGTTGGTGGTGAGTCCAATGCTGTTGATGCTCACAAGCTGTCGATGTCGAAATTGAGCAATATAGCAAGGCTTTTGAATCGCGAAAGCAGAACGAGCGAAGCTCATAGCAAGGAGAAAACCAGCCGAACCCCGAACTCTAAGAAGTAGATATGCAAAAGAGCGAGCCACACAGTGAACCCAGCAGGCGGGCCTATACAAGCACTTGCGGCCGGATGGTGTTTATGTCCGAGTCCAAATGCAACGGTCATCGCGAATGAACGCCAAGCCACGGGCCAACTTGTCGCCGTCGCCGCCGTCGCCGTCTCTCGTCTCTTGACATTTCATGTGATATTTTCTTTCATGCACGCACGAGATCGAGCGAAAGGATGCACTATTAAAGGCAGGCTAAGTTGTTCCTGGGACGGGTTGCGCATAGAAAGGCTTAGTCATGCCGACATGGCGAGGCCAAAGACAAAGTGCTTTCATTCATGTCCAGGTGTACGGTATTTTAGAGACTACACATTGATTGTGTGAGACACGACCAGAAAGCGATACACCAGGAATGTATAGCAGAGATGTGCCAAAGTGCTACAGAGGCTTTGGCGCAACATTGCATGAAAGGTCAGTATGCTCCTTTGAACGGGAAGGTTGAATGATGTATATCTGTTGTTCTGCGTGTTATCGTCGATGCGAGGCGAGACCTCTGTTCATGGCTATGAGATATGAAATGCCTTCGATTTTTCTCACTATTGCAGTACAGTCACCACTGTGCCAAGTTCTTTGAGGGGACTTCAGTCGAGCCAAAGCCGTCATGTGGAGACGCAAGGCTGAAAGAAAAGCATCTTGAACCTATCATTACCTCTTGGCGTGTGACCGTTTCCTGTAGCTCAAGCTGCACGCCAGAGCAGAAAAGATGGTCCTTGTCCCACACACCAGCTGAAGGCTCAGCCCAGCCCAGCCCAGCCCATACCACAACAATGTCTTCCGCCCTCGAAATCCTGCTTCCTCCCGAATGGCAGTCATGGCTAGAAAACGAGTGCCGGTCGCCATTCTCGCCATCTTGAAAACAGTCACTGCAATCCATTGCTTTCTTTCCGATGGCACCGCCGATGTGGACCAGCAACCATGTCCTGGCGTTGACGAAAACTCGCCAGGTTCGTGTTGCTACAGCACATCGTGGCCGAATGTGGATACGTGTATGACGAACGGACTTTGTCTGAGCAGTGTTGGAGGCTACTTTTACACGGGAGCCTGTACGGACAAAAACTGGTCGAGCGAGTATTGCGGTCTGCAGAAGATATGTAGTGACTGTAAGTACGGAATTGGAAGTTCTGACGGTCGCGACTCGCCCTGCTGACAAGGGCAATAGATTATGGCGGGAATTATGCAGTCGTGACCGCGTGCTATATCCCTCACAAGACGCGTGGATCGATGTGCTGTGGCTTTCGTGGCGACAAGCGAACGAAAGACTGCTGCGATAATACTTCTGGATTCAACTTCTCGGTCGACCGCACGACCTCGCTATTCCTCGGACCTCTTAACGCTTCCTCCCTGCTGAATATAACGACGACTGTTGCCGCACTTGATGGAGATGGCGACACACCAATCGCAAGCGCCAATGGAACTGTTCAGACAGTCATACCTTCAAATTACATTAAGAGCACAGTGGCAATCGGGGTTGGTGTCGGATTGGGTGTACCATTGTTGATAGCTCTCGCGTCTGTGGCCTGGCTGGGATGGACATTGGAGAGACAGAAACAGGCGTACGTGGAGGCACAGTCACAGCAGGCAAACCTGACCGGCCAGTATCCAGGTCCTGCTCCATATGACAAACAAGGCTGGACATCTCCAATGTCCCCGCCAGCAGAGTTGAAGGCCACTAATGAGGTCCAGGAAGCCCCGACAACGACGTATCTAGCAGAAGCCCCTGCAGAGAGAATGTGAGGGCCAATCTCAGGACCGTAGTGCAGAGCAACAATAATCCTATGTTTTCGGTCGGTACCTGGCTATGCATGTTCGTTCAATAGCTTTCGTTCTCCGCGTACGTCGCCCAGTATTCTGAATAGCCGATCAAGCCCCAGCTCAAGATCGGCGCGCGGTGTTGCAAAGGTAATACGATAGTTACCATGCCTTTCCGATCCAAACGTTGCGCCCATCGCAATCCACACGCCGGCTTTTGCAAGCCTCCAGGCTAAAGTCAGCTCCGAAGCTTGAGTATTGTGATCCAAGTATTCACTAAGATCAATCCAAACGCACACACCAGTAGAAGCAGGAATATATGGGATCCTCTCCTCCTCAAGTCTTCCTGTTGTATACGCATAGGCATCTGCCAGTCGGCGTCTCATCTCAGGAAAGTACCAGTCCAGGAAAGGTCGATCTTCGAAAAGACCGAGCCACACTTGCTCGGCAAGCTGACTAGCTCTGGTAAAGCGCGAGATCGACTTGAATGCCGACAGAAGCCCGTCATTGAAAGGAGAAATGAGGCAACCCACACGAATGCCGTTTGCACACAAGTCCTTGCTCATCGCATAAATCACATGGACCAATGCTGGATTGATGTACTTTTTCAGCTCAAGACTGAGGATACTAACAAAAGGCTCCGGTTCAGGGAAGTCTTTACTGGGGAACCAGGATTGGGCATAGACTTCATCGGATAGGAGATGGATGTTATATTTGTCGCAGAATCGGCAGAAGGCAGCCAGTGCTTCCTTGCTGTATGGCCGTCCAAGTGGGTTGTGAGGATTTGCAAGGAGAATTGCTCGGATCTTCGTGCCGGATGCTTCGGCGTCGTGAAGAGTCTTCTCATAGAGGCGGACAGCGTCGGCACTGAGCGGATCAACGCCTTCCGTTGCTACTTGGACCAGCTTGAACTTCGAGCCATGTTCGATGTCGCCGAAGAAGCCGGTGTAGAGCGGCTTGCTGAGAAGAATGCCGTCGCCCGGCTCGCCAACGCAGAAGCAGAAATTGCTCACGGCTGAGCCGGCCCCATTGCACACGCATATGTGATTCGCGTGGATTGGTGCTGATGGATGGAAGACCTCGTTCACATCGGATGCGATATGTCCACGCAGAGCGGCAGTCCCCGCAGGCCCTTCTCCATAAGTCAAGTGCCATGGATCGATGTTGAAGTGCTCATTGACATGTCTCGCGATTTCATCTCGCATCAGCTTGTTCTCAGCGATAGCCAGTGCAACGACTCCATCTGGATTTGTGACCGCGTCATATTGCTTGTCATAACACCAAGCTCGTACTTCCGCGAGTTGATTCGGCTTGAGATTGTCTTTCACCCGGTCCGACAGATATGGCACGCTCTCCGTTGGCGCAGCTTCGCCCATCATCGCTGTTATTACGAAGTGTTTGGAGGGTGAGATGCTGCCCGATGCCTCCCGAGTCTTGGCAGAGGAAGGACGCCGAGGCTCGAGTATAGAACTACGTCTAGAACTACCTCGAGTCATCCGCGAATAGTTCCTTTGACAGCAAGTTTGCAACGATCACACCCCCGTCTCGTGCGACGATATCGAGGATCGTATCAAGCGGCTCATAGGCATTAATAGTAACGAGTGGAGAAGGCATGACCAGGATAATAGTTGGAGCAGGCTCTATCTATGCAAAACAAAAATATCTGGTCCCTCATTGTGGGAGAACCTGGTGTTGATGCAGATCGTATTGGAGGTTGTAGCGTTACGATCAAGGCTTTCGGCCAAGAACCAGGCGAGGTCCACGGCAAGGATATCACATTTGCGTATCTTTGGCTACACCCTCCGTCAAGAACCGACGGAACACACCACAATTCTGGTACCTACTACCCAGGCGCAAGACAGGCTCGAAAAGCTAAAAAGGCGTGCCCCGAAACTGTGCAAGAGGGTGTAATTTCAACCACGAGAGTAATATTATAGAGAAGGGCCCTGGCCTTTGAACCGAGCCTTAGCTACCCGCCCGAGCCCCAGCTCTCTATCATTTTCTTGTTAGTAATACTAATAAATGAATCTCCGTACGATCTGCATAACACTCTCGCCTTAGGCTCGTTCGTCGAGGAAAAGAAAGATACCATCTTTTGTAGGGGCAGTGCTTCACGCGCTCGGGCATCGCACATCGTCGCTGTCGCCCGTACCTCGCTACTCCGAGTACTTACTGTACATACATCGCTCGCAAGCTCGCCTCGCTTGTCTAACGCTAATGAGTCAACTTCCTGGGAATGTTATATTAGGGGTCTGTTTAATAATAAAGGGCAGAGAGAAGGGTCCGCGCCTATCCCAGGATCATAAATAGAAGTTTCCCCTGTGCTGAATAAGATTTGAGCGACCTGGTTAGTCCAATCTGCTTTATATAGGTTGGCACAGACGTTTTTGCGGAACTGACGTCACCCCTCGCCCCAGCTCTTGTTTTATTTTGTCACTTCGAACTACTTTATAAGTCCTTATCTTCGCCGCCTACTCGAAAAATGTAGAGTGTACAGCAATCAACCATCCGGGATTAAGACTTCTATCACACCGCCTACGATTTATTTACATACGACGATGCGTTCAATCCAGATCGCGGCTTTCCTGGCCTTGCCATTGTTCGTCTTCAGCAATCCAATTGCTCAGACTTATTCTCCTGGTAGGTCACCAACACCGAGACATTCCACTACTTCGGAAGGCGTAGACTAACGACGTTGTTGCAATATAGTCAAAGATCCCGTCCCTATACCAGCCAGTGTCCCTGCATCTATTGTTGCTATCCTCAAAACGCTGAACTACAAGGATGATGATCAGATTATTGTGCACTTGCAGGACGGGTCGGTTCGATACATCATCTACGCTGCTCTGAAAAGAGATTGCATTCCTTGCGACAGAAGGAACGACTCTTGGATGAACTGCCATCCTGGGGCATACGCGAACGATTATCAGCATGCGTGTAATGCGGTTACACAGTGCAGGAGTTGAGAAATTGCTTTGATGTTTGCATGGATGGGAAGAGACGTTTGCATGGAAAGAGACGTTTGCATGACAAGAGACATTTGCATTGGCGTGTCCATGTAGTCAGTATGGGCAACTACTGGATGAACTGCCATCCTGGGGCATCTACGAATGAATGATCTGCATGAGTGTGAGGCGTTTGCAGGATGCAGAATTTCAGGAATTGCTTCAACGTTTGGATAGAAATAGAAGATGGAGCGTTCGATTTGAATGTAAATTAAAAAAAAAACCATCACGTGTTCAGCGCAGAAATCACACGGCGACGACTCCTCGCCATCGCGGCTCACACTCTCCAGCAATTGGGAATCGATAGGCAAAGACCATGCGAACTGAGATACCGGCCTGAGAGCTCGTGAGTGAGAGTCGTGACGCAGTGCACGATGCAACCACCCAACCAACCGGTCCGGAGAACCACACCCGTGCCTGAACTCTCATGCTTGGACCTTCCCAGCAAGCGGTGCGAGATAACGAACTGCCGGGTTTCGCCATGCCTAAATCAACTCAATAACAAGTAAGATCAGCGGGTCCTGAGAAACATGTCGATGACGAAGAGAAGAAACATGTCGAGGTGATCCACGAGACATCATTGGAGAATGGCACGGCAATCGACGTAGGTGTGGCTGCGAAATGCATCAGGCGCTGCACGACTTACCGATAGCTTTTCAAGACCACGAGCCGTTCGGATGGCTCGCAAGACGGCAACGGCAGGAAACCGATCGAGAGGCGCTCCTAAAGTCCCCCGTGAATCATCGTCGTCTTAATCCAAGACAAATCCAATGGGCTTCCATTGCAGGATCCATCGGCGCGTGAGTCGCTTTGACGCGGTCGATTCAACTCCTACTGATGATCGACAAAGCGCTGTTCGTTGCGATTGCCGCTGGTGTGCCATCCGGCCCAGTCTGCCTGCTCTTCGCTTTCTTGTTCTGGATGACTGTAGTTCTATCGATATCGCATGGTCGTGAGCATTTCGAGTCGCCCTGATTTCGACCGGGATCCATTGCTGATCCGAGCGAAGCCAAAACAGTAGGCGAGCGGCGGATAACAATCAGTCTTGGCAGGTTCAAGGTGTAGGTAGGTAGCCTTCTACTGCGTGGAAGGCGTGTTGCTGTCTGCTAGCGTAGGGGTTGAGTCTAAATATGCGCCTATACAAAAGCATTCTAGGCCTCTCATTGGTAGAAAAGATGTCCCCTACACGTAACTGCAACCTTAGGCCCTAGCAACCTTTACGTCACCAACAACTATTGTTGTAACAATAGCAACCTTCGACACGCACATACAACACACGTACGCGCTTATTAAGTGAAGGCCCCGAAGAAATCGGCTGTAGCAATACGAGGAGCTTGCGACGAGTTATTGCGGAAGTCGATTTCGAGGGGACTGAGCGCAGTTACAATCAGACGGACTTAGCATAACGTAGCAGGTGAATGTGTGTGTCTCGGAAGGTGCAGTGTTCTATAGTATAATAGGGGCTTTAGCATTCAGAGCGGACCTAATACAAATCTAGCGTAGCCTCTCATTGGTCGAAACAAGGCGAAAACATATAACCTCTGCCTCAGGTTCTACTTTATAGTCGCGATCGCTCATGGCGTATATACAGCTAATATAAGGCTAACTGACAAGCCTATTTAGCATACATCGCGCAGAGGGTACTAATAGCTTGCGATTCCAAAGGGTGCCAATGGCTTGCGATAACAAGCCTATTCAGCATGCGTTACGCAGAGGGTACCAATGGCTTACGTAAACTGAGTATAATTGTAACTGCGCTCAGTCCGGGGCCTTCACTTATATGCTTAAGGTCGCTTCGCTGACCTTTCAGCTCACCATTTTTATCCTGTATTCGACTTGCGCATACCGACGCAGCCTAAGTTGCATAGAGGGTACCAATAGCTTGCAACGATAAGTGAATTAGCTTAATAATAGTACAAGACTAGATTGTTATCCACTGCTCGCCTCCGGCTTCGCTCGGCTATCCTGACCTGTACCGCGGGTCTACGGATACTTTATAGCCTGCAGAAGCTGAGATTGTAGCCATGTTCCCGCTGGATGGATCTTCCATTCGCTTGGCAGGTCGAATGGTCGATCCCGCGCTGGGTGTGGCCGCGGGATGGAATGACTTCGTTTGTCTCAACGACTGACCTCCTAACGTCCATCACCTCCGCTGGCAACGCTTACACTTTCAACGCATCGCGCAGCCTCCACGCTCTTGCCCTCGAAGGCCATGCTCCCAAAATCCTACGTCGCGTCAACAAAAGGCACGCTGATCTGATCTGTGTCTGCATTCGAGGCCTGGCACTGACAATTTCCTCAGAGGAACTCCTTACTTGGCCGTGATCGCCGTCATCACGCTATGCTTGCTGGCATACCTGTCTCTAGGATCAGGCAGCGCGAAAGTTTTGAATTGGCTGATGAAGTAAGTCAATTCAAGAATCGACTTCATGCACACCACGCTTCATTCAGCTAATCATCTTGCCAAGTTTCTGCACCGCGGCCACAATGTTCAATTGGACAGTCATGGGTCTTACTTGGATCCGTTTCAACGCAGCCATGAAAGCACAGTCCATCGATCGAGACAAGTTCCTTGTCTTCAAATTCCGCTGGATGCCTTTCGCAGGCTACTGGGCGTTTGGGTGGGCCTTTCTGTTCCTCTGGCTGCAAGGCTATGCAGTGTTCTTGAAGGGCAAATGGGCCATTTCGACGTTTATCTTCAATTATGGCATTGTAAGTTTATAGTTGAAATTCGCGATTTCCAAATTCTGGTCTTTTATCCCGTAGATTGGCCTTGCTGCTCTTATTGGTATAGGCTGGAAGATTATCACGCGAACCGAGATCCGGAGAGCAAAGGATATCGATCTCGCGAGTGACTTGGAATTCTTCGAGATCCTGACCGAACATTATCGTCACCTGCGAGAAGATGTGCCGATGGGTTACAAAGATAAGATCATGGCCAAGATCTTTTAGTGCGGCGCGAATGCTAGAGCAACCCACGCTACTCAATGACGGATTGTCTATTGTGCTGGGCTATGTTCTGCTGTGAGCTCTCAATGTGTTGGTTGTCGTGTTTCTTCGAAAGGCGCGGGAGGGTGGATGCGAAGACAGCGCTCGAGGCCGAAATTCAGCGGCTCCTTTCGAGCTGCGAATTTGAAGTTCAGTGCAGCTCATTCTTTCTTCCAGGTACGCCCAGGGAGTGCCAACCATGCAATATTCATGACAGCACAGAGAACGATGCAGGTTGGGTTGAGGACGACAGCGCCATAGACCTGAGCGAGAAGTCCCGTCAAGAATGGAGCGACAGCAGCTCCACCACTTCCAATGCTCCTGCGAGACAATGTCAGACAAACAATATTCTCTCACCAACAGTGATTAGTTGCTTACCATGCCATTCCGACTCCAGTGACTTGTATCGAAGGGTCGAGTAGCTTGGATAATACGCCTGTTGCCATTGGTGCTATTGGTCCAGACAACACTGTTGTTCCTTGTCAGTCGAGCTCGAGTACCATGTAGCCGGCACAGACCTCCTATGATTGCCACAGCCACAGCATCACCAATGATATCGTGTGCGAACCAGACTATTAAATGAAAGCCGGCCCACACAATGATGAGGCCGAAGATACACCTTCGATCTCCCAGCTTCTCGATCAGTGGACATAACAGGAAGCGGCCGACTGTGATTCCTGCCCAGAAGCCGGCAGACACGTATCCAACTTTTGCCGGATCTCCATGTCTGTAGTCGATGAGGAAAGAGACAACCCATCCAGATATCGTCACCTCTGCTCCCTGATACGCAAATACAAAGACGGATCCAAACAAGACCGATCGATCTCGCATGGCTTGCAATACTGGCGATCGCGATTTTGGCCTCGAAACAGTTCCGGATGGTAAGTTCGTGCTGCGTAGCGTTGGAACGAAATTGTGGAACGACCATGCAAAGAGTGCAGCATTGGTGATGGACAAGCCCAAAGAAATGAAGTAGAAGAAAGACCATCTCACACCATGGGAAGCCATGGCGGTACCCATGAGTGGAGCTACGCTGCCTCCGATGCCATAGCCGCCCTGCGTGATGCCCAAAAGCACTGTGCCATTCGGGGAGTTGGCAACGAGGGAGTTGTCCAAAGCTAGGATGGTTGAGAAGCCAAAGCCTAGCCAGTCGTCAGCCTTGAGCAGTACGAACAAGTGATTGCAATCTCACCCAGTATTCCAAAGCAGGTTGCAACGACTGCAAAAGGCGGCTGAGCAATTATTATGGAGTAAGCGACGATGTTGCAGCACACAGCCAGGATCAAGGTCTTGACGCGGCCCAAGGTGCGGTCCAGCAGCTGGATGAATGGCACAGCTGCAATAAAGCCAACTGCATTTCCAACGAAGACCAGAGAAGCTATGGCATACTGGATCTGATAGTTTGCTTGAATGTAAGGGAGAAGTGCCCCGGTGACGGAATCGTTCACGCCTTGGATGAAGAAGGCGAGGAAGATGGCTACAAAGCGAGGTTTGGTGACCAGCGGCTGCACACTTGTCGTTGTGCTTGATGCTTCCACATTGTCGTCGGGATGTGAATTGTCTGGAGCCCCTACTGTGGCCGGCAGCTTGGATGTTGGTCCATGGAGTGTCGCAAGCTCACAAGGTGACAGTTCCTCGACCAAAGTGGCCATGCCCATCTTGGATGAAGTCGAATTTGCAGAGTCCAGGGTGTAATAATGCATTCGAGGTCGGGAAGATGGATGAATAAATGCAGCGGCGGAGGCGGTAGTTCCTAATTTGGCCTTTCCGCTTTGCATGTGACTTTCTGCGGTGAGGCGTAATTACCCCTCTCTACCGTCGTGCAGTAGGTAAGCAGTCACGACACTCATTACGAGCCATGTCGATGAATTCTCCGAGCCAATGCCCAATGTCTAACGCCGGCTGCTTCTTCCTCCTCTGCCGCCCGAATCCGGCTCAAAAGCGAGCCTTGTCAGCAGACACATTTTTGAAAAGCCAACTTACGATTGCATTATTGCTCATGTCGAAGTAATAAGAGAGGTCGGTGAAGGGACAAGGGAGAAACGGTGGCGGCAACTTTTCGGCTAAACTTCACGATTCAACCATCAACATGGTGTTGTCATTCATGGCTGTCATTCACATGAGTGGGGCTTTCGTAATGCCACTGCCAGCCCTTCCCGGTCAGCTTTTGCATCCTTCCGGTTCAATTGCGTCGCGAATGTGCTATGTGTGCACGGTCCACGTTTACGGGAGACTGGCTGCATTAGCACTGCATACAGCTGAGATGGAGATGGGGCTGAAAAATAACGGTGACACGGCCGTGAGCGCTGTATCGGCTTCTTCTGCCTTGCGGCAATGTTCTTTTGCATCAAAATCCTGAGATAAACATCAATCTCCAGCACAGGACATCTTGCAGTGCCGCCTTCCGATTTAGATGGAGGACAACACAACCCCTGATCGACATCGACACACCTTTCTGGAGAATGTTGACCTTGTCCATGAGCCGGAGCACGAATCTGCATCAGACTCCTCACAGCGGTCGAGACATGTCAAGTTCGCGCCAGTCTCATCGGAAAGAACTGGTAATCATGCAACAGCTGGGGCAAGCATAGCCCTCTCCACCTCAGATGCCGCTTCAGAGACATTGTCGAGAACCTCTCCCACACGCGCAGAAACGGAGTCTGTCGCCATTGAGCCGAATAGAACCTACGAGATTCCTGTATCTCGGCGTCGAGGGGGTCCTAGTCCTGATCGACGGGCACGCCTTCCGTCCTCCCCGCGGCGACATACTTCTTCATTCTCGACCGCTGAAAGTTGGAGTGATGAGCCCACCGTAGCCCCCGTAGATGATCGATATGCCCGTCGAAGCACTGCAATTGCAGCGAATGCGGGAAGGCAGCAAAGTCCGAGACGCAGAAGGTCTCCATTCAGGCGGAGAAGATCACCTACCAGGCTCGCCAGCTATTTCGAGAGACGGGCACGCACCAGGAACCCGTCAGACGACTACTGGGTTGATCACAACGACGACTATTATGGCCGCCCGAGAAGGCGCCCATCTCCGCATCGCATGAGTAGGAGAAACTCGTGGGGCATGTCACAGGAAAGGCGCGCGTGCGGATTGTACAAATATACATTTCAAGTCAGTCAACCCTTGCTAACACCACTTCGTGCAGGTGGCGGATGCGACAAGAAATCCAACCGACCAGTCTCTGAAGAAGAAGCTTCGCTATTTTGACGAGGAGACATTGTACCTGAAAGATGTGATGAAACTGCAAGACTCTATCTTTCGTGGAGCCGAGTCGACAAGTGGTCTTGGGGGCAGTAACGATGCTCCTCAGCTGTACGGAGTGGATCCGCGAGTGAAACTGGCAGATAAGACCATCGCCCGCCAGGAAGCCATGTTGACCGCCATGTCAGAAATTCGACTGCGAGCACTCCGACTGCAGCGTGAGATGCAGCAAGAGACCGGTGCAGCAAAGGAGTCGCGAGAGACTGCGATCTATGTCTTCACGGCAAGCCAACCAAGAAGTTACCCATTCGTCATGACCCGACTGACGCTCATAGATTGTAACTGTTATCTTCCTCCCACTGTCGTTCGTTTCCAGCGTCTTTGTAAGTCCTAAATGCACAGTTGAAACACATGCGCTGATTCGATGTCCCAAGGGCATGAATACCAAAGACATTCGCGACCTGAACTCTAACCAGTGGCTGTTCTGGGTCGTCGCCATCCCTCTGACTACCTTTTTCGTCATCGTATCCTGGATCCTCGCCGGCGGAGAGTGGCCTGCAGTCGCATGGAGACCATCCTGGCATCGACACATAACTTCCGGATCAAGACTACCCTTTTTCGAGACATCTCCATCTCCGCCAGCCTACCACGATGTGGCTGACGGTCAAGAGCCGTTCATTGCCGGTAGAAGTCGCTCGAGGAGACCTTATGAGGACGATGAGAGAGACTTGGCAGGGATTCGCGGCAGGGAGAGATCGGGATTCAATGACGAAGGTGTTGATCCTGATGGATATCCTTTACGTCGTCGAACTTCGACTTGGGTTTGAGGACTTCGTTGAGAGGCCTCGATTGGGCTTCTACTTTGGCCACAACAGAGATGTGCTTGAGACGAAGAATTTTACTTTGCCTGAAGCTACGCAACGACTTCAGCGGTCTCACCGGCAGATTTGGAAGCATGTTTCTTACAGCCTTGCGTGGCTCGATCGAATACACGAGCATGCTTAGGAAACAGATTAGCAGGCTGGATGATATGATAGGGCAAGCGTTCTAACAGCACGCCCGCATTTTCCAGTGCCATGGTGAATTTTCAGGCGGATACCGGTCTCACGGGATGAATAGTGGCTCAGTACGTGATGCTCTCGCTCAAAAGAAGGGCGAATTGTCGCAGGTTAAGAAGATACAGCCGTGCATTTCATTCCAGGCTTTAGGACCGCCGTGGCGACAGTTTCTCAAGTCTCACGCGGTCTTGATAGAGCAGATTATGCTGGCTATAGACCGGCATGCTGCACGACAATGCAGTGGGTCGTGCAGAACGTCAGCCTTTGCATTACCATGGCAATGGAAGTTAACCTTCCAACCCCCTCGGCCACAAAAATGAAACTGAAAATAGAGACACCACATTGAGCCGTAAACCTCATGAGATTTCTATTTTCATTCTATCATCAATAAGTTATACAAAATGGTGAATTGTACCCAACACTGATGAGCCAAAAACACCAAAACATCCTGTCCTTTCACGCCCAGGTGAAAAACTTCCCCACATTCTGTTGTGCGTGTGTGTGTGTGTGTGTGTGTGTGTGTGTGTGTGTGTATGTGTGTGTGTGTGTGTGTGTGTGTGTGCAGAAGGTAAAAGGAGTGAACCACGGCCAGCGAAGTCCCAATCCTTTACCTGCTGGCCGGAAATAATGTCTGCATGCCTGATGTCTAGACTCGCAGAGCGCGAGCATGAGTTCTCTTGCCGATGGAGCCGCCGAGACCGAAGGAAGCGTCTGCACCGATGCTGGCACCGACGTTGCCGCTGATGCTGAAGGATACGTAGCCGGAGATGTTGCCGCTGGCACTTGCTGAGGCGGCACCGCTCACCAGACCTCCGGCGTCAGCGTAGGCTTTGGTTGTCAGGTATCCACACCAGTCCACGATGTTGCCTAGTGTCATTCCTCCCTCAAAGTTGAGAGGCTTGGTCTCACCAGCAGCGGTCTCGTAGCTCGTTGGCAAAGCTTTTGGAAGAGCACCGGTAAGCTTAGCACTGCTACCAAGAGCTCCGTTCAGCTTGCTAAAGAGGCCCGCGACAACGCTGTCGACTTGAGCTTTCGGGATGACTTTGTCCAGCGAGCCCTTTGGCAGAGATCCAGCTAGACCTGCAAGAGCACTGCCGAACTCTGGCGCAAAGGTACAGGATGGAGCCGGAGGCTGGATAGCGTATCCTGGAGCGTTCGGTGATTCAGTTTGCACTGGAGATACAGCGGTGCCGCTGTATCCTGGGATCGAGGTGGCTGTTCCTGTAGGTGAAACGCTTACGGTCGTGCTGATTGACGAAAACGAACTTCCAGAGCCACTGGGGCTAGGGCCGGTAGTCTCGGGGGATGCGAGTGAGCTGCTGCTTGGTGATGGCTGCTGATAGCCAGGTGGACTGGGCCCTGTGGTCTCTGGAGATGCCAGGGATGAGCTCGGAGGGGCGGATCCTGGGATGGATGACGAGCTCGTCGTCTCAGCAGACCCACTGGGGCTAGGGCCAGTAGTCTCGGGGGACGCGACGGAGCTGGTGCTTATTGATGGCTGCTGATAGCCAGGCGGACTGGGTCCTGTTGTCTCTGGGGACGCGACTGAGCTGCTACTTAATGATGGCTGCTGATAGCCGGGTGGACTGGGTCCTGTGGTTTCTGGAGATGCTAGGGATGAACTCGGGAGGCCAGATCCTGAGATAGACATCGAGCTCGTCGTCTCGGCAGATGTCGGAGATACCTCAGTGGACGAAGATGATGGCACATACGAGAAAGATGTGCTTGAACTTGAACTATTAGAGTAGCCTGGCAGGCTACTCATAGTGGAGCCGACGGGTGATTCCAATGTTGAGGATGGAATGGCAGATGTTTGAGTTGTTGAACCACCATATCCTGGAATTCTCTCAGTGTTACTACTGCTGCTGCTTGACAGCGTTACCGGCGATCCTTCGGTACTGCTGGTCGAAGGCACCGGGGATATGGTAACAGTTGAGAACCCGCCGGTAGCAGTAGGACCAAAAGTTGTGCTGTTTGGTGGCGAGAAGCTAAATGAGTATAACGATGATTGGGTAGGGCCGGCCTCAGTAGGACCAAAAGTTGTGCTATTTGGTGGCGAGAAGCTAAACGAGAATGACGATGATTGGGTAGGGCTAGCCTCAGTCGAGCTTAATGAGCTTAGGGATGTCGAGCCGGATCCAGACGCGGTGCCTGGCAAAGAAGTTGGGCCAAGATTCGTCGAGCTTGGCGTTGAGAGAGGAGGTAGCGAGCTCGAAGTCACATCGGTAGGGCTGATTTCCGTGGAGCTTGAAGATCCACTGTATCCTGAAAGGCTTGGTATGGAAGACACGGATGTCAGGCTTAACTCAGTGCTGGACAAAGAATTTGACGAATATCCAGCTGGCGGCACTGGAAGGCTGGTGCTCTGCCCTGGCAGGGTAGTCGATTGTGCAGAGGCAAGGGAGATTGACGGGCTTGAACCGGGAGACAATGGGAAGGGAATTCCTGTTCCTGAAGATCCAATTGACTGGATCGTTGAATTGCCGGGAATTGGATAATGAGGTGCAGTCGTTGGAATTGAGATTGGTTTACTGGTCGTAGAGGCACTGGTCTCTGTTGGTGAAATTTCGGTACTACTGGAGCTTCTAGTCACAGTGATGGTGGAATGGATGGTAGACGTTACTGTCGATGTAGTCGAATAATCCAACGTTGATGTTAAGGTAGTGCCGCTCGTGGTAATGGTCGATTCCGCAAGGCAAGTCGTCTCGTACGTCGTGGTGATCTGCGTAACGCTGGTGCTAAAGAGGGCTGATGTCGATTCGGGCGACGCCAGTGAAGAAGAAACGCCAGTGGTTCCTCCGGCATAGCCTGAGCTGGAGGATAATGGAAAAGGCAGCCCGGTCCTAGAACCGACCGGCTGAACGACGGAAGAGTTTCCTGGAATTGGGTACGGTGCACTGGTTGTGATAGGAATTTGTGTGCTAGTCTTGACGGTGGTCGCGGACCCTTGCGGACCCGTAATCGTGATCGTAATGACTGACGGGGAATACGAGGGAGCAGTGCTCTCTGTCGTTACCGGGCTTGCGATGCTTGAAGAGGCTGGAACGACAGTAGAAGATTCGAGGACGGAGGTAGATCCAGCAAAGTTGGTGATAGTGACAGTTACGACAGAGTATGAGTAGGCGCCAGTTGAGCTAGGCAAAGTGAAAGTAGAGCCGGAGCTTGTTGCTGCGCCACTCAATGAACCACTTCCATAACCTGGAGGGCTTCCGCCGCCCTGAGTCTGAGTGGGCGAGACCAAGGTCCCAGAGCTGTGGAAGGCAGTTTGCGTAACGGTGGCGGTTTGCGTAATCGTCTCCGTCTCCGTCTGTGTGATTGTGGCGGTGATATAGTTCGTTGGGGTGGTGTTGGAAGGACTGCAAGCGCAGGTCGAAGAGTCGGCCTGACGACGCTCGACCTTTGGCACGGCAGCATTGGCCAAGCCTAGCATGCCGGCCGCGGCTACGAGGGAAGAAAGATACTTCATGGTGGATAGCTTATTGTGAAAGCTTGTGTGTAAGAGGCTTGATAAATCAATTCGGACACTCAATGGCCTTTCGGCAGACGGTCGTCGAGACCAGTAAGAAAGAAAATGCACCGCTCGCAGAGCTTAACGAATGTACAGACTGAGCAATGAAAAACACACAATCAGAATGCCGATGAGAAATGGCAGAAAGACTCAGGATAGATACCTCTTATAGCCTGCTGGGTCCCATCTTGGACTTAGACGATTGATTCCTAGACGCAGTCCGATGCAGGCTAAGTCGTCACTCATCGCCATCACCGTTCTCAGACACGCCATCTGCCTGCTCCTAGAGGCCGGCGGTCCAGTGCAGGGTCGCAAGAGGCTTCTTCTCGACTCTGGACTCTCCGCGTAGGCGATGTGGGGCAGGTCCTGGTTCATTTCGAGGAGACGCACGATCTCGGGGCCATTGAGAGGTCGAAACAGGTGATGTTTCACGAGTGACGTCCAAAGAACATTATCTTGGCTCGAGCGCGGCCCGCAGAAAAGTGGGCCCTTTTCTTTCCACATCCATTCAGGGGTGATGCGTATAGGGCGCTTCCGTGTTCGCCGCAACCTTGAAACAACACTCTGCTCCAATCAGCAGCAGACCTCAACTCCTACTGCAAAGAAACGCCTGACCGGCCTATTGGAGCTACGTTCACGTTCACGTTCACGTTCACGTGCACGCCTGGACCGGCGCCGGGCGAGGGCGGCGAGGAACTCCGGTACCATTTCTTGCCACGGAAAATACTTCAGAGAGCGCGTGATTTTGCACTCTAGCGGTGCTTTACCACGACACTGCGTAGCACTGTACCGAAGTGGTGACATCCCACACTTCTATACGGGCTGAGCACTACCCTTCGACCACTAGCCGCTCGCTATAGAAATGGCGCCCATATCTGAGCCATCACACCTGCTCAATCCGCTGGTGAGCTCGGCTCAACTAGAGACGTCCGCAAGTCAGCTAGATGGCCTTCCAAAAGATCTCGAGGATGCTATCAAGTTTGAAACAAGCCGGCTGATGCAAGCCGCGGGCATTCTGCTTCGGCTACCGCAAGAAATAGTCGCGCAAGCGATTGTCATGCTTCAACGATTCTATATTGCACCTGAAGGCGGCAGTTTGTTGGAAAGCGACTCGATGGTCCGTCTCAACACCAGACCCCAACGTCACAAGTTGCCGAATGTGTCAGCTCAGAATATGACTAACGATCTCGCAGGATGTTGCAGCTGCGTCGCTTTACCTGACCGCTAAGCCTTCAGCCTTCCCTGTCACTCCAAGACAAGTACTCACGTCATTTGCCTATCTCTCGAGCTTGGAACCTGGATCAATTCTCTCCCAGAACACCGAGGACAAGCTTTCCTCCTCGTGGCATCTTTCAGAAGGTGATTATGAGACCGGCAGAGCCGCACTATACGCATATGAAGCGTTAATCCTTCGTACCCTTGGATTCCAGACTCATGTCGCCTTGCCGCATACACTCTGTATCAACTATTTGCAGACACTAGATGTGTTACAATCTGGCAATGGACCACTTGTTGCGAAGAGAACATTCGCACATCTCAACAGTGCGCTGCTGAGTCCACAAATGCTGTACCTCACGCACCAACCTTCGGCACTTGCCACTGCAGCCATTTACCTTGCCGCCAAGGAGACAGGCACTAAGCTGCCAGAAGTCGAATGGTGGGAAGTGTTCGATGTTGATCGGGAGGAGCTTGGTTTCCTTGTAGTCGCACTTCGAAGCGTCGAGGGATTTGCATTAGCGCACAAGGAAACGTGGAGCGGAAGAAGAGTACCAATGTCCGTTAAGGAGCTCAAGGAGGAGATTGAGCCGCGGTAGTGACCCGAGACCTGGAGATGATGCCGAACTGCGTGGCGTGGACCACTGCATGAGGCGCGTTCTCGCGCGTAACCGGCAATGGGTCAGTGGGGAGTGGGTTGCTTTTGTCTGGCCTGCTTTCCGACCTGGTTGCCTCAGGGACAGGCCGTCATCACAACAGCAATTCAAGGCGTCAAGAATGCTTACTCTGACCTCGAGCCGGACACCACCTGATCGAGGAAGAGCACGTAACCTGTTTGGGATGACTATGGATGTCACGCAGACCAACAACCACATCGATGAGTGTCGATGACACAATTGCATCGTCCATCGGCCTCCCAAGAGCAAAACAACCCGTCAGCCGACGGGAGCAAGACCGAACCGAACGCAGAGCCGCAAAATGCCACGCCTCAGGCCATCACATCCTATCACATATGTTCTCACGCCGTCTGTTTCACATGTGCCATTACACCTCCACACACAAATCTCAGGTAACGAAAGGATCTCGATGGTTTCCGCAAGCCGACGCATCGCCGCATGGGTAGGCAATGTCTACTACGTCAACGTCGCTCAGTCGTGATCAGTTTGCAGCTGCGAGAATAGGGAGCGAACATCAATCAGCGCGACACCATTGTGAACACAAAGTGTAAGATCGCACCCTGCATCGCGATCCGAATGAGCGATAATTTATGCACGTCATGGCCGACCATAGGATCAAGCTGGCTGATACTTTCCGACGACTCCTGCAAGCTCGAGTTGAATATTAACGGCAGTGCCGAAATGCACAAAGAAATGTGCGAGAATAGACGGATTGTAGGGTCTGATCGCATATCATTTCATTTGGCCATAGTCGCCCACTCAGCTCGGCCCAGTGCATGGCATTTCTCGTTCATTCCTAGCAGACGCCTTGCTATGCATTCCTTTGCTATCATTCGGCCATCCCATTTCATCATGCTCCTTGAACGCCGCGCAACGGACTGCTGCGCATGACTTCTCTATCTAGTAGGTCCTGGCCAAGTTCCTCAAGTACCAATCTACTAATCTCCTGCCAACCTTGGCTTCCGAAACATGGATCAAGTCACCCTCCATCGCGTAGTCAAGATCGCTCGAATTGACGATATCGCCTTCCAAAAGACCACCCTCGGTATGGCGCACTTGCCTGCTGCGCTGCTTGTTGACGAGGAGCCAGCTGCGGAGAGTGTCGGCGTCAACCTCAAGGAACCCAGCGAGCTTGGTCAAGTCCATGGTTGTGTAGAGCTTCAGATAGCTGCGGACGGTTGGAGTGAAGATGTTGTTCTTGACTTCGTTCATGAAAATTTGGAGGTGATGCTCAACTGGATCTGGGTTGAGATGTGGGTTGTCGAAGTCAGGCGGAGTAGGTGAGATGAACTTGGGGCATGCGCTGCGGAAGAGCTCTTCAAAGATCGGGAGAGCCTCTGGACCGCCACGCTGCATGCGACTAAGCTGCTCGCCGTATTTCTCCCTCAACGCGGTGTGGATCGTGTCGTCAAGTCTGGTTGGGTAGAAGGCAACGCAGATGGCGACGAGTGCGTACATCTGGTCGTTCTTCTTGCTGATGCTGTCGTACTGTGCACCCTTCTGGAAGTTCTTCGTTCTCGAGACGTAAATCAGGATGTGGTTGAAGGCGCGGAGGGCATCGGCATATCGGTGCATCATCATGTAGGAGAAGCCGATGTAGTAGTAGGTGGTAAAGTTGGCGGCCATAACACGAGCGAACATGGCCTTCTTGTTGAGCTCAATGACGTCGAGCGTCTTGAGCGCGAGACTGAAGTCTCCCAACAGGCAGTGCACTCTGAGCAGACCGATGATGGAGAAGTATCCCAGCATCTGGTACAAGCTCCGGCTGCCATATTCTCCTGCGTAAGGAGCAGGGTCTTCGCCTCGCTTCCTGGCCGCAAGCTGTTCGCTGATTTGCGATCGCTGAATGAGCGAGTACAGAACGTTCAAGACTGAGTAGCAGCCCCAAGTGTTCGGGTTCTCGCGCAGCACGGATAGCTCCTCCTCGTTTGCGCTCGCGTTGGGCTGGTTCTGCTGGAAAGCTAGGCGTTGACGGTACGCGCAGAATGCGTTGAATTGGTAGATGAACTCGTCGATGACATCCCATGCCCAGTAGTACTAAATTGTCACATTAGCCTTTTCCCTCCACCGTGGACAGATTCCTGCCTACCGATGGTGGCTCGATGTCCACGGGGCCGTCGCTATTCAGGATGTAGTGGAAAAGATTGCAGTAGCTATCGTAGCTCTGAATCTTCTGCTCCACGGATGCGCCATATTCCAAAGGTGTCGCCGCTGCCTGCAACTGTGCCTGCAAGTCCTGTGTGCCTACTCCCATCGAAATGGTCTGCTCAAGACCATAGTCGTCGTCTGCATATCCAGCCTGTTCGCGGAAGTCGTTGGCGAGCGCCTCCTCCTCGACATCGGAATCGTCGTCGAGCGGCCGCTCGGGCGCGCTTTGTTGGTATGTCGGCGCCTGTCGTACGCTCATCGTTGCGGTTGTCAAAGGCTTGCGATGGGGTGGATGTTGTCGCGCTGCACGATTTTCGGAAAGCCCCACGACGCCAAGACTTCATTTCTCGTCAACTTCGCGATGGCGGGGGTCTTGCATGCCGACAACATCTTCATTCACGACTTTCATGAAGCAATGATAATTGATTGGGCCAGGCTACACGAAGCATACGGGCGGAGAGACAACATGGCGCCCGTATACAGAGTAGCCGTGATACAGATGTGGCCTAAGGTCATCCTTCTCGTCTCTTCCCCAGCCTACTGCATTTGCTAAGATGTAGCCCAGCCAATGGCCCTGGATCGCAACTTCAAAGTGGCCTGTGACTTCATCCGAGCAGCCGCGAAGCAAGGCGCAGAATTAGCAGTCCTTCCGGAATACCATCTCCTCAATTGGATTCCCCACGACGAGAAGTTCAAAGAAGCCTGCTACCACTGGAAGAAGTATCTCGATGGCTACATTTCCTTGGCCAAAGAGTGCAATATCTGCATCGTTCCCGGCACAATTGTTGAGCTGCACAACGAAAACAGAGAGGATGAGCGGTTGCTGAATGTGGCATACTTCATCACCAACACTGGTGATATCGCTGGAAAGTATGTCAAGAAGAATCTTTGGGGTCCAATCGAGCGACTACACTTGACTTCCTCATCTATGGACGAACACCCAGTGTTTGATACACCACTTGGCAAAGTCGGGATACTGGTATGCTGGGATCTGGCCTTCCCCGAAGCCTTCAGAGAAATGATTTCGAAGGGAGCGAAGATGATCATAATCCCCACGTTCTGGACATTAAGTGACTGCAGTAAGGCAGGTCTAGCCATCAATCCGAGCTCGGAGGCTTTATTTTTGGATTCGATGTTGACGGCTAGGTGTTTTGAAAATACTTGCGGTGAGTTGAAAACATCTCGTTTCCTCTCAAGTCTAACGTCATCCTGCCTTACTCGCTTCAGGCTCTTACCTTTTCCTTCAATTTTCCCCTATGCTTTCGTATGCCGAAGAGTCGAGTTTCTGTTAAGGCGCTTGCCAGCCAGCAATAGCTTAACGCCGATGAGACTACGACGCCTACTCTGCAATGGTGTAATAGATGTCGATTGCCGGACCTGAAGTCATCGGGCTGAGGACGACTGTCAACATTTTGCCTTTTGGCCAATAACTTTTGCATTCCACAGCACGCTTCCGAAGGCTCTTTGCTGACATTTCCTTCTCTAGCAATCGTCTTCGCCAATGCCGGCGGTCCGCCAGGGAAAGGCTACGCTGGTCTTTCGCAGGTCTGCGTGCCATACGCAGGAGCACTGACGAGACTCGGAAGTTGTGCGGAAGGCATGGCGGTCGTCGACCTGGACATGCAAATCGTCGAAGACGCAGAAGAGAATTATCAGGTCCGAGCCGATCTCGCGAGAAGTGACTGGCATTATGAATACAGGCATACCAGAAAAGATGGGGGAGAGTCGAAGCTGTGAGCATCTCATCGAAGGAATGTATCTTTCAAAAAAAAGCAAAATCCTCACAGTCGCCCATCTTCCAACAGTCACACAGTTCGGTAAAATGTTGTCGCCAACGTCATTACGTCGGAGCTACACATCACGGCCGATCGCTCGCTGCAGACCCTTATCAATGAGCCATTCTACCAGCCGATGCTGGACGACGAATGATTGTCGAAAGGCTTGAAATTCGGGAGTACTGATGAAGGCTCCCTACCTGAGTCAAACCCTGACCATGAAAGCTCACCGAGCTCTTGCGATCACACCGACTGGCATTTTGGAAGATCACGACCAGCGCGTATCCCCCCTCGAGCTACCACTCGATGCTTCAGCCTGATCGATTCATACCAACCAAGTCCGAGCATGAAACGCGCGCCTCAAATCTTCGACCTTAGTCCTGATCTTCTCTAGCCTAACTCTCCATTTCTTTCGTCGACGAGTTTCGATCTCTGTCCTCGCAGCATCAAGTCGGTCTTTAGCTGTGTAGTACACCCCAATCTCGACACGGTCTGAAGCTGCATTCAGGTGGCTTCGAATCCCGATAACGCGACGGTCATTTGGGTCGAAGATATGCTCTGGCCATTCTGAGTCTGAGTTAGCGACGTTCGTGTACGGGTTGGGGACTGGTCGAGTGGGTCGGGGTTGAGACATGTGGTGAGATGTCTGGTGAGCGTCACACATGCTGAGCGGACTGATTTTGTTCGAGAAAGGAATGTTTTAATGAGGATTCCAGCCTAGCTTGGGGTATGAGAAGCCTGCTTTTCGATATCAATCACTTGTGGTTCGAGCGCCTCGAGTGCTTGATGGATCTGGATAATGAGATGGTAAGGTATCGAGAAATGAAACGAGCTGCTAATGTACGGCTACGCTCTGACATGCTAACGAGCACTGCCCAGCTAGAACAATGCATAATAACGTTTCAGAGTCCTTAATGCCATTGTCGTCCTGTCGAGTAAAGTGAACGGCAGGCAGGAGCGTAGCTCAGGTGCTCGTTAATGCTCATTCAACGCTTCGCTAGCCTTGCGTCTCCTCAATCTATTCTGCACTGGCCTCCTCAGAGTCTCCAGGGACCGTTGAGTAAAGTCTTTGATGATCTGACTGCTGCTTCGTCTTGGATTTCCGGCCGGCCTATTGCTCTCTCCGACATGGCTCTCTGAGATACTAGCGTTTCTGGAGTCTTGCTCAGCCAAATGTATTCTCCAAGCTAAAAGTGCACCAGTAGAGTCTCGCCAGATAGCCTGGTCCCCCATCTTGGTCAGATGATGAATGGATCTTGGATGATCAGATGATGTCGATGTAATTGGTCTGCAATCCTGTGGTGATGAAACCCGAGTAGCTTCTGTGAAGAGAGCGGATGTATCATTCAGTGCAGACTGGTCGAATGTGATCGCACTATCCCTTCGGGAGCGCGTTAGGCTTGGTGGCGTGTCGGACTGTGAATGTTCAGTGAGTCTAGCTGGTGTCGAAGTGTTTGATGGCCCTTCGCCCGCGGGTGGACTGCCATGATATTTGGCTGCCGTGAGCGGCTGTACCTGCTTCACTTGCCAGTGCCCAGGTGGCTCTGATCCACCAGCCTCTTTCAATTTCTGCCAACGTTCCATATGATCGTACTGTGCTGCTGACGGGCGTGGAACTCGAGCGGAAGGTGAGGCAGCCTGCAAGGCTTTCCTGCTCGTTTGACGAATCAGTGGATCAGTAGAAGACACAACATATATCATGCTTTCAGCTGGCACAGCATTTGCCATAGTACTTCGTCCGGCAAGCCGAGCTGGATTGCGAGGAGGGAGACTTGGTTGATGGTGGTTCATGCCGACAAGAGTAGTGAAATGATGATGATGATGATGATGATGCTGCTGCTCGTCGCAGAGAGCATGGCTATATTCGCCATCGGTGTCCAGAGTGTCTCAGATGCACAAAAATGCACAAGTGGCTGCATGTCTCATGCTATCCTTGGCAAATATCTCGCATTTATGCATTTTCGTCTTTGTGTAGCGTAGCAGCAATGATGCTAGGCCGAGGCTACATCCTGGCTTGACTGCAGTGCCGTCAAGATCATCTGAGAGGATTGCACGAGTGATGTTCTCCGCTCACATGCAGTCGGAAGTTGAGAATAAGATCTTCGGTCCGGACTTTTTCGAGCCATGTTGTTGCCAGATACTGGAGAGATGCCGTCAGACGCGAAGTAGCTCACAACTGATTGTGATTGACTAATCACATCATCACAATCATAATGACTTCTACACTGACCTATGCAGAGTAGAATCCTAGCTGAGTAAGCATAAATCTAGACCCACTTAAGAGAGGGAGACAGAGACAGTAAGGGTAAGAGGGGCAGTTTCACAGCATTCTCGGGCGCTGTGGCAAAGCTGCGACCGGTATTGAGCCACAACCGGTGCATTGCAGGAAGTGCTCTTTGGCCGCACTCGCTTCCCTTTCTCGCAATTTCGTTGTGTGTTTCCTGCTCATACAGTCCTCCTGTCAGACATGACACGAACTATGCTTCCTGGACCAGCCGTCTCCACAAGCTTCTCATGCCAGCTAAGCAACACGCTCATAGCCTGTCCTCCGCCCTCTCCTCCACCAAAGTTCCTGCCACCGATCTGTGAAAAGCCGGTCGCTTGTGGTGTGATATTCCTCGTCGGTGTTCCGCTGTGCGTCGCTGGTGCATTTTGCGCCATTCCCTTGTACAAGTACTTCATCAGAGTGTCGCAGGCTTCACTGCCGCCTTCCGACTGATACATTCGCTGGAGCATAGGTGTCATCTCTGCTTGCCGTATTGATTGCAGGATCTCGGTGACTGTGGCGAGGTGTAATTGCTGCAAGTTTTCTCAGAATACGCTTCTTTGCTCTGCCAGCTTTTCGGAAATGCTGCCTAGACCTACCTTTCCTTGCTCGTCTGCTCCATATGGTGGGTTCTCCAGAGCTCCTCTTAGAGCTCCTTCAGCGTTGCCTCCACGTAGGAGCTGCCGTATCTGTCCAGCCAAAGTCTGCACGTCTGCGGTCGAGATAGGCTGCACTGCTGGAGTGAGCGTTGTGAGGTCAAAGTTGGCGGAAGATTCGGGGTCTAAGGCATCGATATCGATCGTTCGCCAGTTGATCTGAGCCATGATGTCGCAATATTTGACGAGGCACGTATGGCTATGTATTCGGTCGTAGCGTCGTTGAAGCCTTCCAGAAATTGTTGTTTGAATAAACGCAATGCAATTGCCTGACGATGATGTGGGGTGGCTGGCACTGGCTGCTGGCGCGGATATGGCTTGGCGGAAGCATGGATCTCGCAAGCTGCCGATTCGTTGCAGGGATCAAGCTTCGCGAGACGCGATCGAGGTGAATGACCGCTCAGCGATGCCTTCATCATCCTGAATATTCACCTGCACTGATCGCATGTGACATCTTGGACGCTATGAGCACTCAGAACCCGCTTGCCATCTTACTACAGCCTTTCTGCGCTGCAAAATCAGCCCAAAACACAGAATCGCGTCCCGGAACGTCACCACGCATCCGCACGCGCCTCTTGCGACACTGGAACCATGGATAAGGTTCGAGTGCATGACGAAGATACAGCAATGGGATCTGCTTCTGGCTCCGGCTCAGACCTATCAAACCTGAGTGCATTGAACGAAAATGAGACCGACGACCTCGGCCGGCGCATTCTCGAGAATCAGCGAGAAGCACAGCGTGCAAGGCAAGAGAACCGGCCTTTCTGGAGAGCTAAGCCTCGACCCCGAACAACGATACCTGTAGAGACAATTGCAAGTACTGCAGAAGAATCGGGTCATCAGCGAGCCGCGAGCGCTGGAAGCAACAAATCAGACCCGCCTTTGAACGTCCCGCGAGAATGGGGAAGAAGAGCTAAGCGACGTACGGACTGGCCTAGGAAGCTTGATGCGGACGAAGAGTTGGATATACAGCCACTAAGAGCGGACGACGATTCCATCTTTCCTCATAGAACGTTGTATACTGGCGACGACAATCCTCTGCTGAGTCCTGGCGGCGTCGTGGCTTCACTTGAAAATACTCCACCATCAATGCGCAGGCGAAGGCAAATGTCCTCACCTTCATCGCTACATCACATGAATACCACATTACAGCCTGCTCTAGACTCGGAAGATATCGAGTTTAATGATGCATCTTTGCTGGTATCGACACCTGCAGTAAATCATCGGAATCGAAAGATTGATATGTTGATGCAGAGGGAGATCGAGGTCGTCGAGAAACGAGCGGTGACCAAGAGGTCATTGGAGACTCTTGCTAGAAGGGCCACAGAGGATTCAAGGCCAGGAAGTGCTCCGTCTGGTGACCAGGCTAGGATCGTGGGACGAAGACGAAGCAACCTCAGCGATAAGGAGAATGAGCCCGATGATGTGGACATCTCGAAGCCAGCAGAACAGAAATCGAGACCAGCGCGGAGAAGTCAGCACGGACGGAACGATAGTCTCGCTCTGCTGCGTAAGCTGGCTCGCGTATCGAGCATGTCACCGAGCCCTGCCAGAGATAAGGATGACGAGCGTCGAGCCAGTGGCAGTTTTCCAAACACATCCAAAGACGATGGCGACAAATCATCAGAAGCCCAAACAGACTCTCGGCGTGTGCGCATCGATGGGCATGCCAAGAAGAATAACGAACCCGATGGGCTTGACACTCCGGCAAAGTCCTACCTCAAAAAACCCCCAAAAGACCCAAGAAGGATATTTAGCGAACCGAACCACCCAAAGTCAGCTCTCGAAGCAGTAGTCCAAGACGCGAAGGAAAAGGGCGACCCTCTTCTAGGCGAGAACACACTTGCATCCTTGGAGGACATAGTACATCCACCGGACGCTACCAATTCTACTTTGAATTTTGATACCAATGCAACGTCGAATCCTCCACCTGGAGGCAATGAAACCAGCGCAGGTCTCACACAAGCCGAAAAAGACCGAAGGCAGGAAGACCTTGCGCTAGAGAATCTCAACAAACGACTTCGCTCGACACGATCAACTATTAGGGATGCGAATCGTGGTCTGCGACGAATCGAAAACCGTATTGAAGCAGCGTCGGAAGGCGATCCTGGCCCGGATCGAATCCCTGGCCCGCACGACAGCGACTACGAGGCTTGGGCAAGCACTTTACCGCCATACACTGATCACAACGGTCGCACAATCTGCGCGCACTGCGGCGGCTCGTACACCTCAGTGTGGCGCGGGTTGTGGGTGGAATTTCGAGAAAATTTCTACACGTGGTCCGGACCAAAACAACAAAGCTTACAACTCACATGGCTCGGCTGGACCCTCGTAATCTGGTGGATCTGGTTCGTGCTGGAGTCCATGGCATCGAATTATTTCGCTTATCGTTACGACACATTTTTTCCGTTTGTGATACCCACTCTGATTTTACGACCTTTGGCACCCGTTTGGAAACCTGTTTGGGATATTTTTGTTTGGTGTTGGAGAGCCATTTTTGGGACTACGGCGAGACCAGACGGGCAGTGGCGAAGACCGCCTTCGAGAGTGACCACCTCGCATACCACGCGAGTAATGGGAGGGAAGGATTGGATTGGAGCTGCTGCTAAAGCCACGGCGTCTGCGACTAGGAGGATTGTTAATAGCGCCAAGCAGGCTGTAGACGATGTTGGAAATATGTGGGATGATGAGTACCTGTGAGGACCAAGAGTGTGGGAGACTGCCTCTAGTGAAGGGAAGTAAGCGATACAGCACTACCAAATGAGATTCGATTCTCTTTAGTCCCCGTTGGGTTGACACTTCCCTGACAGAGACTGTATGGTCGTACTAATAAATAGCCCCCAGCCATTTCTGCACCAGTCGACGAGCACGTTCTTCGGGCGCAATATAGTTAAATCGATAGTTTTCGTAGCTATACCGCTAAAAGCTTGAAATAAGGACTGTCTAGCTACTGCCCTGTCGGGTGGAAAATCAATAATATGACAACTCAACAAAAGTTGGGGCCCCTTTAGGCTTAGTGCGGCTCAAAACGACCGAAAAGCCGACTCTGATTAGTCGGCGGCGAGGAACTTCAAAATTTCTCGATTCTCGCGCGGTCCGGAAGGCGTAGGAGTCGCAGGATCGACTATAACGCTCCGGCGCCGCGATAGCAGTGTTTCCGAGGCCGTCTCCGTCGTTTACGCCTAATCCGGCGGCGTTTTTTGCTCGAGGCGGTATCGTTCGCGCCTAATCCGGCGGTATTTGCTCGGAGCGGTAGGCTCGAAAGGCTTATCCTACGCGTTCCGGATAGTACTACTCGCTATAGGCGTTTTATAGGGTACTTATAGTAGGCGTTAGATAAGGTACTCGCTATAAATAGTTCGAATCCTATTTAACTATAGGCGTTTTAGATAGTATTTGCTATAAGCGTTTCGGATAGGACTACTCGCTATAGCTATCTCGGACAGTTACCGCTATAAGCGTTTCGAATATTACTACTCGCTATAAGCGTTTTTAGTAGTATTTACTATAAGCGTTTCGGATTAGACTTGCTATAAGTATTCTAAATAGCACTTACTATAGGTATTTTAGACAGTACTACTTGCTACAAGCGTTCTTAATAGTACTTGCTATTTGCGTTCCGAATTAGACTTACTATACGCGTTCCGGATAAGACTTAGTATAAGCGTTTCGGATTAGAATTGCTATATAGCGCGTTCTAAATGAAACTTAGTATAGGCGTTATAGACAGTAGTACTAACTATTAGCGCTCCGGATTAGAGTTATTAGACTTACTATACGCGTTCTAAATAGTACTTAGTATTATAAGCGTTCTAAATTAGACCTATTATAGGCGTTATAGATAATAGTTAGCTTATCCTACGCGTTCCGGATAGTACTACTCGCTATAGATATTCTGTAGAGTACTCGCTATAGGCGTTAATGTTATACAGGGTACTCGCTATAGATAGTTCGAATGCTATTTAACTATAGGCGTTTTAGATAGTATTTGCTATAAGCGTTCCGGATAGTACTACTCGCTATAGGCCTTCCGGATAGTGCTTCGTATAAGTATTTAGTTTCGGATTAGACTTAGACTTACTTTATGCATTCCGGACAAGACTTTCTGTAGGCGTTTCGGATTAGATTATTAGACTTGCTATACGCGTTCCGGTTTATATAGGACGAACTATACTAAGTGTTTAAAATAAGGCTTGTCCTACGCGTTCCGGATAGTACTACTCGCTATAGATATCTTAGATAGTTACCGCTATAGGCGTTTCGAATATTACTACTCGCTATAGGCGTTTTTAGTAGTATTCACTATAAGCGTTTTGGATATAACTTGCTATAAGTATTCTAAATAGTACTTACTATAGGTATTTTAGAAAGTACTACTTACTATAAGCGTTCGTAATAGTACTTACTATTACCGTTCTAAATTAGACCTACTATACGCGTTCCGGATAGTACTTACTCTACGCGTTTCGGATAAGACTTAGTATAGGCGTTTCGGATTAGAATTGCTATATAGCGCGTTCTAAATAGAACTTGGCATAAGCGTTACAGATAGTAGTACTAACTATTAGCGCTCCGGATTAGACTTGCTATACGCGTTCCGAATAGTACTTACTAAGTTACTATTATAAACGTTCTAAATTAGACTTTCTATAGGCGTTATAGATAGTAGTTAGCTTGTCCTACGCGTTCCGGACAGCACTACTCGCTATAGGTATTCTATAGAGTACTCGCTATAGGCGTTTTATAGGGTACTTACGGCCCCTTTAGGCTTACTACGGCTTAAAATAAGCTAAAAGCCGACTCTACTTAGCTATAGCCGAGGAACTTTAAAATTTCTTAGTTTACGAGCGGTTCGGAGATTATAGGAGTCGTAGTATATAGTTCGTAAGCGGTTCGGAGATTGTAGGAGTCGTAGTATATATCGTAAGGCTACGATAGTATTATTTCCGATGCTATATCGGTCGTTTATACCTAATCCGGCGGTATTTGCTCGAGGCGGTATGCTCGAAAGGCTTAGCCTACGCGTTTCGGATAGTACTACTCGCTATAGATATTCTATAGAGTACTCGCTATAGGCGTTTTATAAGGTACTCGCAGTAGGCGTTATATAAAGTACTCGCTATAAGTAGTTCGAATACTATTTAGTAACTATAGGCGTTTTAGATAGTATCTACTATAAGCGTTCCGGAAAGTACTACTCGCTAAAGATATCTCGGATAATTATCGCTATAAGCGTTTCGAATATTACTACTCGCTATAAGCGTTTTTAGCAGTATTTGCTATAGGCGTTTCGGGCGTTTTGGATTAGACTTACTATAGGTATTCTAAATAGCACTTGCTATAGGTATTTTAGATAGTACTACTTGCTTTAAGCGTTCTTAGTAGTACTTACTATTAGCGTTCCGAATTAGACTTGCTATATACGTTCCGGATAGTACTTACTCTACGCGTTCCGGATAAGACTTAGTATAAGCGTTTCGGATTAGAATTGCTATATAGCGCGTTCTAAGAAGAACTTAGTATAGGCGTTTTAGATAGTAGTGCTAACTGTTAGCGCTCTGGATTAGACTTACTATACGCGTTCCGAATAGTACTTACTATTATAAGTGCTCTAAGTTAGCCTTACTATAGGCGTTGTTAGTAACAGTTAGCTTATTCTACGCGTTCCGGATAGTACTGCTCGCTATAGATGTTCTATAGAGTACTCGCTATAGGCGTTCTATAGGGTACTTAGAGTAGGCGTTATATAGGGTACTCGCTATAGATAGTTCGAATGCTGTTTAACTATAGGCGTTTTAGATAGTACTTACTATAAGCGTTCCGGATAGTGCTGCTCGCTATAGTCTTAGCCTATAGGCCTTCCGGATAGTGCTTAATATAAGTATTTAGTTTCGGATTAGACTTAGACTTAATTTATACATTCCGGATAAGACTTTCTATAAGCGTTTTAGATTAGACTTAGTATACGCGTTCCGGTTTATATAGGACTAACTATACTAAGCGTTTAAAATAAGGCTTGTCCTACCGACTCCTACGCGTTCCGTATAGTACTACTCGCTATAGGTGTTCTATAGAGTGCTCGCTATAGGCGTTTTATAAGGTACTCGTAGTAGGCGTTATATAGGGTGTCCGCTAAAAGTAGTTCTAATGCTATTTACTATAGCCTATAGGCGTTTTAGATAGTATTTGCTATAGGCGTTCCGGATAGTGCTACTCGCTATAGATATCTCGGATAGTTACCGCTATAAGCGTTTCGAATAATACTACTCGCTATAAGCGTTTTTAGTAGCATTTACTATAGGCGTTTCAGATATAACTTGCTATAAGTATTCTAAATAGTACTTACTATAGGTATCTTAGAAAGTACTACTTGCTATAGGCGTTCTTAGTAGTACTTACTATTAGCGTTCTATATTAGACTTACTATACGCGTTTCGGATAGTACTTACTATACGCGTTTCGGATAAGACTTAGTATAGGCGATCCGTATTAGAGTTACTATATAGCGCGTTCTAAATAAAACTTAGTATAGGCGTTATAGATAGTAGTACTAACTGTTAGCGCTCCGGATTAGACTTACTATACGCGTTCCGAATAGTACTTAGTATTATAAGCGTTCCAAATTAGAATTCCTATAGTTGTTTTCGATTAAAGTTGCTATAAGCGTTTTGAATTAGACTTACTATACGCCTTATAGGCAGTACTTGCTATAAGTGTTCCGACTCGGAAAGAACTACTTACTATAGATATTTCGAATAGTACTCGCTATAGGTATTCCGGATAGCAATTACTATTAGCGCATTCCGGCTCGCTATAGGCGTTTTTTAGGGCACTCGTAGTAGGCGTTATATAGGGTACTTGCTATAAATAGTTCGAATACTATTTAGCTATAGGCGTTTTAGATAGTATTTGCTATAAGCGTTCCGGATAGTACTACTCGCTTTAGGCCTTCCGGGTAGTACCTAATATAAGTATTTAGTTTCGGATTACACTTAGACTTACTATATATATTCCGGATAAGACTTTCTATAAGCGTTTTAAATTAGACTTGCTATACGCGTTCCGGCCTATATAGGACTAACTATACTAAGCGTTTAAAATAAGGCTTATCCTACGCGTTCCGGATAGTACTACTCGCTATAGGTATTCTATAGAGTACTCGCTATAGGCGTTTTATAAGGTACTCGTAGTAGGCGTTATATAGGGTACTTAGCGCTCGCTATAAGCAGTTCGAATACCTATAAGCGTTTCGGATTAGACTTGCTATACGCGTTCCGGTTTATATAGAACTAACTATTCTAAGCGTTTAAAATAAGGCTTGTTCTACGCGTTCCGGATAGTACTACTCGCTATAGATATCTTAGATAGTTACCGCTATAGGCGTTTCGAATATTACTACTCGCTATAGGCGTTTTTAGTAGTATTTACTATAAGCGTTTCGGATATAACTTGCTATAAGTATTCTAAATAGTACTTACTATAGGTATTTTAGAAAGTACTACTTACTATAAGCGTTCGTAATAGTACTTACTATTACCGTTCCGAATTAGACCCACCATACGCGTTCCGGATGGTACTTACTGTACGCGTTCCGGATAAGACTTAGTATAAGCGTTTCGGATTAGAATTACTATATAGCGCCTTCTAAATAAAACTTAGTATAGGCGTTATAGATAGTAGTAGTATAGGCGTTATAGATAGTAGTACTAACTATTAGCGTTCCGAATAGTACTTAGTATTATAAGCGTTCTAAATAAGAATCCCTATAAGTGTTTTAGATT